GCATAAATCGACTCTATACAGATCTTCAAAAGGAACTATGGGTCTATCTCGTTACCTTTTGCCTGTTACAAACAAATGCACACAGACATAATGCCCTGACCACCTTGTGGTGTGGAGTATAATGACATGGTCGAGAATTTCTGAAATGGTTTCCATATTTGATTTAGCAAATGAGTCTACTTCTGTTGTTTTGCCATGGTCAAATGCTTATAATCTGAAAAACCAGTAAAAAAACATTAAGTTCGGCCGGGCCAAACTTTTAATACCCTCCACCTTATGGTAAAGGAAACATTAGAAGAAATGTGGCAAAAACCATCAAAATACCAAATATCGGGAGGTACCGTTATCTGGGGGCTATATCAAATCATGGACCTATACATACCATGTTTCGCCAACGGAGCTATGACTACAAATACCAATTTTCAGGCAAATCCGTGAAAAAATGTGGCAAAAATCATCAAATTACCGAATGTCGGGAGGTACCGTTATATGGGGGCTATACCAAAACGTGGACCTATAATTACAATGACTCGCCACACGAACTGGGACCCATTATGATCTACAACTACTAATTTTCAGAGTATTTCTTGAAAAAATGTGTCAAAAATCATCAAAATACCGAATATTGGGAGGTACCGTTATATAGGGACTATTTCAAAACATGGACCTATACATACAATGTTCCGCCACACGAATTAGAACCCATTTTGACCCACAAATACCAATTTTTAGACAAATCAGTGAAAAAATGTGGCAAAAACCATTAAAATACCGAATATTGGGAGGTACCGTTATATGGGGGCTATACCAAATCATGGACCCATACATGCAATGTTTCGCCACCCGAGCTGGAACCTATTATGACCAGCAAATACCAATTTTTAGACAAATGTGGCAAAAAAATAAAATACCGAATATCCACACGCACAGGGACCCATTATGAGCTACAAGTGCCCATTTTCAGACAAATCCGTGAAAAATGTGGCATAAATAATCAAAATACCGAATATCGGGAGGTACCGTTATATGGGTACTATACCAGAACGTGGACCGATATATCTCATTTTCAATACCAACCATCCTAGACACAATACAAATAGCTCTGCTAAATTCTCTACGTCAAATAATGTGGGTTGTATCGTGATTTCAACAGACAGACAGACAGACAGACAGACAGACACACGGACAGACAGACGGACATCGTTAAATCGACTTAGAATTTTATGCTGATTATGAATATATATACTTTATAGGGTCTACGACGAATATTTAAGGATGTTACAAACGGAATGACAAAGTTAATATACCATCCTTTCCAAGGTGGAGGGTATAATAACTAAAATATGTAAATTATTGCCTGATGCAGCTGTTTTTGCTACGGGATAAATTTTACAGAGTACATTTTTGCGGCAAAATTTTGCAAACTCTCAATAACTCACCTGTCAAAATTGCTATCTATATTCGCTATCATTTACTGGACTTTTGAGTTATCGAACAAGATTTGTAAATTTTGTGCATCGTACATACTTATCATTCCAAAGCTTTATCTGATTTAAGTTGTATATAAGCACTACCATATTTCGGATTATTCTGAGTACTCGATCTGGGTAAGTATCAGATGGAGTTGATCGATATATTCCATTTTCACACACTTACATAGTCAAAAATATTGGGATGTGCAAGAAGAAGCGAAGGGGTTGCTGGAGGACAGCCATACAACAGAATGAAATATGCGAAATTTGGTGGCAATTTTTAAACCGGACAAATGTGCATAAAGGTTGGAATACATTTTTTTTAAACCCTCCACCATACTATTGAGGGTATATTTATTTTGTCATTCCGTTTGTAACTCATCGAAATAATGACCTTAGACCCAACAAAATATATATATTCTTGATCAGCGTAAAATTCTAAGACGATTTAGCCATGTCCGTCGGTCTGTCTGTCTGCCTGTTGTAATCATGCTATCTTTCGAACAAATTGAGATAGAAGGCTAAAATTTTGCACACATATCTGTCTGTCTGTTGTAATCACGCTATCTTTCGAACGAATTGAGATAGAAGGCTAAAATTTTGCACACATTCGTAAATGGGCCATGTAGGTCCACGTTCTCATAGCTCCCATATAACGGAACCTCCCGATATTCGGTATTTTGATGATTTTAGCGACATTATTCACCGGAATTGTTTCAAATTTGGAATTTGAAGTTCGAAATGGATACTAGCGCCTAAGACAGAAAATTGTCTGTGCAGGTCCACGTCTTCGTATAGCCCCCATATAATGGTACCTCCCGATATTAGGTATTTTGGTGATTTTAGCGACATTATTAATCGGAATTGTTTCAAATTTGTTATTTGAAGTTCGTAATGGATACTACAGCCTATGACAGAAATTTGTCTGTGCAGGTCCACGTCTTCGTATAGCCCCCATATAACGGTACCTTCCAAAATTCCGTATTTTGATGATTTAAGCGTCATTATTTACCGGAATTGTTTCAAATTACGTATTAAGAGTTCGTGAGAGGAACTACAGTCTGTGTCAGAAAATTGTATATGCAGGTAGGTCTTTGTATAGGTCCCATATATTTTTCGAGTTTATGTGCAATACCCACCGAAATTGTTTGAGATGTTGTATTTGAAGTTCCTAATTGATGCTACAGCCTTCACCGTTTATTTCAAGTTTCGAATTTAAATATGGTAATGGCTTATGTCAAACAATGTCTATGGAGGTAGAAAATTGAAAATTTCCAACTTCGTTCCAAATGGCCCGCCCGAACTTGCGCCTAAGACAGAAAATTGTCTGTGCAGGTCCACGTCTTCGTATAGCCCCCATATAATGGTACCTCCCGATATTAGGTATTTTGGTGATTTTAGCGACATTATTAATCGGAATTGTTTCAAATTTGTTATTTGAAGTTCGTAATGGATACTACAGCCTATGACAGAAATTTGTCTGTGCAGGTCCACGTCTTCGTATAGCCCCCATATAACGGTACCTTCCAAAATTCCGTATTTTGATGATTTAAGCGTCATTATTTACCGGAATTGTTTCAAATTACGTATTAAGAGTTCGTGAGAGGAACTACAGTCTGTGTCAGAAAATTGTATATGCAGGTAGGTCTTTGTATAGGTCCCATATATTTTTCGAGTTTATGTGCAATACCCACCGAAATTGTTTGAGATGTTGTATTTGAAGTTCCTAATTGATGCTACAGCCTTCACCGTTTATTTCAAGTTTCGAATTTAAATATGGTAATGGCTTATGTCAAACAATGTCTATGGAGGTAGAAAATTGAAAATTTCCAACTTCGTTCCAAATGGCCCGCCCGAACTTACGTCTTTTTACCTTTTTTTTCTGCCCTTATTCTGTCAAAACATATAGACATTTTGTGTATGTGTGTGTATTGTTTTGAATAAAAAATACAATAATTTGAAATTATTTCAAAATTTGGTTGCAAAATAGATGCATATTTTCGACGAGATTGGTAACAAATTGTACAATTTTGTGATTAAACTGTATCGTTCTACTATTTTGGTTTCAATCTTGTGGATTGTAAAAATATGTTTATTTATATTTATTGAAACTATTTTGATTTGATTACATTTTTGGACATATAATTCTGGCACTAGCATTACTTACAATAAGAAATGCCCATGTGCACCTGAATATGATTAAAAAAAGAAAGTATACATGTATAAGATAGTAAGATTACTAGAGAAGGCGTTAATTTAACTATTCGTCTGACAATATTAGATCCATTGTATAGATGATATAAACCAGTCCATATAAAGGGATAGGAGTTTATAATTTAAGCCAAACCTCGAGCATTCTAATACTTGCGTAGATGTGTGTAGAATTTTTGATGGAACTTAGGTGATCTCAACGGCCTACCTTGAAAAAATGTCATTCTTATGTCACTGTATGCATCATGGTAAAATAAGGAAGGTAAAGTCATTTCAAATAAGCATTCCCATCTTTGCATTTTCTGTGATTTACCTTGTCAAATATAAAGGTGGTTCCCATCTCTGATTTCTGTACGTACAATGGATTTAGAAATAAATGAAATGAATAATTTTGAAAAAATTGTAAACATATGATTACATGACTTTACCTTCATAATTCTACCATTATGTATGTTTATGCATGGTACAATAAAAAGGTAAGGTAGAGCTACCAGCTGATTACAATTTTTTTCTGAGTGTGCTCGACTTCTGCTAATTTTGTGTAGGTATTATTGTTTTGAAAAATGAAAACAAAATATTTTCAAAATCAAGGATTGGAAGAAACTTAAATTGCGGGACGTGCATTAACCAGATTTGCCACGGAATTGAAAGATTGAACACTTGGGATCATATTATTGAGAGAATATCCAGGCATTTCATTCATCTTTCGCGCTATTTGACTCATTTTAAAAATTAAAAAAAAAATTCAAGTAAATGAAAACAACTGTCTGACAGGAAGCGGGCATAGATTCAGTGCTATATTGTACCATGTGTGTATGTAATGTTTGGAACAATATTCGAAATAATTTTCAAGTTTTGTTGAAATAAAAATTCAAATGTAAAGTTTTCGGAAAGAAGAATTTTTTGCGGTTTTGAATAAAAAAAATTGGTGATATTAGGAATTCGAGATTGTGAAAACCGTGGCGTTCCATTTATTCTTCGCGATGTTCGATCGTAAAATGCGCTCATAAAATGCGAAATAAAAATCGGATTATTTCCAAACTTGACACTTCCCAAAATATTTTTACTAATAAAAGATCTTGTAATTTCGAGATGCGAATATGGGATTCTTCGACCCACTCCTTCTGGTATCTCCCCAAAATCTTGAAGGAGCAAAACACTCAGAACATGCGAAACACGTTAGAAATTTTCTTCCAACTTAGTGTCAGGAAGTAACATTCAAAACGTTTAGAATACTATAGCCTTGTCCTAACGTTCCAACTTATGATTACATAATAACACATGTGAGTAAATATAAGTGTGTTTTCTCTTTTGTAGCACCGATGAAGACGCCCGACAAGCCATGATGCACGACCGTGAAGCTATAAACGGAGTACAAGTCCGACTATTATTGTCGTCTAGAGCAGAAATGCAAAAGGTCATAGAAACTGCCAGACAGCAGTCATTGCGTGCTTTGCAAAACTCGAGTCTTGTTTCTTCTGCTGTGGCTGGATCCAAAGCAACTACCCCTGTCATTACTCCAAAAATGACCACGGCGAGCAAGCCACAGCCACCTGTCATCACCGCCAATAGTTTGCAGAGCATACTTTCAAATCCGTTGACCGCAGTTAACCCCTCCTTCCTTGCCTATCAACAGCAAGCCGGCATATCTCTAATATCAGCTGCCGTTCCTGGCAGAAGTAATAATGACGTCGAAGGGGCGGCATCGCCCAGGCACAACGAAAATCGGTCTGTGTTAGAAGATATAAAACCTCGTTCGAGATCTCGCTCGCGATCTTCTGAACGCAATTCGTTTAGACGACGTCGCGATCGTAGCAATGAACGGTTCAGGAATCGTGATGATCGCCAGAGCAGAGACAGAAGCAGAAGTCGCGATCGGAGTCGTTCGAACAGCCGTGACTGTAGTCGAGACAAAAGTTACGATTGTGTGTATGAACGCATTAAAAATCCCCAAAAGAGCCACAAGAGTGGCAGCTGCTATGATGTAGATAACAATAGTGGAAACTCGAATTCGCTTTCTTCATGGGGCGCTAATAGCTCTTATACGGCTGCAAACACGAATCATGGATATGACAGAGACAACCCTGTTAGCCACAAAACACCTCCTGTTGCAAAGAGTTTGGATGCGGGAAATAGTGCCGCAAATTCTTTAGCGTCAATCAACAACTACAGCTTAAGCAACTTCTTGAGTAGCTCCAACGGCAATAAAGCCTTTGCTTTGCAAAACCCCTACACGGCTGCGCAAAGTACGGAGTCACCTGCGAGTTCTACGAATAGTTTCACAACTACGAGTAGTTCCGCCATTCCAGGAATTTTCGTTGAAAAAAAATCGGATGACGTTGTGACCACAACGGATGTAGTAACGCTAGCACAAGAACCCATAGTTTTCGCCGACACCAACCCGTATGAAAAGATGTACCCCAACTTATTTGCCCAGGCTGCCGCAAGTAGTATTGTTAGCGGCCAGAAAACTTTACCCAACAGCAGGAACGTGCATTCGTCGTCTCCAGTTTCCCCCAGAGATGATGACACCCACGCTCGAGAATCCGATCCTAGTAAGACAAGGTGTATTAAAATCTCAAATATGTGCCCGGGGACAACATACAGTGACATACGTAAATTTTGTGTTGGCTTGTATATTCCCCACAATGGAATAAAAATGGTGAATGACGCATACGGTCTGAGAGTAGGGGTGGCTTATGTCGAGTTCGCCAAACACGCATGCGTAGTAAGAGCTTTGTCTCGAAATAATCAACTTTTAAGAAACAAGTCAGTTGTCATAGAAGCTGTGTCGGAAGAGGAGTTTGAATCAATCACGGACAACTTCCATCCAGATGGACACAATCGCGACAGACAGCAGGGTGGAGGCAGAAGCGATTACAATTCGGAACCACTTGTCCGAGATATGGCTTCAAATGCATTCAAAAGCCAACCCAACTTGCAACCATTCAGCGTTCTATATATAGAAGATATTCCGGCATTAACCACTGAACAGGACATTATGAAAATGTTCAGCGCATTCTCTCTATATGACATTCTCATGCTTTCATCTCCTGAAAACCGACGCGAATTCGTGGCACACGTTCGTTTTTCTCGAGAAGACGATGCGTTGTCTGCCTTCGAGGACAAAGCTCGTCATCAGATCGGCTACCGACGGCTCCGAATAAGGCCTGGCTCTGTAGAGGAAATGGAGCGAGCGAAAGAGAAAATTCGACTAGCGAATGAACAGCTAATGAAAGAAGAGCAAGCTGCTGCCGAAGAAGAGAACCGGCGAAGGCAGAAAGAAGAAGCGATTGCAAAGTCAAAAGAAGTAATAAGTTTGGATCTGACGCAAAGTGATGGGGAGGAGGACGACCAGCCTAATGCAGGGGACCTGAACTCCAAAAATTTCATTAATAAAACCAATAAATTAATCGATGATGTAGTCCGTAGTAAAAACGAGGAGGAAAGAATAGAAAGCAACTATGGAATGTATAAAGCCTACGACAGAATGCAGAGCCCGAGTGATGACGATTCTCAACATTACAATAATGATAATTGTACACCAAACCCTTTCGGTTACGATAATTCTGTAAGCTCCAAACCAACCTCTAGAATTAAAGATCCACGTTTGCGAAAAGGATCTAACCACCACACCACATCTCCTATTGGCCAAATGGATGCCGGAATGAGCAATGTGTGTGGACCCACTAATTTTAATAATTTCAATCCGAACTTTAACGACCAGCAAACACCAACGCCTTCCGCAAATAGCATTGAACAAAATTTTGTAATACTGAAGAATTGTCCTTATGCAACACGTATCAACGACGTTGCCCAGCTACTACTTACGGCTAACCTGGCTTTAAAACACATAGAACCCTTGTGTAATGATAGACAACTGCCAACCGGGGAATTTATCGTAGAGTTTCGTAGATCACATGATGCTGAAATCGCTGTGAACCGCTTCCATAACATTCAATTTATGAATCGAAGTCTGAGAGTGTTTCCCATTGCTCCGCAAGAAATTGCTAACCGTTTGAACAAACCTTTCCTGGGCTATATTCCTGGGGGAAATGGTATAAAAGTCTCCGACCTGAAAAGTCTTGCGGCAGCCATGAATGTTAGCCCTGGTATGAACTCTCGTCTGGAATGGAGTGGCACGAACAATAACAGTAATTTCAACTTTAGAAACAATTCCAACAACAATAATAGATTTGAAACAAATGACATCAACTATTCGAACAATAACAACAACCGTGTTGACATGAATGAGGCAATTGGCAGCGATGGATTGCCCGAACGATTTTGTCGTCCCGGATGTGTCCTAGAATTGGAAAATGTCCCATATAAAGCACAGCTCTCAGACATTTTGAATTTCTTTCATGGATTCGAGCTAAAGTCCGAAGATATAATACGTCGTTTCAATGATGTGGGTCAGCCGACAGGTGATGCAAGAGTTGCATTCGATTCGCCGGAAGCTGCACGAAAAGCCTTGGATGCTCGCAAGCGCAAGCAAATATTTAACCGAACAATTTATATGAAAATACTAAATTAGAAATGTGACCCACCCGTTGTTTCCTCTGTACATAAATATATACATCAATACCATATTAATAACTTACATTTTCTGTACAATTAAAATAAAATGCTATACCATTTCTACGGTATATTGTGGCAAATACGAATTGGTATTACAATATTTCAAACAAGCTACACATACATATAGTAATATACATAGATATTAAAACAAATTTAATACGTGTACCCTATTCAATATAATAAATAAATGCAACATACTATTTACGGATTTTTTCATATCAGAATTATTATTTTCTAATATTAATTCATTCAGCGACTATTAGTGAGCCTATTTACAATTAAAACATTTGAAATCTGAATGGAATTAAATTTAGTGTGTTTACTTCGTCATGGGCACTAATCGCTCTGACAGAAAATTGTCTAAAGGAGTAAAGCCCTCATGTAACGTTACCACTCCATGTTCGAAATCTGGATGCGAATGGCTTCTACCAAATCTTTATTCAAAATACATTGTGCCAATGATGCGCTTAGTTCAAGACACTTTTCTATGATCGACTTTTGGAAAAATGAAAGTCCACCAAATGTTTTTTTTTAACATATAATATCAATCAGACCTATTCCTCGTGAGAGAATTGGACTTTTTCAGAACTGAAATAATGTAAAAGATTTTACTCGAATCTCTACATTTAGATATGAGATCAAACATTTGAAATAAAAATATTTTATAAGGGTTTCTTTTTTGAACAAAAGAAGACCTGTTCAACTTTAAAATGCAAAATTTGTTAAATATTAATTGGTGGTTTCTACCTTTCGGGGATTTCTCGCGAAAGCCTTTTGACAGCAAGATAAGAATAAGGCCTAAAATTGCGTCCTGGGCGATCTTATCAAATTCACTTTGTTATATACTTACAAATTAATTCTGAGGTAATTCAAGCGAGTTACTAGCATTTCCAAGATGAATGGATTTTTTTTTTTTGTTTCTTTACGTTTCTTTGGAGCACCTTGGTTTTTAGGTTTTACTAACATCCAGCAAATGTATCAAATATCTGCTTTTAAACAATTGTGGTGAGATAACGAGTAGTAAAGACTTATTATCATAGTGAACCAAAAAAACCAAACAAATTAAATATACTAAATCTTTGTCTGTTCCAGAAAGCAAAAAAGTAGTAGACTTGCAGGTTCTGGAATAGAGCATTTGAATTTATAATTCAATTTAATACCAGCCTTCCGACCATAAGGCCGTATATTACAATTGAATACTTAACATGATATAGACATGCGTATAAATAGATATCGTGACTATAAGTATCGTGACTATAAGTAAAATATATCATATTAAGTATTGAAACTACTCAAGTAACTAAAATATTATTATTTTTAATCATTAAGAGTTTTTATGAGAAAAACAATTTTATCATATATAGAAAATAAATATATAATATGGATGATTGTGGGATTCTAGCAAATAAATAAAGTCTTTCAATTGCAAATTTAAGACTTCAGTTACTTAAACGACATCTGCTGATCTGAAGATAAGCATTGTGATCGTCTATATATTAATTAGTCTTTGCCCAAGACTTATGATAATTTGCAATTACTGAAGTAGCAAAGTAAAATTTGTGCAAAACATGTAGTATAGTTGTTTTTATTGGACATTAACTTGTTTCAGAACTCATTCCACAGTGTCTTTTTAATTTATTCAACTGAATTCGACCAAAAGACGTGAAAGGGAAGCAAAACTTTGTCCTAATGCCACAATCCTTTTTTTAATACTCATGAGTGATAAATATTATATAATACAGATGCTCTTTTATCTTTGAACGCAGTTGTTGTGAATTTATTTGATTCCTGAAAGTTTATACGTTCTTAGGATTGGTTACTCAAACTTGTCTCCTCTCCCGTGCATTAAAAATTGCGCTTTCTTTATAAATGTTTCTCACTGAGAAAAACAAAGTAAAAATGGTCTAAATTTGAAAACATCCACTCAAGATTGTAATACTTTATTGGAAAATTGTTATATAACGACGTTACGAATAATTTTGTAACTGTATTACTTGTGATTTTTTTAACGTTTCTCGGCAAAGTGGACATTCGTCTCTTTCATCCAACCAATCTAAAATGCAGTTCCAGCAAAATAAATGGCCACATGGTGTTAGACTGGGTGCCATACGAGGTTCTAAACATAAAATACACTGTGGAGCATCGCGACTTTCGTTAGCTTTGGTATGAAATTCTTTGCGTACAAAATGTTTCATTGACTTGGACAACTCATACTGTTTTCTTTTGTGTTCCTTCCATGTGTCAAAGGCAGCTAAGGCAGCAGAAAAAGTTACTTGCATAAAAGTCACAATTCCCAATATTTTGTAGCCGTAAAGAGAAAATTCAGGTTGTACCCAGTGGCGGATAAGTACATAGTTAATACCAGTAAGGCGTTTGGATATTTGGTACTTATCGGAACGTAAATAAAAGAGTGACTTGTGCAACGCTTTTATATATGATGGAGAAACCTGCATAAACAATATAAGCGCTTTAATCTTCTTCTTCGCTTCTGGCACAATGTCTTCGTGTTCTTCGACATATTTTCCTAGTTTCTGCAGTACTTTTAGATACAATGCATCGCCACCGAATTCCAAAATTATTGCTGAGAGTTGTAGCTATGGCAAAGATATAATTTATTAAAAAAAAGTAGTTCACATGAAAGAGTTTTGCTCACCAGTCTGGAAGGTATTTGTTTATATACGGAATCGACCTGTATTATTCCAGTGTACTCTTCACCAAGAGTTTGAAGGTTATTCAACGATGCGAATCCATGGTACGATATCTCCGCTAACAGCTTTGTTAATGAATTGTACTTAATCCAGTTCCTTGGACCTGTCAGCCGTAATATATCGGACAAATCTTCAGAAAGCTCGCTTGAATATTTTGCATCTTTTTGCACGGAGCGAACAATTTCAGGTTGACGTGCACGAGCATTTCGAAAGTCCATTCGTTCCGTTAATGATGAGAATATTATTTCATTAAAATAAATGGATAAATTAAATTCGTCCACAAATCTCTATTGAAATTAAAAAATAATAATTAAAAAGTTTTGACCTAAGGTCCTGTTTCGGATGAAGGAAAATCCATTCCGAATGCATTCTTTTTTTCTTTTATTCTTTCGCCTTCAACCCTAGGTTCACAGAATTTCCAAATTGTGTTTTTAACTGAAAAATATGTATGTGAAATGGATTTTTCATACAAAGAAACAGTATCCTCCTGGGACGATTACATCTTCCCATTGCACAGTGGTCGAGGTCGTATGGGAACAGCGGCCAAAAATACTTTCAGTGCAGATATCAATATGAATCTTTGGTTATAGTACCTTGATGGGATAAATATAAAAAATGTGACAAAATGGATATGGTCGATGCATGTTTTGGCATGGTCCCCATATAACGTACCTCCCGAATAAGGGTTATTTGCCCAATTCTTGTCACATTTATACACCAGATTGTAATGTTATTTGACATTTTACGTTCTAAAGAGCTAAAAAATAATCTTATTGAAAATTATTTGGAACAGCCCGCCATCAGGTAGAGTCCCTTGTAAGGTACCTCCAGAAATAGAAGCATTTTTTATACAAATCAAGTCCAAATTTGATTATTTTTTTGTAAACAAAATAAAATAACAATTAATTGTAAAATTAAATCAAAGATACATTTTGCACAAATAATTAGTTTGACTTAAGGCCCTATTGAAATTGGATATAACCGGTCAAAATGTAGGTATAGCTCCCATATATATTCATCCAATTTGCCTTATATTGTGCACCAAACTTGTAATATCAGCCCAAATAGTATGGAATATACGTACGACCAGATGGGACCTCAAAAAATAAGTATGCCAAATTTGATCGAAATCGGTTCAGATATGTATATAGCTCCCATATATATTGTTCATCCAATTTGTTATTTTTGTCCTCCGCAGCCGTAATATGCACTCTGTGACAACGATATTTGGGGAAATATATCAAATATAACTCAGAAATACCCTTTCTAAATTTTATCGAGATCTGTTAATATTTGGACATGGCTCAAATATATATCTTCGTCCGATTTGCCTTTTATTGTGCACCAAACGTGTAATATTAGCCCAAATCAAATTTAGATATAGCTCTCATATATATCTATCCGATTTCAAGTTAATTGTGCACCAAATGGATAATACAAGCCCGAATTGAAAAAGGCGTAAACGCCTCGACAAATTTAATAGAAATCGATTCAGATGAGGATATTCCTCCCATATATTAGTTCTTTTGGACTTTTGATTATTACTATAATCATTGTTGGTATGATTTAATTCTCACAAATTCCCCATTAAAACCTTTATTTATTATGTGACGCTCTACTAAATATGCAAAGTGGTGTAGGGTATCATGAAGTCGGCCCCGCTCGACTTTAAGACTTTCTTTACTGGTTATTGTTTGGTAACGTTCGCTGTCCCATTATAAAAGGGTCAGAGCTCAGAAGAAGACGGTTAATAAGATCTGTGTTTGTTGAAACACGAGAATTTTTTCGGGCATGATTTAGTGGAAACCTGGAAGATAGTGCCATGGATATAAATTTGTTAACTCTTTAGCAGTTTCCAGTGCAAAGGACTTAAATTTTTCGACATAAATATTATACCCAGAGGACAATGCTTGCAACATTATTGAACACCCCTCAATTACATCCTTATCAATCCCTAACAACAAAAACATAGAACTAGCACCATAGAACTGACAAAATTGCAGCGAAGTCACTTCAGTATATTGGGCATAACGTACACATCTGACAAAATCTGAAAGTTAAATTAGCACTTTTAGAATCTTAGGACCATTACTAATGGCGTGAAAAAAATCACATTGGAGGATTCAGGGGGAAAACAATTAAAACTTTAACTGAAATCCAATTTTATTATCAAAATTAATCTTAAAGGCAACTCAGAACACTCACATCTTCTATATTATACACATATACTAAACACTCAAATTACTGCACTAAAAATAAGTTAATACCTTGCTTTTCAATAATAATGCCAAGATTTGTAATTTTAAAATGTATTTAATTTTGTAATACAGTTCTATTTTTACTCCACTTTTTCTCTGATCTCACTGAAAAAAACAACTAACTACATTTTCTCTTTTTTGATGCTATTTTCGAAGTGTCCCGTTAGAATGAAACCAAGATTATTATGTTTTCTAAAAAGCTTAACCCCTTAAGAGTTCATTTGTACACAATTGACAATAAATATCTGATTTTCATTTTTTGAATTTTGGCCAATGGCAGCGACCACTGTGCATTGGTAGTAGCAAAATGAATTTTCATTTCAGCGGGCAGCTGTCAGGGCAAAACGAATGATGTGATGTGGATGGGTAGCCGTCTTAATTATTATTGACCGAACATTCCATATTGTTTCTGAATTTATGGCATTGTATAAAAACATAAACATCTGTCTGGTATTGATCCACATGACACACTGCACCTGTTTCCGTTTAGCCAAAGTACTCTGCTTAGCCACCAGCAAGAATTCATTTTAAACATGGTTATGGATTGGACCCGGAACTCCACAATGGCTAATAAATAAGTTAAGTACCACACATTATATAAATTCAGGTGTTTTGGGTTTCAAAGCCTCGATAGCCGCCCAACTACGCTCAATTTCTATTTCTACAATTTCATTAATGTCCGCGAATACTCTGTACAGGTTCCAACAGTTCACCTACCAATTTACCGTATTAACGTATTTAAGTATATGGTAGCAAAATCGATGTCAAAATACATGCTAATTGGAAGAATGCTCCAAAGTACAAACCCCACTTCGTCCACGTATTTATCTAACTTAGCCGAATCCATTAAATAGAGATTATATTGCTGTTTTTATCCCTGATCAATCCAATCTCAAATCACACATATACACACTTGTTCTATTTGTTCCTAGATATTTATATATATTTATTTATGCGAAATACGTAAATAATTTACGAAATTCTTTCAAATCCAACAAAACCAGACACGAATATACGTCCGACCACCCGAATAAAAGAATTGGTGTTGCAAAAGTATGAATAATCCGATACCAAATACTTCGACGAGTAGTTTCATGAAGTGGATATATGAAACTGTCAAAAGACAATAGTTGTGTTCCAGTACTTTTTTAGTAGTAAAACTAGCAGAAGAGAAAACAGTTCGAAATGTCATTCTCATTTAGGTTTGCTCAAAAAATAAGGGAACGGAAAATTAGCAGAAATGCGATAAAATGTCAAAATTCAAAATTCCAAAAGTAAACAGCCTAAATCGGACTGGTGAAACCTTACTGAAAATAGCGCCAACATTTAAAAAATGAGTATTGAAGACGATAAGTTAAAAATAATAATTTATAATAATAATTAATAATCTGATTCCTCATTCAGCCAGTCCTCTTCAGTGCTGGAATCATCCAAAAGTGAATACATCAGTTGCTCCATATTTTCTCTTTTTGTTTTTTGCACGACAAATATTAGTTTTTCCTTTAGTTTTCAAGATGATCATTTTATTTATTGAAATGTATCAATACATTTTTCAACCTTGTTAGCCCTGCCAATTAAATGTTAAATTTACAATATGCACATTTCTGCTCGGCCAAATTCATGTAGCTAAAACAAGCAGAAATGTGCACCACTCAGCGCCATTTTTTTCTCGAGAGAGCTGCAAGTTTTGCTAGTTTTTGGAGTACGGGAACGCGTTGTAGCAGAATTAGTGCTAATTAGTACTAATTTGCCGGTTCTGGAACACAACTAATGTCTTTTTATGCAAGCCACACACGATACAACCGTATGTACAACTTGAAGGCTCGCATACAATGTCATTTTGTGTTTATTTTTGAAGAGGCAACACCATTGTTTCGCACATCAAAACAAAGAGAAATCCAATGAAATGTGTGATTTTAATGTATATGTTTGCGTAGCAAAGGGGAAAAGTAGAAATAGCACCAAAAAAATAAAGGAAATGAAACAAACAATTTTATTTTCGTATTTTGTCCAATAGAAATATTGGATATTTTTTTTTAAATTGAATATTGTCGTAGAACAATATTCTTACCTTTAGAAAAAGCTCGTTGTTGTTAGGACGTAATCCAAAAAAAACGATTAGGTGTCAGAAAACAACGAGCAAGCGAAGATGTCACAAGTGGCTCTCAAATTAGGTACACGATTCATAATTCATAGTAACATAATTTCTTTTTTTTTTTAATTTTTGTTAATTGATTTGTATAGGAATTTGTTCGTGCATGCATGGTACAAGGTAATGTACTTCAATGAGCATTAATACTAATATAAGAAATTATTGTTTTTTTTTTTTTGTTTCCAAAAATTCCAACTAGTGGACAAAAAGCGTACCTCGGATGAGAGAAAAAACAAAATTCACTTTCGTTTGAATTCACATACACCATTCAACATTTTATCTTTCATTTATAATTTTCAGTCTTTCTGAAAAATTTAAAAAAATTACAAAAATGTTCTATCTTTAATTTTAAATCACACAATTTAAAGTAGGTTAGGGATGGAACACTGATGCAAGCCAAATGAATTGTATGCGACCCTTCAAGTTGTACCATGGCAGAAGAATACAGGTAGATGCATCAACGCTTGGGGGCATTGATATGTCAAAAAAATTTAAATGTTTTTTCAAATATAAGTAGATTTTTATATGTTTTCTTATACTACGTCATTTGGAGGCAATTATAATTCGCTTTTTTCAACAATTTTTACAAATTTAAATAACTTTTCATTCAACATTTTCAATTCCAAAATTGGTTTGACAGTTCATTGTACCAGCAGTTGTGTCGACGCGTCTACCCAAGGTAGATCTAACAGGTAACCGCATCGGCGAATTGCTACAACAAAGCAACTTTTGTGGTACCCTCAAATGTCAAAATTGGCATCTAAGGCGAAAAATATATATTCGCCATGACATTTAAAGTTTGCGGCAAATTTGTTTCAACCAATCGGAAACGAGATGATTGTTTACATTTATGTTGTGTGTGGGGACCATTGCAAAAGCCCCAAGTTGATAGCTAGCCCTAACTAGCTAGCTAATATCTTCTACGTCTGGACCGCCTGGAAATGTCCACGATAAATTACATATTAAGGCCAGTGCTGGACATAATCTCAACACCAAGGATTTGAATGACATTGCACCACATGGCATGGATTCACCCGCTAGCATCTCCAGCAACATTGCCCAAAATGTATCGGATGTTAACAGTGTACATATGCAGCAGCAGTAACAACAATTCGAAACGTTCCATGTAAAATCAGGGCACCAACACTCCAATGCATACACCACATATTCAGAATATGAATATCAGTAATCAAAATCTTAATAATTTGACCAATAGCCAACAACATAATACCCAACAACAAAACCTTTTTCATTTTTTACTGGCAATCAGTTCAGAAAAAAATACTTTTAGTGAAGAAGACATAAACAAACTTTGTTTTTGTGTTGCATTCATTTAGGGCGAATTCAGCATTACAACAACTTGTTTTGACATTTAAAGGTGCCGTCAGCTGGGCTGATGCGACTACCTTGTAGATCTACCTTGCGTCTACCTATATTCTTCTACCATGAGTTGTACATACGGTTGTATAGTGTGTGGCTTGCATAAAAAGGTATGTCTTTTGACAGTTTCATATATCCATTTCATGAAATTACTCGTCTAAGTATTTGGTATCGGATTATTCACACTTTTGCAACACCAATTCTTTTCTTCGGGTGGTCGGACGTATCTTCGTGTCTGGTTTTGTTGGATTTGAAAGAATTTCGTAAATTTTTCATTTTAATTTTATTTTTCTACATCTAAACGGCGTTCTTGTGAGCTGGAATAGTGATTGGGCGATACGTTTTTGTGAAGTAGGAATATAATCTACGATCGCAGGGGCGAAGCGTTTGAAGCAGAAAAAACTTCAAAAAGTTGTACTGTTCACATCTTGAAACTCTTAAATAATTTGCTTCACGAATTAAAATAAAAAGAGATATTTTTTGGGTGTACATTGTAATCATGGCTCAGTAAAAATGAATAAAATTAAAAGTCTGATTTCGCAAGCTCCATGCGGAGACAAGTGTCTTGTTAGATCTACGGCGCCCGATACGCACTGCGCATTTATATCATCATTAACACCACATTACTTTTATTCCAATTCCAACGATGGACAACAACAAAAAACAACAAAGTTTTTCAAGGTCTGGCAATGCGAAGACAGGCAATTCTGCAAATGATTGTGTTCGACAAAAAACATCAGGTCAGATTAACAGCAAACAAAAATCGGAGCAAGTTGAGTTTAGGGGCTATTCTAGTATAATTTTGATACAGTTACCGCAGCTGGGTATTGTTAACCTGAATTAGAGAAGGTATTTTTTCGTGGGTGTAATACCCTTTTACCCTATTATTTAAACCGAAAGTTCGGAAACAATATCCGGTTCTACAAAGCCGATAAGCTCATAGAAATACCTAACCAACGCAAGAAAAATGGAATTTTTGTACCAGTACTTTTTGAAAACCTCTAAAAACCCAAAAATGGACTTATTATGGGATAATAAGGTCTAGATGCCACAGACTTAAAAAATGGTATCAATGTAAAATGGGGCTTGAGATTTTCTCCTCTGTGCATGTCCAACACCGGATACGCGATGCATGGTTTTTCTAAACATAGTAATTTTTGTAAGTAGTCCATTTTAATGGGGTTTTCAAGAAGTTCCGGTAAAAAAATACCAATAAAATAAAAATAAACTGCACGTGGTTAAAATTTCAGCACAGCCCCTAAACTTAAGTCCAAAAATCTTAACCTGTATAACGAATTTGCAATGTCCATTTAAAATCATTTGTCTTTTAACAGATCCGCCATCAACGAAAAACTTCCCAAAAAAATCAAGACGACGTGAAAATCCCCAGGTATCTTCTCGCAACAGCAATAAAACACAACCCCCACAGGCATCTACAAAAGTTCGACCAAATGTGGATAAACGCCCACGCGCTCGAGGTTTTAATGGCACCAACAATAATGGATTTGATAACCCTTCTTCCAGCTCCTCCAGACTAGTAGCAGATGAATCCTTGGCCGCAGCGTCTTCCGACGAAGGGGCAATTGGTCTTGAATCGAATCACAAGTATGATGTGAATTCTGTTTACTCCCTTGGGTGTAGGAAACAGAACCTAAATCATCTACTTAACTTCTATTATACACCGCGCGACGTTGACTTCTATGATGGTGCTGGTGGCGGAAGTGCTAACAATGGTTCACATGGATTACGCCATGGACAAATAAAAAAACACAAATACAACAAGGAGCAGTTCATACAGGCCAAGTAGGTATTCTTGTAATTAAGCAATAGTTATAGAATTAGACTAGCCCTTAAGGTAATGATACAAAAGCAACTTGCTCATGGCATGGCATATTAATGTGTTTACGTCCGTTTATTGCATGCCAGCCAATATGCCAAGTTGTGATGTCAAGCTGATTATGTATCATCAGTTTCAGTACTTTTGTTTCTTTTGCATTGCGGTCAAAATAACCAAAACATACATTTGTAGTTTCCAGTTTGTTATAAAGGCATCTGCTAAACGCAAAACTAATGATTCTCCTGATAGCCTAATCGACTGGTCGTTGATTGAGCAAATTAACATTCAAACTTCCGATGAGCCTCAATGTCCCATTTGTTTGTACCCACCTGTGGCGGCTAAAGTCACCAGATGCGGCCACGTATACTGTTGGACTTGTGTCCTACATTATCTATCGTTAAGTGATAAAACATGGCGAAAATGTCCAATTTGCTATGATGCAGTGCATGTTGGAGACTTGAAAAGTGCTTCTATTGTGCAGCAGTCATCGCACAATGTTGGTTCGCAGATCGCATTTCGATTGATGCGTCGAAAGAAAGGTTCTCTGTTAATTGAGAAATATGAAAATTGGCAAGACGAAAAGTCTTCCGAATCATATCCTTATGTATCAAGTCCAATGGAAGATAAGTTATTTTCAAAGTTTGTACTAGCTACGCGTGCTGATATATTCCGCATATTGGAAAGAGAACGTAATGAGCTCCTTTTGAACGTGGATGAGTCGTGTCCAGAAATTGTGTTTGTTCAACAAGCCTTGGAATTAATAAAGGAAAGGTCAGAAAAATTGGGTGAAATAAGGGATGACGAAAATGTTATACAAAATAATGATGCCCAAACAAAACTCTGCTCCATTGGAATTCAGTGTGACGATGAAAATGTTGTAAGCACAAATGGGGCTATAAATGCAACGGAAAATGCGGAGGTTGTTCCCAATGCTGGAGATTTTGGGATTGAAAGCAGCGTCAAAGCTATCCATTCTCCAGGGAAGTACTACTATTTCTATCAAGTTGCTGATGGTCAGAATATCTACTTACATCCATTGAATGTGAAGATGTTACAAGCTACCTATGGTAGCTTGGCAGATGGGCCCCCGTTTATCGAAGCTCGCATTATACAGAAAGAACAACAATCAATGGACGAGGATCACCGTCGAAAATTTACATGTTTGGGCCATTTGCCGCTGACTTGTGAATTTTCGGTGGTGGAAATTGAGCTTTTGCCACCTTATGTTACTGAAGATGTTATCAAATCGTTCAAGTCGGATATTATTCATCGTAAGAAAGAACGACAACGCAAAGCGCGTGAGGAACGTGAGCGTGAAAAACAAATCAATGCCATCAACGATCGTCAAATGGGCAAACTTATATCCAGTGCAGCTGTCATTAACATAACGTCATCTGATGAATTTCCAACAGTAAGTATTTTTGTAAAAAGAAAAATCCAACCTAACTCTAGATCCTTTAAACCTGTACCAAATTGCAGTGTGGTTTCGAAGAACCTCTCTCGCCAAGTGCGACTCCAGCCGACGATATTCCTTCTACATCTAAAGGATCTCGTAAGAAGACAATTAGTACGAGCAGCGTTGGTAGTTCTAGTTATTCTTCGATCGCATTGCACTGTCAGCAGGAAGTGGGTCCATGGAAAACAACTAAACAGACGCCAAACGTTCCTACAAGTTCTCACCACAGTGACGACAGCGAAGAAAGTTCGGTTTTAAATAGCATTCATACTAATCTAGGCGATGTGTTGGCTCAAGCTCTATCTAAAAAGAAATCATCCGATAAAACCATGGGAAGTGCTGACAATTTTGGACAGAAAAAAAGCAGAAAGCCAAAGAAATTGGTTCCGCTATTTTCGACCGGTATGAATTTTAGTAAATGAAGTGCGAAATAAAAATGTCGCTTTCTGCAATGAAGGCAATTGTATAACATTGATATTTTAGTTTTGTTGGTAATAAAGATAATCTGCAATAACAAAACCACAAATATATTTCGTTTATGTTGCAAGAAAATAACTTCAGGGCACCTAGTCGGTCATGAGCATCCCGTATTGTCTTTTAAGCAAGAAAAAATAATGTTTCAGAACCTGCAAGAATTTTCTAGTTTTGCAAATTTTTTCGATATTATAAAGGAAAAATCACAGCTTACTCAAAATTCGCCATAGTGTATACGTATATTCAACTTCTCCACCATTGTAAAATGTTTTGTACATCCGTATTACTCACATACGCCAGATTCTCAACTCAGAATCTACCAAATAAAAACGTTGTGAAAATTGATAATTTTTTAAATTCACACATTTTTAAAATTTTCCAATTCCAAACATTCACATTTTTCGCATCATTCTTTTCTATATTCAACACACAGAAAAAACATAAATTGTACAAATGTAAATGTTGAATGTGTTAAACCTTAAGACTTCATACATTGAATTATAGGTAATGCAGTCAATAGATGTTTTTTATTCGGTATCAAAATTCTCAAGGGAAAAAGATATTTGACTTGTTCCAAAACCTGCCAGAATGTACAGTTTTGCAATTTTTTCCGATATCATAAAGGGAAAAACTTTACATTCTTGCAAGTCTGGAACAAACCAATTTAGAATAGGAACAAAGTTATTTTTTGTAAAGATATTTAAGGCATGGTCATGTTTGATAGTCGTAAAATTTAAAAAAAAAACGCCTAATTTTTTCAAAATGTTGATAATCAAATTTCTGTTCTCCTAAAAAGGTTGTGTGGCCGCAGAGCTTCCACTTCGATGTAGTCGATATATTGATTTCATTTAAGATAATTGATAGTTATCTATAATATATATATTTTTTTAATTTAAAAGTTTTTTTTACTTTATTAATACCAAAATGGGAGGACGAAAACGTGGGTCGACATGGCCCATTTACGAACTTACCCTGGTGGAGGGTATAAAAAACATAATTAATAACGTTTATTCCCAATTCAAATAGTTTATTTTTTGTCTTTTTAAATAATATTCAAATTCCGTAATTGAATACATCATTAATGTTATTTCAAAAACCAAGAAATGTCTCGAATTCATTTTGTATTACATACTTGGATTTATAAATTAACTAAATATAAACGCAGAAATTTTACATGTGATTTGAAAATTGAGTATGAAACAATCGGTTCCAAGAAAGAAATAGAGACTGGAATTTATAAATATATGTATGTATACACATAAAATAAATTAAATTTACAACTAAATCTAATAAATAGTTTTTGTATATGTTCGGAAACAATGCCATTATTACGAATAAATATTCTCACATACAATCAATCAATTGGAATTTCTAAATCAAATTAATAGAATTTGAAGTTAACTTAAAGCGAGGAGGTTTCATTTGCTAAAATTTGGTAGCTCTCATTACACTTAAATAGGTAATTTACCGTAAAAAGGTTCAGGATTAGTTTAAGTATACAGAATACGCATCAACACATTTCCGCTTGTCTAAATGATGGATTTGTAGTTACAGTATAGTTATCTCTAATCCATACATATTCTATACCTTTACAAAGAGCCAACATTTGAAGTGTTTGTGTTTTTGCCACTGTACAAAAAGGGGACGTAAAATGTCAACTGCAACGTTTTCAATGGAGTTTATGTGAATAAACATGGTACAGGGAAACTATTCTGCAACTTTGCCATCCTGCGTATTTGTATGATGCGAAGTAGATTTTTGTTGAATTCAGTTACTTCGGCGCTCGAACTCGATGTCGTCATCGTCAGGAGAGGGCTGAGATGTTTTGCGTAACATTGTGGGACTGTCTACCACACGTTTGTGATAAGTACGGCGGCCTCTGGGAGAGTGTTCTATGTGCATATTGGCTTCTGCACCATTGTCACTTGAACCACGAGATGCAGCTCCATCGTCAGCTTCTCCGTCGTCCACCTCAACGTCGTCGTATTCATCATCATCATCATCATATTCGAGATAGTCGCCGTTTACCGAACCGCTTGGACTTCCTGGTGGACTCAAGGCTTGAATTAACTTCCCCTTGGACTCGTTCCACAATGTGTTTAGGCGATCACGACCAAATAACAACAGGAATGCATCAATGAATTCACGCGATTTCTCTTCCCATTTCGTTATTATGTCTCCCTTGACTTTTGTCAATTCACGTCGGCCGCGGTCCTTGAGCTCGTCCATTTTATTTTGTAAACGGAATTTCTTCTCCGACAAAAAAGACACATTTAGATCTTTGGCAGAATAGCCCCGAGCAAGGTTGCGCCTGACGTACAGATCGTAGTCTTTTACAATTCGTGCTACTATGTCAGAAGTGGATACGCCTGAAAAAGTTATCGATGTAATAATATTCATAAATAAATATATATTCGATTCCACATACCCTCTGTGCGTTCGGTTGCAACAAACATGCCCTTGGCTTTTAGCCAGCCATAAATATCATCGACTCCTTCGCCTGTGTATGGAATGTCATCGTGCGCTACGAAATCTATTTTATTAGCAGTTATAAACTCGTCGGTCAATGTCCAAGGTGCATCGGCAACAATCTGTAATATTCGGTTCAAATCAATCAAAAATTCAAATGAACAAAGAAACCAATCATACCTCATCAACATAGCGACAATGTCGTACACCCTCATAGCGTTCAAAATCGTTCATCACTGTCCGGCCCTTCATTTTATGTGTGAGTTGGTCATTGCAAATGCCCACTATTAGGTAAACATTGGGGAAAATATTTTTTGCCTATAGGACAAACGTCGATTGTTAAAAGCGCATTTGATTTTTTTTGATCGGCTTATATCTACCTGCATTAGTTGTCTAGCATGGCCCTGATGAAACAAATCATAGATGCCATCAGCGTAGACGCGTACACGTCTATTAGCCTCACCACTGCGAGCCATTTGATAAGTGATTCTGTGGGTGTAATCGCATCGTTCGCGTTCACGTACAGCTTCTTCGTCTGTGGAAAACGGTGCTGGCTTACAAATTGTCTGAAAAAAGACGTTCGGTTTAAAACATATACAAATGAAAATATAAATTGTATATATATCTATGTATATAAGTGTGTGTGTAGTTGTTTGCAGTGTACTATCTATTGTCCGTTCAGGCAGCGGCAATATCAGCGACAAATCCTTTCCAAATCTCTATATTTACATATTCTTTGAAATCCATATGAAGCGGCAAAGTTTTGATCGTGTTGAAGATCATTTTGCATAAATTGTATGCTCTATTACTTTTAATAAAATGTTTTCCAATAAGAACTCAATTTTTTTGTAATTTAAATGACACTTTGTGCAATTACTACTTCATTTATTCTTAAAACGATAAAATGTATAATATTTGGATGCGGTGAAGGAAATGGATGCTGTTAGTCAGAGCGCCCAAAGACAAATAAAGATAAAATTGATGCTTTATTCAAATCAAACCATTGAGATTGCAATGTATTCGTGGTGTTCTTGACAAGCACCACACAGCCATTCCTTTTTCAATAATTGAGCTGCTTTCCAGTTGTCTTTCAATTAAGTAAATTGGCCTTCGTAATCACTTTGGAACGATCAAGATATATAAATGTATAGGAGAACACATACACCCAACTATTCTTATTCAGTCCAACGTTACTATAGTGATTCGGACATGACTTTCGCTACTAAAGTACCATATAACATGTTAGAAGAATAGTGTGGCATATCACAGAACATTCGGAAGATCGCCGAAGGAATATTAGTTTTTTTTTCAATCGTCCAAATATTTACAAATACTAATACTAAATTCACATGGTACGTGATTCACACTCTAATGGTTGGTTCGACCCTTAACAATTATTAAATATCAACTAAATCCCCGCACAACCTTTTCTGAGCGAAAAATAATGTTTGTTCATTGTTTATATGGTGTCATGGCTAAGACACGAGAGCATTTGTCGAAAAATTAAAAAAATATATAAATAATTCAAGATAAAAATGTAAATTTAAACGAACGTATATTTTGTTTGCTGTTTCATCTGAGGTAGGTTTCTTGTCTACGAGTTGAAATTTCCACAGAAGACATAACCAGTTGCTCTGCGAAGTGGTCCACAAACGTATTTTTAATTTGGTATTCACTTTTGTATTCCCCTATTCCTATTTCAGTCTCGTTTTTTTGACGCCACATTTATTTCAATCAACCATCAATAGGCTTTAATTGGTTATTAATAAAAATGAAGAAATCCTACTTTTTGCTCAATAAAGTAGCAATTGATCGATGGACGATTGCCTTCCACATACATCACAGTCGAACGATGTTATAACGACGAACACGCTAAGACCGAATATTTGTTCGATTAAAACAAACGAGAAGATATAGCTGATTTTTATAGACCGTGCAATTGATTGCGCCAAAAATTATTTAACCTACTAAAATAAAATTCAACTAGATAATTTAGATTGATGTGGAAAAAATGAAAAAATAAAAAATCACTTGTTGGAATGTTTTTTAATCACTACGAATCGAAGTTTATAAAAAAAATAAACGTTTGTACTAATCCATGAAGTAAATATGATTAATGTTTTCTGCAACGAAATTAATACCAATTCGACTGAAATTTCGGAATGACAACCTTCTTCCAGTGTTAAAGCAAAAAACCGCTATATTTTCAATCTCTATACTTGTCTTAGCTGGCGCAAAATGATAGCTTGAAACAAATTCCAACCATTCTATAATCAAGCCTTAGATGACTTATGAGGTCATTTATTTAGTTATTAGTTAACATTTCATGGTCCTAAAATACTTGTCGATAATATATAATTGACATAATACTGAAATCTAGTTTATACGTTTGTGGGTTAAAGCTGATTTTCCAGCCAAATATTAAAAAATATATGCATTTTTGAGCGTTAAGCTACTTGAAAATGGATTTTTTGAAAAGGTGCAAACTATTTTTTTCCCACATACGCCCCAATACCGAAAGTTCTACTCCAAATGACACACGGTTAAAGAGAACGTTAAACAATTATTTTTATTTCTAATCTTGATTAAAATTCTTTTCCACATTTTGTTGTTGATATAATGAAAACAGTGTTTATCTGGCGCCAATAATAATGTAAAGTTTGATTACGTTTAGGATTAAGAAAGTAGTCATTCCCATCTCTGCATTTTCTGTAATTTACCTTGTCAAATTTTACTGCATAGAAAAAAGGCTACCATGTTCAGGAAATGAACATAACAGCGTTACCAAAAATTCGACGTACTCGGCCGACGTTTTTGTTGTTGATAATTTTCAACTTTGACAATTGCAACATTTTTATTGTATTTTGAAAATAGAAACAATAAAAATGTGAATTTTTGTAACTGGAAAAATAACATTTGAGAGAACTTGGAAATTTTTCTATTTTCACAACGTGGTTAGTCTATTGATTTAAAAATATGGACCTGGAGTATTGGGATAATACGGACGTACAAAGCACAATGAATTTGAGGTAACGCTGTAGGGCCCCGAATGTTATGAACATAATTTCGTCGGTTCTGATTCAAACGACTAACTTCAAAACATGATTTCTTTCCTCAAAAACATGACATCGGCCCCATAGTGCAGTGGTACAAATATTGAAATTTATAAAGCTTGAACAATATTGGATGATCCTTTCTTGTTCTAAGCGGTAAATTATTTTCTGTGAACTATGTAAAGAAAAATGGTCTTCAGTTGGTCTTTTACGGGTTGGAATCCAGATAGGTTATGCAGTTTCGTGTGGAGTAATGTCAAGGCAAATTAAATAAAATTTTTAATAGTTTGTTTTTGGCCAATGTGTGATTTTTTGGCGTGGTGTTTGACTACATTCGAAAATAACATAAAAACATTACTGGCCGAGACATGGCTTTGATTATCACTTTTGTTTTCCTTGCTTATGTCTGATTTGCGGTTTATTATTGGATACATGATCCTGGTGATTATTTCATTTTATCGAGGTTTGTGCTGGCTGATGATTAGAATGACAGTGCGTTATGTTAACAATAACTTAAAAACAATAGCTGATAGTTGAAAAGTAACGATTAACAAATTAGTACGAAAAGATACATTTGAACATGGTACAATGAAGAGAAGGTAGGTCAACTTTGAAAAAAATGCAAGTATAGAGGTCTACCTGTTTGGCTTGTAATGTCAGAATTAGTATCAAAACAATAAAAAATCAAACAACTTGTTGCATTTATTTTGAATAAATAATTGAAAACCGCGATAACTGAATGAAAGGTCAACTTTCAACTTCTTTTCAAAATCATGTACTATATGTCTCTAAAAGATTATTTCGCTACAAAACTCTAGATTTTGTCGATGCATGCGTTGAAATGAACATTTTGAAAACACCCGAATTCGAATGTTTTCTGAACAATTTTTTTGTTATTGAAAAGAAAACACATACATAAATAAAAAAAGATGACGTATTAGGCCAAGAAAATAAAAAAATTGAAATCATATGGTAGTTCTGCCCTACCTTGATATCATTGTACCATGCATTTGAATGGCAAGGGAAGATTTAACATTACAGGGTTTCCACCCAATATTAATAATGTAAATACTGAAATACACCACAGTGAGCATCCCTGCACGGTTTATAGATGTGACAACACGAAAAACACTACCATAAATTAAAAAAAAGGAATATCGGCAGTGTAGGTAATAAAAATGAGCCTTGGGGACATTAATTTGATATTTTAACTTGTCTATATTTAGATCTTCTAATGTGCACACTTAATATCAATATGTATTAAAATGGTCAAAAAATATGAAATTTCAACATCATTACTTCAATATTGCAAATGTGTCCGAGTTCTTTGAAAATAAAAACAAGAAAGTCAAATAATAGACAACATTAAATATATTATTATAGAATGTAAACTCTATCTAGGAAGTCTAAAGGTTTATTGTCATTTAATATTTTTAGTATTATCAGCGGTTCAACATAGTACGCCTGTTTTTCCCTTAGTAAACAAAAGAATTATTACTTGATCTTACCTACGTTTAATTATATATACTTTAACGAAACCGACATCCATGTAAAGATGAAGAGTCTACCACAACAATTTAGGAAATTACATTTTACTCACCTGAATATCAGAACTGCCACTGCTTACACTTGGTAGATTTTGCAAATTTTTGGGGGGCAGGTATTTCTTTTTAACAGGGCTTGCTGCTGTTTCCAATGTGGTTTTGGATGTCAAATCACTGCTGCAGTTTTCACCATCATCAGGTTCGTTTTGTGAAATTGTGCGCGTGTAATCTTTCAGTGCAGTATTTACAGCAGAATCTGTTGACATAAATTCACTAGAGGATGAAGGAGGCTTCATTGATGCAATGTGTTCTGTCTCGGTAGACGCAAATTCGATGGCGTTACTAACAGGATCTGTTAGCGCTGTTTCGTACGAACGCTTACGTGTCAGGTGTGCAGAACTTTTTGTTGAATTAGAAGCGGTACTATTGACTGGGGTTACTTGTGTTGTATGTTGTGTTATTGCATTATTGGAAAGTATAGAGGATGATGCCATTGCAGCGCGTTCAAAGCGAGGTAGAAAAAAATTAAAACTTAAATACAATGCACGGTCCTCTGAGAATCTATTTTCTTTTTATTCTGTGTACTTGGCTGTTTTGAAATTATCGTATTGCTTTTTTAAAATTTAAAAACGGCTATGGTTATTCATTGGAAGAGTTTTTAACCTGGAAAAGACAGCAAGAATGGATGAAATAAAATAATGACATTTCAATTTAACATGTTGGTGTATTTTAGGAAATGGAAACAGAATTTTATTATTATTTTTATAAGCTCAGGTTATTTTGTAGCTAGTAATACTTATATTTATAGAACTTCATCCCATTGGGTTTTTCGTCCCTATTGAAGAATTAAATGGGCACCTTTCTATCGTTTATTTTCGTCCGTTTTCTCAGAGGCGGGGAGGTACATTCGCTTTTAAAATTATCAAAAGTTAATTATAGACCACAGTTTAAACCACACAAAAAATACACATACATTTAACCGAATTCCCAAAAACTGTTATTTACTTTTCATCATATTTTCCTTTTGTGCAAACGAAAATCTTCCGTTCTTCTTGCAAACTAAGATGATGGCGTGGAAGCTAATACATAAACGCCGAATTGGTGAAAACCTTTTGGGCTCAAAGTAGGAATACCTCAACCAATAACAATATTTCCGGTACTAAACTCACTTTTGAACTCGTTCTTTTAAACGTTTATTATATTTTTATTTCTTTTGCTGTTTTTCATTCAATTTTTACCAGCTTGTATGTCTTCAAATCGATGCGGACTTTCTGTCAGATTTTTCTAAATCGATGGCATATGAGACCATGAGTATTGTGTTATTTTAGTATTGCTTTCGCTTGGATGTTATTGGTTTAAAATGATCATGTTTTAAAATGTGTTTAGCAACTCTTACAAACTACGTAATTTTAATACACTCACATAGACAAAGCTATACTATCCGAAAAAGTTACACATCTATTGACGTAATTACTCAGGCAAAATTAATTAAAATCCACGTTTTACCCGTATATAAGCATACCGAGAAGAATGATGAATATAATAATGTTATTCTTTACACAACTTCGAGGTCAACTAAACTGGGCGATAAAGCAAAAAGGCGAAACACAAAAGAGAGAAGAAACATTTGCTTACGTTTTATACTGAACTGGCAATTAGCAACAGCGAAAAGAGAACAGTATTCCGGGAAATACAGACAGTAAGCGATCTCCAATGCCACGATATTATGTTTGTTGATTCTGGCGGATTTTGAAAACGCTAGTTTCTGCCCCCATGAAATATGGATATTGTATTTTTTAATGCAGAAAAATAAACGTCATACGTTTTGCCATCACATTGACTCACGTGAGTGAGAAATCCCGAACAAAATTCGGTATTTGCTGGTTTTGTATTCTATTGATCGCATACTCACTAACCAAAAACATTTATTCAAACCAAATGAGAATTATATTTCTTTGCCCCACAATGTAGATGTGTGTTTATGTATACATACATTTTCGAACTTTGGTCAAACGGTTGTGACGATTTAGTCATCATGTTGTGTGTCAGAAGCGGAGAACACAGATATATGTTTATATGGAAGTACTGTGCCTGCCTATAAGGTATGTGAACAAACTATATCTAAATATTAGAAAACACTAACGATTTGTCATTAAAATAACATTTTTGTAACGATAAGTGTGTGCGTCATATTTGTTAATAAAACAAAAACATTAGTACATTTTTTTCATTCATACTCTATATACGAATTTGGATGTTCTCAAACATTTCTCTTGAAATTGCATTTCTTTCTATAAAAGAACAGAATGCGCACGGACACAACTACATGCCTACATACACACATACAATTTATAATCGCAATGCATATACAGGGGGAATTTCGTAAAATGTTGTGACGAAAACACGATCACGCCACTACGCACACAAAGAATAGCGCCAGTGCCAAGCGTTTAACAAAAATATTTGCCAAAGACTCGTATTGCCACAGAGAAACAGAACATGAATTTCAAATAAATTCTCAACACTCAAATGTTGCAGGGTTACCTAGAATCCGACCCTACGTACAAAAAACTTCAGAACGGATATTCCTAAAATGCTCAATCTAGTGTTCTCACTTATTTCCTCTAAATCTTGCCACTTCAAATAGAAACCAATCATTTTTCTATTTTTGAAAACATAAACGATAATTACAAGAAATTTTATAAAATAAGATTGGTGAAGGGACAAAATCTTAAAAATAGACCCTGATTAAAATTATATCTGAACTGAATTTAAAAAACATCAACTCTCAATTTCTTTTCATGTTCGATTATCCGCAACTTAAAATAATTTTATGATTGTTGGCATAAAGTATGTACCATTAAGAATGAATTAGGAAGATAATATATCTAAATATTACTTGTGGTATTTCATCATGCCACTAAAACAAAATAAGTCGATCAGTCTAATTAGGACAAAAACCTCTTTGAATTTAAAAGAGTTTGTTGGTTTGGCTACAGATTTCCCGAAATTAAATGCATGGCATAGAAAATCCATTTGTACAAAGAAGCATAACAAATTTAATCCATTTGTATAATAAAATGCTTTTGAAAGCCTTTTTTTATAGCCTTCAAAATACCAATTTTCGCACCACATCCATCTCAATTCAGAATGTTACCTCATAAATATATGCTTTGTTCCCAAAGATAGAGGGAACAACACAGTCGTTTTGAAGATACAGACATATAACTTGATGGTAATGCTGTCTTTCTGTAACAATTCCAATAGGTCAAATACGCTATGTAACTTTCCTAAAGGATATATATGTATATATAGTGTCCAACTAGGTCTCGTTTCTTAAACTAAATACCTTTAAGTACTCAAGCCCTCGTTGGCAGACATATAAAACATTTACGGACATTGGTCATATATCAACTATGACGAATCTTTTATTCAAATGTATACATGTACGTTCTATGTGACATATTATACGTTATACCGCATAGCACTTGAATTCTCTCCACCCAAACGAATCAGGTGAGCGAGCAGCTGTTTTGTATACGGCTATGGAAGAAAAGTGACTAATGGGAAACATACCTTGATATAAGTCATGCTCTATATGTTGAACACATTTTGCATTTTTAATGTCAATTAAACAAAACACTTCATTCGAATTCGGAGAAATTTCAAGACCCATTTTTTAATGTCACGTCATCTTTTCTCATTTGGTTCATGTCATGGGAAAGGAGTGGGGTAACTCTAAACACGAGAGAGCGGTGACGTCTTAGAGTAGAGAAACATTGTTATCGAAAAGAAAAAAACACACAAATTCAACAAACATTGCAGAATAATTATAAAAATACTCATAATTCGTATGGAGTGTTATTTTAATAACCAGAATTAAATACACGTACGTGTGTATTTTCTCACCTTCACTGATTACAGACAAAATGTTTTAGATCGACACACGACAGATTTTTTAAGTCCTTATTAACGTGTTAGTCTCCACTTCAATTTCACATATATTTGCTTAAATTTTGTTATGCGCAATTTAAGTCTATTTACTTTTTAAGAATATTTTTTTTCAATTCAACTTCAAGCAAAAACCAAAGAAATTATTCAACTGCACCAGTGACCAGTGCTGTACAATTAGTACCAGATACCAACGTTCGATATTCGTTTTTGTTTTTTATTTCGTCAGAACACTTCCCCACTGATGATTGACAATCGGAACATTTACCCTACATTTACACATGTAAGCGATTTATTTTGAACTATTCCAATGCAAACTGACTTCGAGGCATGGTAGAAGAATATAGGTAGACGCGTCGACACAGCTGCTTGGACAATGAACTGTCAAACCAATTTTGGAATTGAAAATGTTGAATGAAAAATTATTTAAATTTGTAAAAATTGTTGAAAAACGCGAATTATAATAGCCTCCGAATGACGTAGTATAAGAACGTATATAAAAATCTACTTATATTTGAAAAAACCATTTAAATTTTTTTGACATATCAATGCTCCCAAGCGTTGATGCATCTACCTGTATCCTTCTGCCATGCTTCGAGGGCTGGTTTCTGTTATGGAGGCATCGACGCAGCTGCTGGGACAATGAACTGTCAAACCAATTTTGAAATTGAAAATGTTGAATGAAAAATTATTTAAATTTGTAAAAATTGTTGAAAAATGCATATCTTTAAGAAAATATATAAAAATCTACTTATATTTGAAAAGAAATTAAAAAAATTTTGACATATCAATGTAACGCTGTTTTTAAAAACACAAAATCCTACATCTGTGGTCAAAAAAACCTTACAAAAGTACAAGAGAAAAAATTGCAATAAATAAACGAACCCACCAAAAAACGTTGGTGCTAATCTTAAGAGCCGAAATATTTTGATGCTGTTTATTTCTTTTTACATTTCCATTACAATAAATAATTAATTATAAAAGAAAGCTTAAACAGCAGGTATGTTTTTCAATGAACGCTTCATTATTTTATCTTGAAGTTTATAACCATGGTAGAAGAATATGCCTCAACAATTGAGAACATTGATATGTAAAAAATTTTAGAATGTTTTTTTTTTCAAAAATAAGTAGATTTTCATGTTTCCTTTACGACGCCAAATATATCTTATGAGATATGCATTTTTCAAAAATCTTAACGAATTTGAATAATTTTTCATTCAAAATTGGTTTGGCAGTTCATTGCCCCAGCAACTGTGTTGATGCGACTATCTGTATCTGGATACAAGTAAAAAAAAACATTAAATTCGGCGTGGACCCATACATACAATATTTCGCCACACGAACTAGGACCCGTTTTGACCTACAAATACCAATTTTCAGACAATCCGTGAAAAAATGTGGCAAAAATCATCATCAAGGTTTTGGTATTATGGAATGGAAATTGAATAAATAAATAAAATACGGAATATCTGGAGGTACCGTTCTATGGGAACTATACCAAAACGTGATATCAATTGATAGACAGACAGACATCGTTAAATCGACTTCGAATTTTAAGCTGATTATGAATATATATATTTTATGAGGTCTTCGAAGAATATTTAGGGATGTTACAAACGGAATGACAAAGTTAATATACCCTCCTTTCCAAGGTAGAGGGTATAAAAACATGTCCCAAGTATAAATCCCCCTGTCAAGCCTGATGACTACTAAGTGGAGTGTGAAAATGCATTATTCTAATGAAAATCACAGAACAAATAGCCAACAATTGTAAATAAATTTAGACATTTCATCTGGTCTTTAAAGTTTGCAGAAACAATATCTGTTATATTGTTTGTGTATTTCTGGCATTGAAATGTTCGTGGTTCTGTTTAGAGCACAAACGATTGATAAAAAATGTAAAGTTTGTGACTTCGTGTAAGCGGTACGTTATTCGTTTCGTGTGTTTTCGTACGCTGCCTGCAGGTTCTGGAACAGAGTATAAATGAAGCCGGGAAACTTTGGGTACTACGGATGTCCAAAAAAGGACAACTTGTTGTATCTAGTTTTGAGTAATTCAGTACCAGGCAATTCATAGGAACGAATTCTGAAAGAACGTGGCGGTAATTCCGTATTTAGCTTTCACATTACAAACTTCATATTCGAAATTTGAAGCAATTCCGATGAATAACGTCGCAAAAAATCATCAACATACCGATTATAGGTAGGAATCGTTATATGGGGGCTATACGACTTATTTACAAACTTAACCTGCCAACTGGCAAAATGCACATGTGTGCAAAGTTTTAGGCTTCCTCTGAATTCACTCAGAAAATAGCGTAATTACAACACACTGACAAAATCGACTTAGAATTTTACGCTAATCAATAATATATATGTATATCCTTTATTGGGTCCGACATGAGTAGTTTGAGGAGTTACAAAAGGAATGACAAAGTTAGTATATCCTCCATAGTATGGTGGGGAATATAAAAAGATGAAATGTTTGCAAGGCGAGATACATCTCACTGAAGAATTAGCATCTTCTATTAGAAGAATTAGCAATTAAAGAGTAATTTATTGGACAAATCTACAAATAAATAGACATTGAATAAGGTAAAACATATTTATTATGATTTTAATTTTAACACATGTATGTAGTTATTTAATATTTTGAAATAAAAATTATCGCTTAATTTATTTGTTCAGTGAAATCAAATAAAAATTCCTTTATTTCAAAAAAATATTTAATATATTTTAATAATATTAAAAAATCTTTGGTTTTAATTGTGAAAAATAAACAAAAATAAAAAATAAAAGCTACCGTGGCAAGTTCAAGTACATTATATAGATCTTATAGAATGTTTGGTATTACATGACTAATATATGGCATTTGTCATTGATTTTTAATTGCACATATATATATAAGTTAATAGAATTCTTGTTAATAATATTTATGTTTTGCTTTGGTATATATCTTTACTTTTTCGGTGCTTTGGGCGCTCAATATTTTTCATAAATTTAAACGACATTCAGCAAGTAATCGCTATTATTTACGTCAATAACAGATACAAGAACTTAAAATCTGTTTTTCATTTAAGAGAAACTTATAATCTATAGCATTTAAAATGAGTATTTTGAGATTGAGATTCAAAACGTAAGAGTGGTCTTTTAACATTGCGATGGAATACCTTGTGTTATGGAATTCTCCAAAACTATGTGACAGTCATCTAGCGGCTCTAAAATTTGGATTAAAAACGTCAATAGATTTTTACGGCGCAGGAAACTTTCTTCTTCATACATCTCTTGGGTTACTTTTGTTAAGGACATCGGTTTAATCATGCGGGTTAACAAGTGGTCTCTGAAAAATATTGAACAAAAATATTAAGGTTGATAAGATGGGAGACACTGACCTATCAATAGATTTTGACAAACCTTAAGCTGAGACATATGAGTAACTGGAATTTACCATCTTTACCCAACGTACTGCCAACCTTGTTGATTTCATCCATCAGTTGGATGTAGTAGTGCCAGATTGCACTTAATTCTCGATGTTGCTGACCACTACCACAGCTGATGGACGAGTCTAAACTAGATCCAGAATCATCAATCTGCTGTTGCTCTTGTTGAAGATAATGTTCAAACTGTTCCTTAATTTTAGCTAAAGAAGATGAATATTTTAAGAGGTCTTTTAGCACTATGGAATGGTTTAAACTTACTAAAATAATCCCATATATAAAGATTACGACCGAAGAACCTTGTTGAACGAAAACCGCACAGAAACACGTTTTCCAAGCACTTGACAAGGCCCTCATCGCCACAAACCAAGTTAGTGAGTGTACCGACATCGCGATCTCGACTGGGCTTGTAATGCCATTTGACAATGACATTAACACAATTGCCCAGTTTGTGTTGAATTTCCGAAATGGGTGGCAAATCCTGACCACGCTGAACACTCGGACTGCGTGTACGAGGAGGAGTATGGCATGACTGTTCCATCTCTGCACTCTTGACGTTTGTAGAGACTCGCTGGCCCACTAAAAGTCGTTCAGTGGAGTCATCATCAACGCCTTTTCCTAGCCAACGCCCACAAGGAAACCTGCAACACATGTTACACATGTATATTAGTAGCCCAAGAATTGTGTTTTCTTTTGAGTAGTATACTTATAAGTGTGTCCTGTGACTTCGTTTCGCATAACTACATGCTCTATAAGCCATTTATTGGATGTTCCTGCGTTGTCATGACCAATACGCATTGTAGTCATCAAACCTAAATTTTTATACTAAAACAAATATAAAATATATGTTAGTTTCATTTAAAGTATGGGCTGTATTGTAACGTACATGGAATATAAACTCGAGGGAACCCTTTGGCACAGGTACCTTTTGTGTTTCATTTAAGGTTCCCGACACAATAATCCAAACGTTGCTTGAAGTATGGTACGAACCGTATTTGCGGGAAGGAAATATGACAACTCGATATGGGAGTTCTATTTACAAATAAAAAGGCATATGTATATGTTTGCTCATTTAAATATAACTTGCTCTTAACTTACTCGTTGTTGGGTAAGTATTTGTGAAGGAGTAGTAATCCACAGTGTTCAATGTCAAAATGTGGTAAAGAAATTGTTCTTTTTCCTCATCACATCTTAAAAACGCCGAACGTTTATAAAGCGAACGCAAGAGAGAATCATCGGAGAGTAACGTACGAAAGTGCCGTGACAATAATTTTTTCTCCAACGACAAACGTACCCAAGCTCTGGTATGTCCAATGTGCGTTTTAATGTCAGCCATGGCCATAACATTTCTAATAAGAACATATTAATAAATTGTACATGTACATATATAAGTGGATGCAAAATAATTTTCAATAATTACCGGACGTCAAATTCTAAGGACTCTGGCAGAGGACACAAATGCTCTAAGCCGACAAATTTATTTCGGTCTCGAGATCGACTGCGGTTTGGACTAGGTGGATTATCTAAATCACTTTGAAATGTAGATAAATCTAAAAGAAAGTTTTTTGAAATGGTTAGAGAGGTGACTTATATTCTTAACCACCCGACATTCCGGTATAGGTAGTATAATTTTTTTTGTCATAGGAGTTGTTATTTTTAAATAACTCCTGGGAAGATCCCAAGGATACTCATGAGGATTTGTGGCTCTTTCCGAAAAAAGGCATTCTCTGCCTCACTCCTGTAGTGCGATTTTTTAACTAATTAACGACAGAATTAATTAAAAACAATTTTTCAATCTCTTCCATTATCGGTAATTTACGAAATCTGTCGGTAAGTTAGCGAAGAAATGAAAGTACCGATAGATGATTTATTCGATGAGGACCAAAAGGTAGAGAATCGCACTATTGGCAAACATTGCCATATTTTAGGAGCATATATTTTATTAATCTCTCTTTGCTATTGCCCATCTTTTTATAGGAAATACTAGTGCTAACGCAAGTAGCAAAACAATTTTTTAAAGCGACACAATTTTAGTCCATTTACAGCACTTAAAAAGTGACATATTTTATAATTAAAAATGTTAAGGAAATAAGTTTGTAACGAAGCAGCTTGTTTTAATTAAGGGATTTTTAACGTTGTACTTACAATCCATTCGTTTGCGCATAACATTCCAGGCCATTGCAGGAGCAGTTACATAGCTTGATGTGGTTCCTATTTTATTACTTCCCGCCGGCTTTGGAGAAGTTGTAGTTGTATTCAAAATTGTAGTACCACAACTATTGGCTGCAATGGAACTGGAAGCGCGAGCGTCCTGTAACTCTACATACGCCTGTAAATGCGTCCACAATGCAGATTTGCCCTGTTTTGTTTGCAATCCGTGAGACCAAATTTTTTCCAATAAATCGCACAGCGACGCTATTAGTGTGTTCTCCTCGATTCCGTCGTTTTTATTCAAACCTAAAGCAACAGCTTCAGTCCCCATTTTCTCCAACAGCATGCGCTTTGTTTTGCTTTTCACATCCTGAAAACACGACATTTTACATATGGAGCATTGCTGAGATCAAAATGAATAAATAAACAAATACCTTCAATAATCTCTCCACAAACGTCCAATTGGCCTGAGCGATCAACGCTGGACTCAATTCAGTATTAGTCAGATTAGCTGAAAGCCGATTTAAAGCATTATTTGTTGACGGCTTTTGGTCAAAGTTTATTTCTTTGGCTCTCCATTTGTTTCCATTTTTTACCCGCCTTAAACTGTTACCTCTGCAATATTAGAGAACATGTAGGAATATGGCAAACACATTTTGCGGCAATTTTCTAATCTACAATTTACATTAGAATATTCATTTTTGAAGAGCGACTCGTAAAATAATTGAAACCCATACAAAATCGCTAACCCAAAAACAATTGATTTGTCCTTCGTTCAAGATCTACTTAAAAGGGATATGTTTGCGAACAAAATTGATTCCATTTTAATAGTTTCTCGTTATATACCCTCATGCACGTTTTTCGCAATTACCATAGTATATACATTCGATGATCGAATAATTGATTATAGATTAGATTATTTTATTTATTAAAAATGGATGTTAAATTAGAACCTTTTAACAGCATACTCTGAATATTTTCGTTACTCCAATCGTTGTAGGAGGAGCACAAAATAGAGAAAGGATTAACATCAATACGATTTATTTAATTTTAAAACTATTGTACTTTCCATTTCTTGAAATCTGCCTGGAAATTTTTACCCTGTCATGAATATATGCAACATCCAAATACATCCACATTTTACTAACGGGTTTCCTAACTTTGAGTTACGGCGAAGAAGTTATGTACAAAGTTAAGGGACCTACGCGTAGAATACAAAAAGATTCGAAATAATGACTTTTTAATGCCTGCGTTTATTGAAAACTACAAATTTGTAGCAGCGTGAGATAAACAACAAATGGTCTAACGCCTAGTTACTATTTGTGTTCGGGAATTCTGCTACAACATCGTTATACTTGGAAATGAAAGTGTTAACTTCTTGATTTATTTCTTTTTGGTACCAAGAACATAAGAAGCCTCATCGAAGACTGTCGAAAAACTCAAATCCGAAATTGGAAAAGTAATCAGATTAAACAGACCGATTAAACGTTTTAGTAAATACTTTGATAGATTCTATTATGTACTATTAAAAGCTAAAAATCTTGAGAAATTGATTGTCAGAACACACTTATTTATTTATTACCAAAAATGTATAAATGTTGGAATTCTGGTTCGTTAACGAAGATCAACTAGAAACATACATTTGACAATTGAAGTTTGCGCACCTTTTACTGTTGATTGCACCTTACCATAGTAAGAGTGGGGAATTCATGCAAGTAATAACAATTAAAAACATATTTCAAAGAATAATAACAAGATTAATTTTTTGACTCCTAAGTTTCGAATGTTAACAAATCATTCTTCCATTTGGTGCTTCTCCGACGTCGTTTAGAGTAGAGAAAATATGGCAATAGTGAGTTTGTTCCCATAGGCGAAACCCCCTAGTAGAAATCGGCAGAAAGCTGCATAAGTGATGCGGAGACTTCAGTGAATGAATTGCTACAATTTGCTAGAATTAAGGTTTAAGTAAAATATGCCCAGTATATGCGTGCTTCAAATGTTTATTTTATGTATTTGTTACAACATAAAAGCTTAGCGGAAGACAAAATTAATTTAAAATAAATATCAGAAACAATGTTAACAGTTAATGGAAAATGAACAATAATAACGATCACATCGGGTCAAAAAAAAGAAATAAAAATAAATAAATAAATAAAATATTCTGTAAAACTATAAAAAATATGTTTAAAATAATATCATACAGTATACTCATCGATTACATAATTTTACTGAAACAAAACTATTACATAGCACACCCACAAGTATTAGTATCTATAGTTTATAAAATGAGAATAAATATATTGTGATACATAAGAATAGGGAAAATAATCTACCTCGAGGTACATTCTTGATTTAGTACGGACTTTTCAAGAATGGGAAAGCTGCGAAAGTAAGCTGCGCGATTCGACAAAATTTCACTGGGCGGCGTTACTTCAATGTCCACACAAGTAAGCCGTTTTTCGAAGATTTGCTGGGCCTCCTGGCTAACAACACAAGGTTCGTAGCTCGTGGCACATATCATGTTTTCCCCATGACGTTTCCTACAAATGTAAAGCATTTATTGTACAATCAATATCTTGTCTTTTTGTTTCTGTACAGCAATAAAATATTTTGCCAAAAATAAAAATTGTTTCAATAAAAATGAAAAATGACTTGCAACAATTAGTTATTTCTGCGTTTCCAAATAAAAACCTTCTCAGTTGTTCTTAAATTTGTGGTAAAAATGCCATTAATCAATCAAGAAATAAATATTATCGGGAAAATAAAACGTATTCAATTATCAAAGGAAAACACCGCAGAGAAAAACACCAGATATCTACAAGATGGCTTTGCTGTTAGTCCAATTGACCAACAGTACGGTCCACACCAATATATAACGTTAAGTTGTCTTAGCTAGCTTCTTAAAATCAACAATACACATTGTTAGGACCGCTCTTACAGTATCGGTTTGGCCTTCCGGCTGCTCAAGACTCTCAGGTAGGTTCTCAACCGCCAAACGAACTTCGGGTCCAACATCATTTATTTCATGGGTGAACGAATACAAATATTTACTCTAAAACAAAACACACAGAGAACATTCCTTGAGGATTTTAAGGTCCCTTGCTGTTCGGAACCCCCACTCGGCCCACCCTACCATGGTCCACGAAACCCTATTTTTCATTATGTGGACCCCATTGACTCCCTTACTCTATTCACCACCCCACTCGACCATAATCCTTCCAATAATTTTTTCTCAAACAATATTCATTTTAATTCTTATAATACGATTCACATTTTTATTCGGACATTAAAATTAGGAAGCTGAATATCGAAATTACAAAGTCGAAAGGACCTTATTATTAGATTTGCTTTCTTATATTGTCAAAAATTAAATTTATTCCCTATCAGGACCTATACTAAGGGGATTGGGTATTTTTCACTGGCTTGAAATTTCGCCAGAAAGTTACCGACTATGTTAAGACGCCTACCTAATCGAGCTCAATTAAGTATATAATATTTCCGAGACCATCTACGTCTCATGACAAAAAAAAAACGGTTTATAAGACCCCTGCCCTTGATATATAGTCCCTTACAATAAATAAAAAAATAAAGAAAAAACACTCACAACAAAAATACTATAGTAACACAAAAATGTAAAAAAAATAAAAAACTTAGACTAAGATTTACGTAAATTGTTTCCTCGAATAAGTATCAAAAAAAATATAATAAAAGTATCAAAAAAAATAAAAATTAATAAAGTCAAACTTGGGTTTATTTTCTGCGCCTAACGGCCGGCTATAGTTTCCAAAGTATAAAGATGTTTATCGTTTTATAACACTTTGTTACCTTGCTGTTATACTGAACTCTTCCTGGGCCACTGGTATATTAGTTTTCCTTTCTCAGCGAGAAAACTGACATAAAATCACGACCATATGATGAATTTTGCAGTGTTGAAATATATTTCGGATAGAGTCCACTTTTCAGCAGCTGATCTTAGGCACTGGCACAGTTGGCATACACAGGGTGTTTGGTGACCACAGGATGCAGCTGACAATCGCTAGCTGCCGAGCGTATCTGTGGAGCGTAAAGGAAAGCGTTGGAATCTTTTTCCGGAAGCAACTTTTCCCGCTTTCCGCCATATACCTGCCTTTAAGAAATTATCAGCGTCCAGATACTAAGGTTTTCTTTAAGCAGCTACGAACGTCAGTCCAATTTTTAGTATTGCTCTTGAACTTTTCACAATCCTTTTTATTTGGAAGTGTTCGCTGGCTATCATGCCTTTAAACTTTATGTAACTCTTTATGAATAGTTTGCTTGTTTTATTTTTTTTTTATTCTGTTACAATTGTTTTGGAAACACGCATAAAATTACGCTCGCACTGAAACCGTTCACAAAATAAAAAGAAAGCTTCTTCGTGCTGACTTTGCTTTTATATGCGCATATTCCAACTGCAACATAATTCCAATAATGCATTTAATATTGGTATTAATACAATATAATTTCTCTTTCTTCCGCCATCATTGACGTTATTTGGGAAATTTGAGATATGGCGTAAAACTCACTCTCTCCCGTCGTCATTCAGGGACGACACCTTACATGGGATCAAGTAATATTTAGTACGGACGGTGTAGATACGCCATACGAACACCAACTGTTCTATGACAGCTGACATTTGTAAATAACAATTTTACAGAGAGGACAGAAGGTTTTTCTAAGTGGACCACCCGCAACAAAACTCCGGTTATGCCGAGCTGGCGAAGGGATAGACGGTGTGCGGAGCGTCCAGTTAAGATTTTTATATATATTTCCCCAATCGACTCAACGTGGGGAACTCCCACACCCTGAAAGCCGGGCATTATTAGGGAAGTGTTGGCCCCTTTTAAGTTATTTCTAAGAACGTTTACTTTTTGCTTACTTTCCTCAGATTTCCACGAGTTCATCCCCTGGTTTTGGATAATGGCAATGGCTGTTTTTTTGTTTGATAGAACCGATTCAAATCGTTCAGGGGGTAAGTTTCATGTTTTTATTCGCTTTAAGTATTTTGTTTTTATTAACTTTCTTATACGTATATAGGACGTTCACAAGACATCTACTTATCCTATATTGCACATAAGTATAAAGCTATTACAGCCTCCCCCCATTTTTAAAAAGGCATATCACAGTCATGTCATCACATTTTAATGTCCTTAGCATGAGCCACGCCTAAAGATTTACCTTGAAGGTCTTCGAGCTCATACATATTATTCCCAACAGGTTTCACTATCCTACATTTCCTAAACTTTCTAGCAAATTTTGCATTAAAATTCTTTTGGAAGTCGCTTAGCAAGTAATTGCGGCGATAAACCTCCTGACCTGGGGCGAACTTGGTTAGTCTAGCTCTTGGATTATACCTTTGGGCACTGGCTTCATAGGCTTTGTGCATATTTTGCTTTATTTTATCTCTTATAAGCATAAGTCGGTCGTTCCTGTCCAAATGAAGAATTTCATGTTCAGTGAGGGATTTTAACTTTGTTGCTAACTTGTAGTCCGAACCTTTAGTGTACATATGGTACCCGAATAGGGCAAAAAATGGTGATACGCCCGTCGCGGCATGTACCGAGGTTCGGAGAGCGCACTCGATTTCCGACAGATAGAGATCCCAGTCTCTATGATCATTTTCTAGATAAGCTCTAATGGCCGCCAGAACGGATTGATTAACCCGTTCTGAGGCGTTCGACTGTGGTGAATATGGGGCAGTTTGAAGGTGATTAATTTGGTAAACTTTTATCATGTCTTTGAATTGTTTAGAGTTAAATTGGGCCCCGTTGTCACTGTGGACAGTCTCAGGTACCCCAAATTTTCTAAAAATTTCCTCCACTAAAAATCGGATTACGTTACTGGCGGTGGCCTCTCTCATAGCCTTCAAACACACAAATTTAGAAAAATGATCCACAACGATAAAAATATATGCGTTTCCACACTTGGAACGTGGGTATTTGCCCAAAAAGTCAATATAAATTTTCTGAAAGGGTCTTTCTGTTTTGACTTCGTTTCCTAACGTAGTCTTTGTATTATAATTGACACTTTTGGTTTCTTTGCATGTTATGCATTTCCCGACATATTGACGAACCTGCGACGTCATATTAGGCCAATAAAATTGTTGCCTTAAACGGCTCAATGTCTTGCGTGTACCACCATGAGCGGATGTTGGAGAATCATGGGCCTTTTGGATCAGATGATGAGTCAAATGTTCTGGAACCCATATCCTCCACTCGTATTCGCCCAAAAACTCACAATTCTCCTGTCTTAGCCGCTTCAGCACTAGGTTATCTTCGACTTTTAAGTCTGGAAGTCTATTCTGATTATTTTCAATAACATTTTTCAGATCCCTGTATTCTTCACTGTCGAATTCATTGGTATTAACTTCAAATATCTGCTCTATGTCGATCTCTTCTATCCAGGGAAGTCTGGATAAAGTATCTGCCACTAAATTATCTTTTCCTTTTCGGTGTACGATGTCGAAACGGTATGCCTGCAACTGTAACGACCAACGGGCGAGACGACCACTTAAATCCTTTAAGTTCATTAGCCATTGGAGACTGGCATGATCTGTTATGACAGTAAAGTCCATTAATTCTACATATGGACGGAACTTCTTTATAGCCATAACAGCCGCCAGGCATTCTTTCTCCGTAACACTGTAGTTTTTTTGGCTGGAATTTAGCTTTTGTGAATAAAAAGCAATAGGGTGTTCGTCTTCCTGATCATTAAGTTGAAATAGTACCGCTCCGATACCGTATTCCGAAGCATCACACTGTATGAAGAATCGTTTTCGGAAATCAGCATGACGTAACACCGGGGCCCGTGTCAATGACCTTTTAAGGCTTTCAAATGCCTTTATTGCTTCTTCAGTCATGATGAATTTCTTAGATTTCTTAAGGGTGTCAGTTAAAGGGGCAGATATCGTGGCGAAATCCTTTATAAAGCGGCGATACCACCCTGCAGTGCCTAAAAAACTTCTAACTTCTCTTATATTTTTCGGTACTGCTATTTTCATAATGGCTTCCACTTTATCCGGATCTGTTTTTAACATACCATCCCCAATTATATAACCCAGATACTTCAATTCCCTGAAACAAAATTGAGACTTTTTAAGACCAATAGTTAAATTTGCTGCTTTGAGACACTGTGCAACTTCTTTCAATAATTCCATGTGTTGCTCAAAATCGCTCGAGATTAGTAGTAAATCGTCCAAATAAATGAACACATTTTCCTTTAATCGGTTTGGTACGACCTTATCCATCAGGCGACACAGACGTTGGGCAGCGTTGCATAGCCCAAAGGGCATTACCCGAAATTGGTATAAAGGTCGCCCGGGAACAGTAAACGCGGTATATTTCTTACTCTCCTCCTCTAACTCTATTTGCCAGAATGCAAATTTGAGATCCACGCTACTAATATAGTACGTCTCATCAATGCGGCTAAGTATGCCATCTATATTTTGTAGGGGATACGCGTCTTTTTCAGTTAATTTGTTCAACTTTCTCGCGTCGAGGCAAAACCTATTTTTCCCGGGTTTTCTTACCACCGTGGTTCGGTTACACCACGGGCTTTCACTCTCTTCGATTACATTTAGTTTCAGCATTTTATCTATTTCCTCATATGTGATTTGCTGCACTGCAGGGGACATTGGGTAATGCCTATCTTTAAATGGTACTGCTCCCTCTACCAGCTTGATAACATGCTTTTCAAGCTTGGTTCTACCCAATCCCATTTTCTCAAACGTATCAAATTCTTCAATTGCCTGATTCAATTTAAGTTTTTGTTGTTCTGTAAGCTGATGTGGTTTTAGTCGATGTTCCGTTCCCGTTTCTCTATATTCTTCAAAAACCTTTTCAATATTAATTTCTTCAACTGGTATGATTCCTGGAGCAAGATTAAATTTATGCCAGACATCAATACCTAAGTATAGATTTAGATCTAGATCGGGGCATAAATATAACTCCATGTTGTTAATGCTACCATCGAATTCAACATTTATTTCAATTTTACCAATTATACGATGTCTCCTGCCACTCGCAGTCCTAATATTGGTAAAAACTGGTTTCATTTCGATTGAAAGTTCCTCCAGTAGTTCCCTACACCCTTTCCCCAGGAGGCTTATGGACGCTCCGGTATCTAACAATCCTTCGAGGACTTTCCCCTTTATATAAATTTTAGCAAAAGGTCTGGGGTCTTTGAAACTCGTTTCGGCACGGGTTATGGTTTCAACCACAGCTCTTTTAACTCTTCTTTTCTCTATGGCCTTCTGCCTTATTTTAAGTATGCGTTTAGGAATATTTTTCTTTCCAACATCTTGGCCAAATATTCTCCGTCTAACTAACTCATAATTTGTTTGTCTCACTTCTAGTGGAACATAATGTCTCTGTTTTGCCCACGATTCACTTCCCTTAAATGTATGCCCTTCTTTTATTTCAGATTGTTTCAGCGATTCGTCCTGAGTCTCATTCACTTCTCGGGGTTTCCTGCCGGACGTGTCTCCCCCGTAGTTTCCACGCCCCTCCGGTAGTTTCCCTTTTGACAATTTGGACATTTGGGAGTTATCGTGTTTTGCTTACCACATCGATAGCAAAACAACGACCTTGCTGTGGATGGACAATCCACGAATGTGTGCCCTGATTCCTGACAATTCCAGCAAACATACACCTTGTTGTGCTGTTGTGCCATCCGAATAGCAGAGACAGTATCAGGTACCTCTATTTGAGGATTCGGTTCCTCATATTCATAATCATCATATGTGACTTCATTGACTTGCCTAATCTGTCGCGGAATCGGTGCCATTTGTCTTGTATCTCTTTTGGGAAAATTCTTTTCAGCATCTTTGCATTCCACTCGTAATAATTCCACTGTGGAAATGCTCATCGGGTATATAACCATTTTTATGTTTTCCCTAACATTACTTTTAATAATTTTGATCATGTCTTCATCAGTGATCGGAAGCGGTAATCGAGATCGGAGCTGTCCCATAGCATGAAAGTAGGTATCAATAGGTTCGTTCGCCATTTGTTTTCTCTCTACCAAATCTTTCATGGCCTCAAAAGGCGATTTAGTAGCCCGATACTGGGACAATAAAGCGTCCTTTAGACGAACCCATTGAGTGAATTTCCTCATCTTCTGCAATTGCCAGAACCACTCAAGAGCAGGTCCAGATACAAGCAACCTAAAATCCCGTAGAATTTCGTCCCATGGAATGTCATACTGTTCTTTGAGACATTCTAGGCGGAATATGAATTCTTCCACCGTTAATTTTAGCGGGTTTCCATCAAAGTTGATGCCAAACTTGTCGACTCGGATGCGCAAATGGTCTTTCATCGGTACAGGTGGGAAGTAATACCCAGTTGAAGATGAAGTTCCCGATTGTATTCGCTCCCTACTAGCCATGGCATTCGAAACAGCCGGAAGATCACTCTGGGGAATGTTCCCATTCCCAACATGCCCATCAAAATTTACTGTCCTTGGAGTTACATTAGTGGTATTTGACGTCATATTTTGAACTGTCTTGACCAAAATGTCTATTGTTTTCCTTAAATCTTTCACCTCATTGCTTACAATGTCTTTGACTCTTTCTTCCAGGTTCACATCTCTAGACTGAACTCTTCTAGTCCCCGGTGTAAGAAAATTGTCACCCTCATTTTCTATCCCAGTTGGTGCAGTTTGAGGGTTATTATCTATGTTCCCATGACCAGGACGATTTATAATGGTGGAAGATAAGTCCCTAAATTGCCCTGTATTTTCCATGTTTCCAGTTTCTAATTCATTCATCTTTTTCTTTTTAGGTTCGATTTGACCTTGATCGGAATTAGCATCAAAATGTAACGGCCAGTTTCTTTTATTCGCTGTCTTTGACCTGGTATACATTCCCTAAACTACGTTTTCTATATAGATAAAACTAGTTGTTAAAATGCACTTTGATACTTTTACTATCTTATCTTAGACTTAAAGTCTTTAATTTCTCTTTTTTTTTTTTTTTTTTTTTTTTTTGATTCTTGATCGAGTTTAATTTAAATTATTTGGTATATACCAGTCAATAAAATTACAAGTTTATCATCAAAAATTGTAATTTTCTATATTCTTTCACTTATTATTTTTAATATATATATATTTTTTTTATGGAAGGTTTATGGTAGTGTTTGTAAGGTAGATGAAATGGGAGCACATTGGCTAAAAAAAATCTAATTGCTATTATCGCCAATCTTTTCCTCAGACGAATTAAATCACATTCTTTTACTGCTTAAAGCCAATAAAAATGAGCGTTTAAAAATCCTCAGAATGTCCTTATAAACTTATAATATATGTATATGAACAAATAAATCTTCTAAGACTAGCTGCCATTGCATTACTTCCCTCTTTTTATTGAAAGTAAAGATCATATGGGTTGTGGCCATCGACACTTATCTCACGGGAATTATTCACCTGGGATGCCGATTTCTTATAGCCAGCAAAATCTTATCTTGGATCTATTCAAAATTATAAAAAAAAACAGTACAAAACATCACAGGTCGATTACAACATTCATAGTTACAAAAACACAACTAGAGATTGCACTAAGACCCTTTCCTATAAATCTAGCCAATATTATTCTAATACTAATATTGCACATTTAATCAGAACCTATCTAATCCATAGGTCTGGTTGCAATACCAGTTAGATACTTTAGCTGAGGACTAGATTTCGAAACTATTGAATCTAGGCTGATCTATTGCTTTGTGTTTGGGTATTACACACAATAAACATTACTTTTCCTTGAATTACCAATATGGCAATCTAGGTATTTATTTCTAAAATTGGGCGCCATTCTGTTAGGACCGCTCTTACAGTATCGGTTTGGCCTTCCGGCTGCTCAAGACTCTCAGGTAGGTTCTCAACCGCCAAACGAACTTCGGGTCCAACATCATTTATTTCATGGGTGAACGAATACAAATATTTACTCTAAAACAAAACACACAGAGAACATTCCTTGACGATTTTAAGGTCCCTTGCTGTTCGGAACCCCCACTCGGCCCACCCTACCATGGTCCACGAAACCCTATTTTTCATTATGTGGACCCCATTGACTCCCTTACTCTATTCACCACCCCACTCGACCATAATCCTTCCAATAATTTTTTCTCAAACAATATTCATTTTAATTCTTATAATACGATTCACATTTTTATTCGGACATTAAAATTAGGAAGCTGAATATCGAAATTACAAAGTCGAAAGGACCTTATTATTAGATTTGCTTTCTTATATTGTCAAAAATTAAATTTATTCCCTATCAGGACCTATACTAAGGGGATTGGGTATTTTTCACTGGCTTGAAATTTCGCCAGAAAGTTACCGACTATGTTAAGACGCCTACCTAATCGAGCTCAATTAAGTATATAATATTTCCGAGACCATCTACGTCTCATGACAAAAAAAAAACGGTTTATAAGACCCCTGCCCTTGATATATAGTCCCTTACAATAAATAAAAAAATAAAGAAAAAACACTCACAACAAAAATACTATAGTAACACAAAAATGTAAAAAAAATAAAAAAACTTAGACTAAGATTTACGTAAATTGTTTCCTCGAATAAGTATCAAAAAAAATATAATAAAAGTATCAAAAAAAATAAAAATTAATAAAGTCAAACTTGGGTTTATTTTCTGCGCCTAACGGCCGGCTATAGTTTCCAAAGTATAAAGATGTTTATCGTTTTATAACACTTTGTTACCTTGCTGTTATACTGAACTCTTCCTGGGCCACTGGTATATTAGTTTTCCTTTCTCAGCGAGAAAACTGACATAAAATCACGACCATATGATGAATTTTGCAGTGTTGAAATATATTTCGGATAGAGTCCACTTTTCAGCAGCTGATCTTAGGCACTGGCACAGTTGGCATACACAGGGTGTTTGGTGACCACAGGATGCAGCTGACAATCGCTAGCTGCCGAGCGTATCTGTGGAGCGTAAAGGAAAGCGTTGGAATCTTTTTCCGGAAGCAACTTTTCCCGCTTTCCGCCATATACCTGCCTTTAAGAAATTATCAGCGTCCAGATACTAAGGTTTTCTTTAAGCAGCTACGAACGTCAGTCCAATTTTTAGTATTGCTCTTGAACTTTTCACAATCCTTTTTATTTGGAAGTGTTCGCTGGCTATCATGCCTTTAAACTTTATGTAACTCTTTATGAATAGTTTGCTTGTTTTATTTTTTTTTATTCTGTTACAATTGTTTTGGAAACACGCATAAAATTACGCTCGCACTGAAACCGTTCACAAAATAAAAAGAAAGCTTCTTCGTGCTGACTTTGCTTTTATATGCGCATATTCCAACTGCAACATAATTCCAATAATGCATTTAATATTGGTATTAATACAATATAATTTCTCTTTCTTCCGCCATCATTGACGTTATTTGGGAAATTTGAGATATGGCGTAAAACTCACTCTCTCCCGTCGTCATTCAGGGACGACACCTTACATGGGATCAAGTAATATTTAGTACGGACGGTGTAGATACGCCATACGAACACCAACTGTTCTATGACAGCTGACATTTGTAAATAACAATTTTACAGAGAGGACAGAAGGTTTTTCTAAGTGGACCACCCGCAACAACATACTTTGTAGAAAAATATAAACGTCATCGGCACACAGGTACAAAATATATTTGTCATCAGACAAACGAGAGAAATATTAACAAAACGGATTCACATTTTGGTTTGGGTTATATATAACCACATACCCGATTCAAGATATTGTTAACTAAATACAATGAATAAAAATCATTAGTTTTTGTTCGAAACACACTGTTAGAGTGAAAACAAATGAATTTTATGATCTGGAAGAACATCAAGGGCTATCCCGCTGTGCAGTAAAAGTTATCCAAAGTATTGTCAAAATTGTCATTGCCTGGTATCGCTGGCACTAGAAAATATGAGTTTCTCCGAATCCGAAATGGTATCACAAAAATTGCTGGGGAAGTAATCCACGAGCCGACTTGAGATCGAGACCAAATATAGATCATGGTATTGCGTCGCTTACGATAACCACATGCAATGAAGGTTGGTGCAGAATTGTTCCGTCTTAAAACGGATAAACGGATATAGCGATAGGCACTACATTACTGCCCCAATAACTTGTTATTCCAACAGTAATGAATTATGTGTTTTTTCTGCCAACTCAAGAATCAAAGATTTTGAGGAATGTGTCGGGTGGGTTTGCCAGGGCAATTAAAGAGGTGCAGCGTAGTGTGCGGTCTCTTATCGCACGCCGGCAGACGACAGCATCATTCTGAACATAGTTGGGCCAAAACTACCTTGGTTTGTCCAGGCATCCGACGTTCTTCAGTTGGAACGGATGGGAGTGGATCATACTATAGTGTCCACGGATAAGTGAACATGTTCTTATAATCAAGGAGATTCTTATAAACTGAGATCTCTTTTTAGATGAGAGCATGTGTTGGGTTAAGTCAAATAATCATAAGTAGTTCTTAAGAAATATATTTATAATGTCTAGTAGTAAATGTTTCTAAGACAAAAGCAATGATATTTGGCCCACCTGGTCGACTGAACAGCAGTATTAATATACAGGTTAATGGTGTAGCAGTGGATTTTGTTGACCGTATAAATTGTTTAGGTGTTGTCCTTGATGCTAAGCTTGACTTTTCTTTGCATATTGATGCATTGTACCCCAAAGTTATAAATATGCTCCGAAAACACATTACACTCAACTGATTTCTATTTGCCCTTCTTCGTAAAAAGAAATCTTGCCTTTTCTATGTTATTCTCGGTAATCTCCTATTGTATTGAAGTGATTTCTGGTACAACACATGAGCAATTTATGAAAATTGAAAAACGTTTTAACATTATGTAAGATATGTTTACAATTTGCGTCGTTCTGACCATATTTCTGCACATGCAGTTCTCGTTCTAAGAGTGTCACTCTCTACTTTTGTTAAAAAACGCGTGATTTAATTTCTATATAAATTTTTCTGTTAAAATCTTCCCGCTTTTCAGCGAGATCGAATTGTGTTCTCTCGGTCTACTAGGAATACGCAAATAATTTTTCCACATTTTTCTACACCCTTGTATAAAAGATCTTTCATGGTTCGTTCCGCATGAATCTGGAATCAGCTTCCAGCTGAGCTAAGACAGTTCTCGTTCTCCCGCGGTGTATTTCGCCGCATGTTTGAAAACTTTGCAGAGACAAATGGAGGTTAACGATTTGTGTGTTAATGATATATAACGATACTGTATTGTTTGATTCAATGTTGTTTTCTATTACCAGCAATAGACATATAAATACATTTTTCTTGAAATACACATAAATACACTATATGATAGTTCGGAAGACTGCTGCGGTGAGAGGACATTACGACATGATGAGGTCCAAAACATAATAATAACAAAATGTCGGTGTCCACTTCTCTTATTTCACCGAACATGACTGCTGCGGTGGAGAGGAGACATCACGACATGATTAAGTTCTAAAAAATTAATGACTTAATTTCGGTGACCACATCTTTTACATCACCGATAGAATTAATAAGATCACATTGCCTTGGCATTACTCCACACGAAGTCTGCATACCCTGTCTGGATTACAACTCATTAAAGACAAACTGGAGAAATCTAGGACAATTTTTGATGCACAAGTTATACCTTCGTGTTATTCTTACATCAACTAACTTGATTTATGAAAGGGTATAAAACCCACTCATTTTTTTAATTAAATAGTAAGGTTGTTTTTTCATTTTACACACACACACACATCAGCAACATATTTAAAATATAACTCCTAAACATTGAAACAATATGTATCATAACTAAGTAAAAAGGAACATTGTTCCGAGTAACATGTACGAGCAAGAACCACTGTCAAAAGACTCGAAATGTTATATAAATAGGTAAACAATAAGAAGACATTACGTTACAAAAGTTAACACATTTTGAACTACTTACCTTAAAAGCTTAATTCTTTGATCAAACATTTTTAAATTAGGATCCGGCTCTTTATCCCATATGGAGAGTATTTTGTTGTCAACTAATGTTGCAAACATTTGAGATTCCAAAAATTGCGACAGGAATGGTCTATGATGCTCCGGTTGATCCGAGAGAAACGAAGATTTATCAAAGTTCTGTATGGTCTCTCGATTACTCAACCATTCATCTCTATCCTGATTTGGATAGATTACGAAAAATTCATAAGCAAAAAACATATGTACAAAACGATTTAGGAAAATTTCCCGTAGAGCGTTATTTATTCGTAGATCTTGATAGTACTGGTCTTCCGGGCTTAACTGCGGTTTAACGTCTCTATTGCGTGTTCGTGTCGGAGAAGACATCGATGGTGGAATCGTAGCTGTGGCATCGACATGGTCGCCTGCACCGGGTATAGGAGATGATGATCGCACGTTTTTTCTTCTGAGAAAATCTGCAATGCGCGGAACATGGTCGATTCTCGATGGATGTGCCACAAGCGGCTGATAATGCAAATTGCAATGGCTATTACTTTCTGGAGATGAGCCTAAGGTGTATACAGTTTCCTGGAGTTGTTGAAAACGCTCCTTGCTTCTACGTGCGGCTTGTAAGCCACTTGGCAAAGTGCAACTGCTGATCATAACATCTTGATCGCGAGAGTAACAATTTCTTATATTAGGTTCATTTATACGGTCTCGCTCTATTTCAAATTTATCTAAAATGGAAATAATCTCGGCCATAAAATCCATTTTGTGTGGAAAAACCGGCAACTCTTCTGGCAGTTGTATGATTTTCTTATCTATGTCAACGAAACATAGCGTTGCCTCAGACCCAATTTTATTAGCGGCCTCGCATTCTGCGTGCAGTCCCATGACAAAGGGCACTGGAGCATCGAGAAAATGATGTAGAGCAGCTGGTAGAATTGGTGCATATACATGTGGCCAAACAAAAGGGAAAAGAATCGAAGTTATACACTCGCCGACGACCATCAGCTTTTGATAATCTAAAAAAAATGTTTAAATTTGACACTGCTACGAACCTCCGATTCTAAAGGTACCTACCATTAGACCGAAGCAAAACCTGATTTTCCAGTAAAACACATGTAAGTAATTGAATAACGCACTCCACTCCTAGGTAAGTAAACAACAATCTTAGGGAAAAATCCAGTAAAGGTAGTTCCAAAGGTACTTCCGGCCGTTGCAAAGTTAGTGCTATTGGGGGCAAATGTGCTTCTGAAGGGGGTAAGTAAATTCGAATAGATTTTCCAGGATGAGGCAACATTACTTCATACAATATATTATAGACATATGATTCGAGACTTATACCAGGACCTGGCTGGCGCGGAAGACATCTGAAACATATAAATAAAACTCACTTTTTAGGAAATGTAAGAAATAATGTACACGAAGCATACTTATATAGGTTTCTCAGGAATATTTCAGCTGCAAACGCGTATGGTTGCTGGCATATTAATGAAATACTTTTGGCAACATAGAGCTTGTCTTTCGTAATGTCATAGTAACTTTGTGCTGATTGAGGAGCTTGACCAGCCACTTTGAAATGACGAGGTAATGATCTACTAACGGGACTGTCTTTTATACGGGATAATGAATGTGTTTGTTGGCCATTGGATAGTTCAGTAATGAACATGGACTGTAAAACAAAATTAAGCATTTATATTCATATGTATGTCATAGTCATGTCTAGTGAACTTAGCTCACCTGTAGCGTATGCATAGCACTGCATATATTTCTATTGCGTATTTCTTCGTAAAATACGAGACTAAACCCATAGCAACGCTTGCCATCTTCTCTCGTGGTGGCAAATGAATGAAATTTCGGTTCAATGCTATGTTTTTGTGTTCGAAAGCGTAATCCTTGGGGCAATGACAGCTACATTTTAAAGTAATAATTTTTATAAAAAAGAAATATGAGTAATAAACACAGATCATAAGCACATCAATCACCCATTATATTTTATTTATTTTTTAATTCGTTGTAAAGAACTTTTCCCTTGAAAATGAATGCAAAAAACCATAAATTATTTTTGAGATCAAACAACACTATTATTATTCATAATCAGATTTTACGCATAGTATACACTTATGTAACCCGGATTCGGTACATTCATTTCATAGTTTCATTTGATAAAAGGAGTTAAATTGGCCGATATGGCCAAAAGTTTATATTAACTTGCATCAATATCAAAACAGTTTTTATCTAAATTAATTACAAATATATATAAATATATCATCAGCAAAATCAATTGCAAACATCCCAATCACCATCTGGTGGATAGGCAACCTGCCCCAGGCACGTAAGAAGGGAGGTATAGAGGTATAAAGAGAGCGTCTCAATGGGCCGGTGTGGTTCGCTAAGTGCTACACAGTGGAAAAATATTCAGTCCTGCTAAAACGCCGCCCTTAGAACTGAAATATGGTGCCTCCTCATGAGGCGAAGGTGCAAGGTGCAAGAACATAATAAAATCCTGTTAAAAAAAAAAACCTGCTGGAAGCCATCTCAATCTTCATCTGATGGATAGGCCTACTCCCCAGGCACGTAAGGGAAGACCTTAAGGATCTAGACGGAGGTACATATGTATAAGAGAGAGCCTCTACATCAACATGCCTATAAAGCAGGCACAGTTATGTACCGAATAGTGCAGACGCAGCTACGTGCGAAACATCTGCCCAGCATGTGGCATAGGCAAGGGGGTTTTTAAAATGCTTTGACGAAAATGATAAATTGAATCCATTATTATTTTACTGCAATTCACCGAGGCTTATGTATTTAATTTTTTAATTTTTATTTAAGCGGCCATTGGTTAGCAAATTAAACTACAAAGCCGATACATTAATTAAAAAATTAACAAAAATGGTTTTGGTTGGTTGGTTATGTTTGGTTTTATACAACATAAAAGATCGGCTGGAATAGTTGGATCCTTCTTGGAAAACAAAAAAGAAAACAATATTTATTGTCCACACGGAAATTTACTTGTAGATAGAGAAAGTGCGCCACTTTATTTTGATTAATAGAAATAATATTAAATTTGAATTTTGCATAGGGCTCAATAATCAATTTGCGAATTCAAACAATTATTGGTACAATTTTGTATGGGTAGAATGACCTAGAACAATTTGTGCTTCACAATACCAAACGAAATAAGATCTTACCATACAAATTCCGTGTGAGTCAAACGGATTCCAGGACACATTCTCTGGATAATGAGCCAACGGTTTACTTTTATATGCCCGATCCAAAGGGGAACATTGTAGATTGTCGCCTGAGAAAGATTTCGAGTTTCAGTACCGGTCCATATAAACAGTTGTAAAATATTTTGTGTACATTACCAGCAAACCTGTCGGGTTCCAAACCAGTATCTAAATCTAAACCACATATAACAAAGTAGTCAGCGAATCGTGAGAATTGTGGATCACAATCTTTTTTCATTTGTCGCAATTCCGCTGTACCCTGCACATCTTGGTTTGTTGGTGAAGTTGGCGAATTCGATGACAGAGAACTTGGTGAATCATTTGTTAGAGAGGAAGTGCTCAATTTAGAGGCTGTAGAAGTATCGGGTGCCACTTGTGAATTAATGGACTTGAGTTTTCGCATGGCCACAAATTTCGGCTTGTTAAAGCCAGCCTCGCCGTCATTGACATTGTTGTCTTTTGTTTCTAGCTGTGACGTGGATGCTTTAATGTTCAAACTTTTTGACATTCGTTTGACAACATTATCCGACATGTTTTGTTGCAGCAAATAATTGCGTTCTTTTGAATCGAACTTTCAATTTATATTCTATTTCAATTTTATCTGTATTGTGGCTTCAAATGAAGCAATTAGGACAGTTTACCCATGCATTCCTCTCGGCTTTCAACACTTAAAATTAAAAAAATATCTATTTGTTTACGGAATGTCGACGAAATTTCTTTCCCACTAATCCACCGAGATGTAATTTTCCTTGTTTTTGTGGAAACTGCTTTCTTTATTGGATACGAAAAAATCCATCCAATTGTGTATCGAAAGTATAAAGTATACGGTTCCCCTTCCAAGCCTTCTGACTACCAACTTTAATGGCATTGTGATTTAATGCTATTGTGATTGAATTAAAAATTTTTCTCCGATATCATTTATAAAGGGAAAATCGGTTATCGTAGTTTGATAGACATGATAGAAAAAGAAAAAAGAGGAAGGTAGTCGCATCCACACAGCAGGTGGCAGTGAACTGATTTCGAAACAACAACTTCAACATCGTATAACAAAACAGTCATATCAATGTTGTCAATGTTGATGCATCATGGCACTTGGCTTCAAAACGGCATTTGGAATCAACCATGATGTTCAAGGCCTATTAAATAGTCGTTGAAATTGCACTGAAACTACAACTGAGATCTAAGAAACCTCATAATGTCATTACAATGTGGGTAAAATTGTTCTACCAAAAACTGACTTGGAGAACATTTTATATGCCAAAATACTCGTAAGAGCCAGATTTCCGTCCTGAAAACTAGTGGAATATCAGAAAATTGGAAAATTTGTTCTACCAAAAACTGACTTGGAGAACATTTTATATGCCAAAATACTCGTAAGGGCTTCCACTTTCATTTGGCATTCACAGTTTTTGGACGTTTTTATATGGAGGCTTCCAGAGGCAGATTCCCGTCCTGACCACCAGTGGAATATCAGAAATTTGGAAAAATTGTTCTACCAAAAACTGACTTGGAGAACATTTTATATGCCAAAATACTCGTATTGGCTTCCACTTTCATTTGGCATTCACAATTTTTTGGACGTTTTTATATGGAGGCTTGCAGAGGCAGATTTCCGTCCTGACCACCAGTGAAATATCAGAATTTGAAACTGTTGTTGTATCATTAGCTAATTTGCGATGTTATGTATGGAATTAATAACTGGGGTATGAGAATTCATTATCGAACAAAATTTGTTTATTTCATGGACCATTTCACAATTTTATACATTAATTTTGTTTTCAAATCGGTTCCAGGATTTTTCTCTGACGCACAGTTGAAAAAAGTGAAATTTCGATGTTCTGAGTCACCCTGTAGTTTTGGTGAAATTCAATATTATCGATAGTTTGCAACGTTGCTAATTTCACGATTGATACTATCGATATTTTGCATTAGATTGAATATCGATTGATAGTTACTCATATCGATATTATCGGTCGAAATGAATGTACTCAAGGTGTATTTATAAAGTGTAGCTATCAGCTACAACAATTAACTTTATTAACTTTTTTCTCTGTTTTGCCATCTTTGGTCTGTTCCAAAACTGCAAGAATATAAAAACTCTTATATTCTTGCAGTTTTGGAATAGACAAATTCTTGTTATAAACACTGTAACGTCGTTCTGACAATTTGATAAAAAGAAAACAAACAACATTTGTTTGGACCCATGGTAGAAAAATACGGGTAACGCAAGTGTTATTGTACAATAATCGTAACAACTGTCACATACAAATTTGTTTTTGTAAGTAATTCAAGTGTCAGAGTTATGCGTCCAAAAATTGAAACAAAATAATTAATTTTCGATAAGTTATTTTAATTTCAAAAGTATTATTAAATTGAAAATGCAGAAGAATACTTCTTAAAATATTTAATTTTAATGCTTTCACATCATTCTCTTGAATGTTTAGTTGTTAGCTGTTGGCCCTAATCTCTCAACACTTCAAGCAATCGCGGAAAAGGCAATATCTCTTTCAAGTTGAAACCAAACAGCATACATACATAAAGTATTCTACATTTTGCAATTCTAGGAAACTGATATATACAAATATATTATCTAACGTGGTGTCGCTGTTCCTTAACCACTAAAACGTTTCCGAATCATCGCCTTAGGCGTTTATTAGGCAAAAATATGTTCGCTTTGACATAAACATGACATTATTCTCTCCAAATTTTCATAAATCGCTAAGCAAACAGACCAAATTGGTCTGTTCCAGAAACTGCAAGAATCCACAAGTTTCGCAATTTTTCTCGATATTATAAAAGGAAAATCGGTTACCGTAGTAAAAACTTTTACACTCTTGCTGCGCGCATCTAACCTATACGAAAGTGAAACCCATACATTGGAGATATTAACCAGTTTTGCCATGGACAAAAATATTGAACCGTTTGGATGCATTTCATTCATATTTAATCCACTTTTATAATTAGAAAAAAATAAAAGGAGCCAGTAAAAGCTTGAATAATTCTGCCTGATTCTATAAACGTTTATTACCTTTCTTTATAACAAAATCCAAGCAATTAGCATATTTGTTATTGATGTGTTTGCTTACTCTGGGACATGGACATATAATTGATGTGTTTCAGGTAAGTATTTATAATCACGTATGTGTGAAGTCCTCGGATGCAGTTTCCATGATATTATAAAGCATAGGGGTTTTTGTGTGTTATATGCTAAATTCCACACTTAATGAACAAATTGGAGTTCCTTTGATTAGAACTTCAATATTTAACGATTCATTTCTAGTGCGGGTCGATAGAGTATGGAGCCTTTTACCTTAGTTCTTTGAAAATGTTCTCATATTCTTATTTATACACATTTAACAGTGTTACCTAAAGTTCGACGTAGCGTATACAAATATTCTCTCACATACATTAATTTTGCTTGTGTGGTGAAAAATGTCGACCGAGTACGTTAAATTCTAGTTAACACTGTAAGAAAGAGTTCCAATTATATTTCAATTTTATAGGGCCTTAATTTGCATGCTAATCAAACTTCCAATACTCATATGGCTGGGGAGCCGCTTATTATTTTTATTTGTAATTATTCATAATTTTTAATATTGTTGTTTATAGACAATAGTTACTACCATAGTGTTAAATATTTAAAAAAAAAAAACACAAAATTTTGTCAATTTGAATGGAGTTTTGATCATGGCGTATTTGGTTAATGCGGTCGTACAAAATATGTGATTATGGTGAGTATTTTTGTCCGCAACGCAACCATTTTGGTAAGGGTCTAACTATAGATCCCTGTTAATAAGATGGCGTTGTTTTTTGCACGAGAAAAGTTAGTTCGATATCCACCGATTGAAATTAGAGTTTTTGTTTTGCGGGCCTGCCGATTCAATTCAGCTTATAGGGAAATTGCAGTTTGCCTATGAAAATAACACTGTAAAATCTTGTTCCAGTGGTGTCGCCTGAAAACCTTTTTGAGAGTTGGAAAGGAACGAGCCAACATGGCTGGTGGCAACGGGCCATGCGTGATCCAGGTCACAAATATAGCACCTCAAGCTACAAAAGATCAGATGCAGGCTTTATTTGGCAATATCGGAAAAATCGAAGAGATCCGCCTCTACCCAACCGTGCGTGATGTCTCATGTCCTGTGCAGTCACGTATTTGTTATGTGAAATATTTTGAGAGTAGCTGTGTTGCCGTGGCTCAACATTTGACAAACACCGTTTTCATAGACCGTGCTTTAATTGTTATACCCGTTTTAGCAATCCCGGAGGAGTATAGGGCATTGGAGATGTCAAAAAATGGTACTATAGTCCCAGGTCTGCAAAAGCCTGACTCGAAACTACCGCCTGAAGTAGTGAATCGTATTGAGGGTCAGTCGCCACAGCAGGTAAGTTTGAAGCACGTATACGTTTGCACAAACACTTATTAAAACTTATGTTTTTCATTAGGTTATAAAAACATACGACCCAAAACTGGTAGAAAATAATTTGCCAGAATACCCTGCTCTGCCATCATTTTATGATTCCCGTAAAATTGAAGAGATTCGTCGGACTATATTGGTATGCGATGTTAAGAATGAATGGCGTTTGGACGACTTAATGGACTTCTTCCAACGGGCTGGGGAGGTAAAATATGCTCGTTGGGCTGAAAAAGACAACAAGACCTACTGTATGATAGAATTTTGCGAGCAGCCTAGCATCATAAACGCTTTAAAAATGCACGGGCACGAGTTTAAGGGTGGGTACCTTAGTGTATATCATTCGACAGATGCTATTATAAAACCAGAAGCAAAATCGAATGAAGCCGCCCAAAAAGAAATAGAAGAAGCTATGACAATCGTGAAGGAAGCGCAAAACATGATATCTGCGGCAATAGATCCGGTTATTGGAATGTTGGCAAAAGATAAAAGACGTAGGTCTCGGTCCCGTTCACGTTCTCGAGACCGTCGTACCAGCCGTTCTCGTTCCCATCGTTCGCGATCACGAAAACGATCACGGTCCCGTACACGTAGGCGTTCTCGAAGCAAGTCCAAACGTCGATCACGTTCACGTTCTAGACGATCGCGTTCCCGTAAGAGATCGCGCTCTCACAAGCGGTCCCGTTCTAGACGAAAAAGTCGATCACGTTCTAGATCTAAACGACGATCAAGATCCCGCGATCGTCGTAGCAAACGGTCACGCTCTCGCCATCGTCGCAGTTCTTCCCGCTCCAGACGATCGCGATCGCGCACAAAACGCTCACGTTCACGTGACCGTAAACGATCACATCGCACACGTGAAGAGAAACGAACATCGCGATCTTCCCGATCTCACAGTAAACGTTGCTCCATCTCTCCTTCGCCAGCTTCAGTTCGCTCTCGTTCCAGCCGCAGCAAAGACATTGGCCCTCCTACCTCTAAAATATCCAACAATAACTCCTCTAAACGTCGTTCCCGTACTCCAGCCGATCGCAAATTGAAAACCATAGTCGAAGATGATGTTAAGAGCACAAGGTCAAGTGTAGATTCTAAGAATCGCAAATCAGTTAGCGTAGAAAAATCGGACAACATGGACATTTCTAATTCGCCATGAAACAATATTAATTTCTACCAACAGACATGCATATATTAATTATTTTCAACAAGCATTGACGATTTCCACTTATATCTGTACGGTTGAAAAATACTTTTACTTCTTGCAGCATTTACATTTACGTTTTATCTTAAGTAAAGGTAATACGTATTAAGTATATTAATAACAGCAGAACTAAATAACAAAAATTATCGGCTGCTTTCAATAAAGATTGAAACTCACAAATTTCGTCATTAACCTTTAATTTTTACAATACTGTATTTAATCTGTTTTAATTTCTACCGTACCACCATTAGCTGACTTTGATTTCATTTGCAATTGAATACTGAACTCAAAATAAAGCTAATTTAAGTACAAAAATCTTATTGTCATTTGTTGTTGTTGTTGACGAGTCTACAACTCAGTCTTTTATATAGACATTATCAAATGTGCAAAGAATTTCGACAATATTTACATGATTATACTTATAACTAAGCAAGGTAATTTCAAATGCCAGCTGATCTGCTACTATCGCAGTCTTCTCCTGAATATTCCCAGGGAGTCAAAAATTCTCATGTTTCAAATTTGTAAATTTCTCATTTATATTAGTTAGTTTGTCCAAGTATTTCTAAACTTCTGTTGGTTTAAGAATGTTTATATGTAAAATGTTTGAAGTGGTATGGAAATAAATTTGGCTCATTTATAAATTTAAGGTGTAAGTACATAAGAAGCTTGAAGTCATGGCTAGACATATTAATGTCAAATAATAATTGAAAACCACGGCAGGATTTTAGTGCGGCTCTGTAATCCCTTTATGAAATATCGCAAAATGTACTTCAAGCTTTTTATGTATTTGCACCTTTACTTCTGCCATAATGTTTAAGTCAAAGCCAGATTATTAAGCAATTACCCAATGTTCATCCAGAATGGTAGTTTTACTTCAAAGGAACTAGGGCTCGTACTAACGTTTAACGCAAGCAACAATTGGTTTTGTTTATATTATTTTTTCACAATTTCGTTTTAACCCAAAAATGTGAAAATTGTACTTTGAAACACAATTCAATCATTCCATTAAAGTCTTCTAGTACGTTTACACCCAGTCGGTTTTAAATTCTCAATTCCATTGCATATGCATGGTAGAATTCATTTGACATCTCACTGTCAAAATTTATATTTATAAATCCATTGTATACAAAGAAAACTGAGATGGGAACCTGTTTTTATTCAGTGAAATTTGACAAGGTAAATTACAGAAAATGCAGAGATGGATAATCCTTAGTCCCTATTATACCTATAAAATTTCATCCTGGTGGAACTGCAAGTGCAATATCTGTCCTGACGATATATCAAGCATCCCAGAAAGAGGCGAGATTGTTAACGAGGAGCTTATATGGACAAAATATTTAAAAGATTTTGATTGGCGCTCAACCAAAAATTTTGTCAGTTATGTCGCAGCGGGTTCATGAACGCATCTCTCCAGAATATGCGCATGTAACTCAAAAAACAATCTGGTATTTCAATTTATCTGGAATACAAGTGATGTTGACACTTATGTCGCAGCGGGTTCATGAACACATCTCTCCAGAATATGCGCATGTAACTCATAAAACAATCTGGAATTTCAATTTATTTGGAATACTAGTGATGTGTCCGAGTTTTATATTCCTAAATTATGGGCGATGCCCGACCGTTCACTAATTTGTATGCTTTGGTGGTTTTGTGCCTTTTTGTAATGGTTGATGCTGTATTAAACTGTTTATTTTCATACCCTCCGCCATAGTATGAATGGCACAATAACGCCAAAGAAAGGAAAGGAGGCCTTTGAAAAAACATTTTCATTTTCTATTGCTTAGTATATTCCCCACATAAAGACTTTTTTCGATATTCGGTATTTTGAAGCTTTTCGATCATACTTTATCTTCAGGCGCACAAATTTTGTAAATCGATTTCATTCGGAGTTAGGATATTAAACGGATTTAGGTCATTACTCCGAAAAACATTAGGTGTATGTCTTTTATCAAAGCGAGGACATTAAATTTTCATTCGCACGAATTCGGAATTCTTCAACCATATATAATTTCCAATTCAATACTTTTCTTTGGTTTGAAAAAAGTTACAAACCATATGATTGCCAATTACACCTTATTGAATACACCTTGTGTAGGGCTATGATACCATATGATTTTAATTTTTTTTCTTGGCTACATTTTTCCCTTTTTTGTTTATGTGTGTGTATTCGGGTGTTTTCAAAATGATTATTGCAACGTATGCTTCTAAAAAATCTACAGTTTTATAAATATATAGAACATGAAAAAAATGTTGATCTTTCATTCAATTTTCTCGGTTTATTATTTATTCAAAATCAATGCAAGAAGTTGTTTGGTTTTTTGATTATTTTGATAGTATTTCTGAATTACTAGCCAAACAAGTAGTCCTCTATACTTGCAATTTTTCAAAGTTAGCTTAAAGTTTTCAAGATATCATAGAGTTTTCAACATATCATAGCGCTTTATCAAAATGTGGCTACAATCATCAAAATACCGAATATTAAGCGATACCGTTTTATGAAAGACACAAGAAAACTTGGACCAAACTTAAAATAACGCATTAGAACAAATCCTTTAGGACATGAGGGTAAAATCGTCTAAATACAGAACATTGAAAGGTGCCGGTATATATAGGGGGCTATAGGAAAACGTGGATCCATCTATATGCTACGCCACAGGAGTTAGAACGCATTACAAACTGAAAATACCAAATTTTAAACAATTAGCAAGAAAAATGTGGGAAAATCATATAAAATCATCATACTGTCAAAATTGTTCTTTACGTTTTCAAAAGTTTAATTCAAAATTGCGTGCATTTTGACAATACGGATGAAATGAGCTGGTCTTATCGGATGTCATGGCCTATGCATCTACAGCAGGTTGAGTTATCAAAACGCTTATTGTGATTTATTCATAGTACGAAAGATAAACTAAATGTAAACAAAAGTTTTAAAGTAAAGAAAGTAAAAGAGGTGTTCAACTAATATGAATTTTCAATATAACGAATTAAAATAAATAACCATAAAAAGGATTTTTCCGGAATTTTAAGACAATTCCATCTTATTCAGAAGGACTTTGAGACAATTTCATCGAAAAATTTGGCTACAATAATCTAAGTACTTAATATCGGGAGGTACCGTTATATGGGGGATATACGATATTGTGGACCTATATAGACAATTCTCTTCCAGGGCGTAAAGTACTCAGAAGGAACTCCTGGTGTGGCTTTTGAAACAATTTCATAAAAAAAATTGGCTAAATCATCAAAATACCGAATATCGGGAGACATATATTGACAATTTTCTTCCAGGGGGTAAAGTACTCAGAAAGAGCTCTTGGTGGGGATTTTGAGACTTTCGAATATACTATAGATTTTATATATTTCAAAGAATTTGTTCTTTTCCACTCACTCATCGCAAAAAAGTCAGACGGCTTTAATTTTAAATGTTACAAAAAATAGGTCACTTGTCTTGCACAAAAAGTTATGTAATTAATTTTATAATTATTTGAAATTTATGAATTCCAAAAGTTGAACAATTTCAACATTGACAATTGAACAATTTCTATTTTGGTATGTAGAAAATATAAATGAATAATACAAAAGATGTAAATGTTTGTGATTTGAAAATATTACAATGGGGGGTGAATTTAATAAAACATCAATTTTTGATAAAGTCAATATTTATTTTAGACATTTACCGGACGTATTTTAATAATACGGACATACAAAACATTTTACCATAGTGGTGAAGTTGAATATTTATGTACGCTACGTCGAATTGTAGGGAACGCTGTTAAAGGGAGAATTTGTTATCTTAGTAAAGTCTTTACACTCTTGTAGATCTGGAACAGAGCATATATTTACTAAAATTATTGGTCTGTTCCAGAACTGATGTCGAAAATAGTTGCAAAAACAGACTATATGTATGTAATAATTATGCTCTTTTAGAAAATTCCCCTTATTACCCGTGTTTGGATATATTAGTCAGGCAACACGATTAGTCAGGCAACAAACGACATATCGCCGTCTAAATAATTTTCAGTCGGCTTTATACTGTGTTTAATTCAAACGCAAATCGACGAAGTGTGGTAAATCTTTTTTAGAAACGGGTGGTTATTGTGTTTTTATCTTAGATTTGAAATATAGTTTCAGAATCATTTTCAGTACTTATAGATCAACGTTAATAAGTTGCAGTGAAACAGATTTGACAGGGACGCCATTGATCGTATAACTTTTTAAAATTTTTGGAAAATCGATTTTCATTTTCAGTGTAAAGCAGGCCAGCAACAAAAAGACGAAAGTCGTTCGTACCACTAAAGAACAAAAGAACAACAACAGTATCAATTACAGAGCGCAGGCTAGATTCTGTGGGTGGGGATCTTAGATTTTTCCATTTCTTAAGGATGGCCGACGTCGAGTCTTCGAGTGCTGTACAGCAGCCACCATCTTCGACAACCAACATTATTCCCCTTTTAGCTGCCGCCGAGATTCTAAATGAAAACAACAGCACAACTGCTTCCACGTCCAATTTGTCACAACAGGCAAATATGCAGGCCAATAATGGTGCCTCAAACGCTACTAATGTGACAAACACCCCGTCTGATGAGCCACCTACAAAGAAACAGATGCTAGATCATCCTTCGACTTCCTCCTCGGTCTGTGAGAAACTTGAGAGTCGCTTGGGTGGAATTTTGTGCTGTGCCGTTTGTTTGGATTTGCCCAAAACTGCAATGTATCAGGTAAGCGATGCACTTCCGATACTGAAATATTTTACCAAAGAACAAAGAAAAACTACATCTCTGTGGTTTATCGCTATTAATTATACCCCTATCAAATATATAATTTGATACGTGTATGGTATTACAGTATAAATGCACTCCTCCAGTTGAGGAATTATTAATAATTGGATGCAACGGGACAAGAATTAAAAATCCAAATCATTACATAATTTCTAACTATATGTATCCTTGAAATAGAAGCGCATAACATTTCGATCATCTCCTATAAACAAACACAATAGTCATAATCGTGTAGAGATATGAAGAATTATATAAAAAGAAAGGGATTCCTCTCATGTCCCAATGCATTTTTGTAGTACCATTCAACAATACGTGTTGTTCTATTACGTCGTATGTATTTTTGGTATGGTGGCTATTCCAATTTCCATTACAATCTCCATTGAGTGTGTCGACGACGAGAGAAAGAAATGCATCTACCACTACCCTCACAGCTGTCAACCATTTATCTTCCCTTATACTCACTAATAGCAAGATTGAGGAAAAACAAAAAAAAAACAAAGTGTATTGTAAATATAGAATACAATGCAGGTAGGGAAATATGAAAACATATGGTTATGCGTATGTGTGTTTGTCTCTTGTTATTGTGACTCTGTCTCTTTTTGTTTGTCTCGTCTCTTTCCCACTTTGTTTTCTTTTAAATCATCCGAGTTATGCCTTTTTACACATATTCGTAATAAAAACAATGATTTCGTGTGAAGTCGTATACTGGTGAATGCGGGCCTATAATCGGGCCTTTTTTAATATAAAAAAGAACTTGTTTTGTAGAAATTGGCAAGTTGAATGAACAAAAAGTTTAACTATGAAATTGACAATGTAAATTCACATTAAATTATTTATATTTACATGGAAGCTATAGAACCAAAAAAGCTACCAAAGAGCTTAATTTATTGTACATATGATATTTTTCGTTGTATCCTTTTGTCAGATTCGTAGCAAGTAGTGTAAATGTCCTAATAGTTTATCATTCATTCATCATTTCGCTGGTAATGGCGGATACAATTTATAATTACGAAGTAAAACAATATTTTCTTCTTTTTCGTTAAATGTTTAATAAAAAATCAGGGAAAAAAGAACCCGTTGCTTTGTAGAAAAAAATTGTATTGTTTTGAAAATTTCCAAGAAGAGGATGTTTTGATAAAATATTTGAAATTGGCATCCAAAAATAGGTTAATTGTACCAGTAGTCGGCACTTTTATGATTTTCGCGTTTTCAACCTTCACCATTCTGAGTGGAACTACGACGTTAATTTATTCCGATTTGAAATTTTGTATAGTTTTTGCAATAATAAATAAAGTTTTAATAACTTTTTTAATTTCATAAATTTGGAGTTTTTTGAAAATAATGCAATTTTGCCAAGAGTTGGCACCACTTGCCAATTGTCGATATGATATGTTCCAACAGACGGCATACCGATTTTTTTTGTAAGGATAATTAATAATAATAAAAATTAGATTATTAAAATATTATATTTTTGTTTAGTTAAAATGAATTGACGTCTTTATTGTACTTTCCTTAAGAATATGGATTTTCCCGCTGAGGGCCTTCATAGACAAAATTTAATTTTTATTAGAATCATCTTTTCTTAGCAAAATGGTACAGGCAAGAAAAAGGTCTCCTCCTGCGGCTATAACTCTGTAAGCACTAGGTAAATAAATAGGTGTAGTCCAAATTTTTCTTTTGTTGTCAAGATATATTTGTATTAATTTTTGTAATTTGTGTGCAATGCCAAAACTTGTTAGCACTTCCCATGGTACTCTATATGCTCGGTCACATGGCGCAATAACGAAGTGTTCCTGCCACTGTAATGTCAAAATCGTGGCCCAAGTACAAGGTTGCGCAAAAGTAATCCTCCTAATGCCTTAATTACAGCCAAACAACATCGGAATGTCTGTCAAGTACATATGCATCTATAAAGTAGCGCAAATGTAAACTTCCGATGTTTTTTTGGCTGTAATTAAGGGGCCAATCGTAAAATTTATAGCATTTTCGGATAGGAGATTACTTTTGCGCCACCTGTTATAAGGTACCCCTGCGATGCCAGCTAACTACCAAATATTGTGTCAAAATGCATTGCTGTGATTGAAATCACACAACAAAGACAACCAAATAGTCAAAAATTGTAAACAAAAATTGACATTTCATTTTGTTTCTAAAATTTGCGCCATGGTCAAAACGTTTTTACACTTTGCTAGCTATTGTTTATCTCAAAACACATTATTGTTATTGAAATTCCATAACAGAAGATAAACAGGCAGTCCTTGTTATTGCAACATGCTTCTATTCTTGAAAAATTAAAATGAAAGACATTTAAGAAACAAATAGCTCAGTATGCATAATTCAAGAATGTTTATCTCATGTAAGCGCCATTCAATACCACAAATCTAGATAATACCAAAAATCGTTGGAAAGTTACAAAATAGAAGGGTGTAGCTAAAGCGAACTGACATTTTATTAAGATCTAAAGAATTTAAAACCATTTCATGCATTAGATTTGTTAAGCTTAATTAATGAAGCCGCGGTAACAGGTTCATGTGCACTGATATTTTGTTGTAAGGGTGTATCGTTTAGATTACTGACTATTTTTACAGCTGTTTTATACAAATTTTAATATTAGCGCGAAATGTAATGCTTTATATAAGCAGGGAGCTTTTTTGAGTAGTTCTGGAAATATTCAAATAATTGAGACACACACATTCATACTTTACAATCCTACCGAATACACTACCTATACTTGAAAGATTTCTGTTTTTCTCAGTTAGTTTAAATATATGAACATTGCATAATTGTGTAATAAGGCCGTGCAAAAAATTTTGCCATAGCTTGGAAGGTGAGTATTTCTTTACGGTATGTCGGTTATTAGGTTAGGCCTGGTATAGTTTTCAACTAATTGTGAGATTTCTTAATGTCCAAACTTAGTTACGAGAATAAATGTAATTACGTTTTAATTTTGTTTGAAATTGGACTTGGATCGGAGAATTTTGTTTTATTTTTTTAAAGCTTTAAATATATTCATAAATTTTGTATTGAACGAAATAACATAATCATATGATTAAATAACATATTTAAATAATAATAATTTTTAATTATACATATGTATATGCTCTGCTCTGCTGCTTTAAAAGAAATTGAAAACATCGGTTTTTGAGCTCCAATTTGCTTAACGTTTTTTAAGAGGCCTCACACGCATTGAGCCGTAATTATATGCTTGAAAATTTCATTGGAATAAAATTTGTAAAAAAAAATATTAAAGAGAAGATTATGCAGGGTATGCCTGCTTGAAAATCGAAAAATCATGTCAAAAGAAAGCTTGGAGGGTTATCAATAATGGTTAGAATGGGTCTCGCCATGCAACGTTAGTACTTCACTTATTATGGATTTACAATAGAAACACAATCTTTTAAAATGTCAATATCCCCTCTACACTGACCGCCCTAAAAACGCAATCGATTGTTGATATATTTCGTAAATTGCTACCAAATAATATATATCTTTAAATATTAAGTGATTGCAAATTGTTGTGCTTTTCCGAAAACGGTTAGTGCCTTCAACACCGGAATATAAATATAGTAAGACTTCGTTTTGTGAGACGTATTAGCGGGTCGTTTTACGACACCGATAATGCATCGTATAATGTATGAGATTTAAATATATGTTCGTTATTATAATTGATATAAAAGAGTATTGACCTCAACGAAACTATCTTTTGCAATGAATGTAATTGAATGTAAAATAAAGGTTTCCTTTACAAATTAAGACTAAGAATTATTAAAAATAAGTGAATTCTTATAATTTGTATTCTATTTGATTCAATTTAAATAGCGTATATTTAGCCTGTACGGATTTTATTACACTGTACTTTTTATTAAAACCAATAAAAGAATAGATCCAAAAAGGGTTTTCAAACTTAAAAATGTGTTTTTATTCCTCACCGTTGACTGTATTCATATCAAAAATATTCATATCATTTCACTCCATTCAATAATTGGTTGTTTCATATCGCATTGGTCACTGTAACTAAAATAACAATAAATAAGCTAATCCTGCTTATCGTCAACTAATTACGTATTTTTTCTTCTCTTCCATTTGCAGGTTACTTTAATTTTTCCTACGCTATCTTTTTCAAACTCATTTTTAATTGATTTATTTAAATAAAATTTTTCAGTGCCAAATGGGTCATCTTATGTGCGCGGCCTGTTTTACTCATTTATTGGCAGATGCCCGGTAAGTAACTTCGTTGACGTTATGTTGTTCGTCGTTTTTAATGTATGTATATTTCGTAGGCTAAGAGAACAGATTGCTACCTGTCCAAATTGCCGTGTTGAAATATCTAAAAGTACAGCATCTCGAAATTTAGCGGTGGAAAAGGCGGCATCCGAGCTTCCGAGCGAGTGTCAGGTCTATATTGTTCTTGGATTTTTTGTTTTACAAATGGTGCATTATTGATCTATGTTTATCCGTTTTTATATTGTATAGTTTTGTAACAAGGAATTTCCATACAAATCCTTGGATCGCCATGAACAACACGAGTGCTGTGAACGACCGACTAACTGCAAATATTCACGTATTGGATGTCAATGGCGGGGACCCAATCACGAGAGTGAGTGTCAAACAATTTGTACCGTTAAGAACACATTTGTCTCATATTAAGGTGACCGATTCTAGAATCCTTAAAAGTCTTACACACCCGAATATCCAACATGTCGCTCTTTTAAATTCCATTTTGAAAGATATTTAGCAGTCTTGCGAACTGTAATATTATGAATTAACTAGTAAACAATTTGCTTTGACGAAATGTCAAATGTCTTTGAAATTAAGTTTGGAATGTCAAACAATTATAATAAGTTAACAGTTTGGGATTGCAGGCCTATCTGATAGCCCACATACTGGCCAAAAATGCTCACTTTCCCCACTGTGGTAAAATATTATAAATTCTATCCAAAGTGGTATTTTCTGGCCTTTACAAAACGCTTGCGTGCGATTTATTTACCCCAAAAGTAAAATCCATTGTTGTCAACGGGTCCTTCGGCACATATTGTTGCTCTGTTCCAGAACCTGCAAGAACTTGTAAATATTCTTTTTTTTGTCACAGCAATTAATAGTTTCAAAAGTTTTTGAGCTTTTATTGATTTAAATGCTATTTGGGTAATATGGCCGTACAAATTGCTTGATTATGGTGAGAAAGAGGGTATTTTTTACGAAACGCAAACGTTTAGCTCGAAACATCCAAAATGTTTTATTACGCGTTTTTTTTTTGACTCAAAAAGAAATAGAAATGTTAATTGAAGGTGTCCATCGTGAACGAGAAAATAAGAGCAAGTGAAGAGAGCAATTTTGACAGTTAAGTTACTGGGATTTTGAAAGTTGGTTGATTTACACGCCATCCCAGCGCTATTGCCAAATTTGTACAATATTCTTCCATTATATTTGATGATAATTGATTATCGACTCGTTCTCATATTCTGTGTGTGTATTCCCTTCTCTATATTAACAGAAGGATCTTAGGATTACCATAATTTCAGTCCGGCTACTAATATTATTTATTTATGTCTAAATGTTGTTAGCTACTGAACACGAACGCAATTGTTTGCACCCTAACAAGTCCGGATATGAAGTAATCGCAGCTCTCGAGTCCCATGATGCTAAAATAAAAGAGGAAAAGAAAATGTTCAATACCCTAATTGATCTTCTAAGTTATGAAAAAATAATTTTCAACGGTAAGTATGAACTGACAGACTAGTTTAAAACCCAAAATACTTTACAAATAATCGTTGCAGATTTACAAATGAAACCATATCGTACAGATGAGTATGTCCATAAACTTTTCTATGAAACCGCTCGTTTTTCTGCATTCAATCACCAATGGGTGGTCAAGGCTCGAATCAATAACAGTCAACGCGATCCCCATCAATCCAATGAACGTAACATTACTTACCAGGTAACACGCTTCGATTCGCCTTAAACTGAACAATGCATTGTATATGTGCGTTTTTTTTAGCTTATTTTAAAATCAAAAACTAGTACTCCGATGAGTATACACTTCTTTGCTCTAAAAGGGCCCTTTTCCGACATGAAGGTTGGCACTCAGATATATAAACATGATTTTACAGAACAGGTAAGCTTGAAAATGTGGAATATTTATTTTATTGTGCATTAGGAATTAAAATACATGCCTTCCCTACAGAGTACAGAGAGCGACTACTATCTTTTGCCTTTACCCGATAGCAACGAATGTAACCGCTTATTGTCCAATAAAGGAATTAATTTCCGGTAAAGTATAAACAAATTTCATATGAGCATACATTGGAACATTTACCATCTATATTTCCTTTGGTTTTCCTTTACAGTCTCTTGATGTTCTTGCTTAACAAATAAACAACTTCTATTGAAATAGTCCTAATGTCTACACGTTTGAGTCGTTCGTATTTTAATAGTTCTGCTCTGTTTACTTCTAAGTTAAAGTATTTTAATACAATATTTTCCAAATTTACTAAAAACGACTAGCATAAGACGCTGCTGACTTTACAAACGGGAAACACTATTTGTCTCAAAATTCCACAAAAGGATATTTTGTTGGTACGTGCAAATACAAATTGTTTCCAAAGCAGGATCAAGAAAACTATATTGACTAGATGTCAATCTGTAGTAACTTGACAGTAAACAGTAATCATTAAAGGTAGATATATAACATTTTTAACAATACAGAGAACTTTAAAATACATATTGTGAATGATTGAAGTTACTTGCTAATAGAGAACTTATGAGCGTCCCTTCCCCTAGGCTATAACAAAAATATCAATTAAATAAACATACAAACTTACATGTACATTCATAATAGATCTCAAATCGTCACTACAAAACTTACCTACATATAAATATATCTGTGTACATTGACATTTATGAATATTAAAGAGCCTTAACCAGCTAAAACGACGAATAGTCAAGTAAGGGATGGACACGCCTCACTAACCGCACTATATAGTTTGTGTTATTATAAATATATATATAGTTTTATCTTCACAAAAAGAAAAACACTGTAAGGACAACACCAATGTATAATTTTAAGCGAATCTATATATAATGTCGACATATGGTCCAATCGGAACCTTATGTAATTAACTTGTAACTATTAGTTATATTCTTTCTACAGCAATCATTACTTTAACACACTATCCAAAAAATCGTATCCAATCTAAATAACTTAGGTATTTATCCGATTTAAAAACTTTTCAAACGTGTCACGGCTAAAGTTCTCTATTAGTAGCTTTTAGATTTATTGTTTGTTTTTCTAACTCATAATATTATACTCGAATATTTCTCTTTAAATAAAATATTTGTCAACTTAATAGTGTTTATAATTCAGTGGTGTATCTTCTGTGAATTGATTGCAATTAACGGTGTCGCTCTTTTCGCTTATTATGTTAAGCCAACCATAACAAACGTTTTCATTAGGAATTTATATGAAGTAAATAAGCGGTCTAATTTTGGAATAGGATGGAACCAACATGTAGAAAAGCTATCTCTTTATAAATTTCGACTACATTTGAAGGAGGTATTTTTAAGGTGTATGTGCATGACTAAGAGGGCTTTCAAAAATTGATGGGCAAAAGCACCAAGCCAGTACACCCTGTAATTCAGTGTTTGTTTTTGTGTTAAATGGCTATAGTATCAAACTTTTAAGTATACTAGTCAACAAATTATCATCGATCTCAAGAATAGCGATATATAGGCAAAGTACATCTAGTTGTGCCATGGATACACATATTTAAATTTAAATTGAATAACGTGTTCACACATTAAATCTACTCTAATAAAGTCTCTGAATTGAAAATTTAGGAGATCGGAGGCCAAATCACCGCGTTCTTCATCGAGTTCTTCTTCTTTTTGGATCACCGCATTCGATCGCAATCTTTTTTGTCTACTACCTTTTTACATTGCTGTAAACATATGAAAATAAGAAATTGGAAGCGAAAGAGAATTTCAAAATCAGTTTTTGCGATCAAAATATGTTATTTCTGAGAAATGTATGTTGTTGCTGAGTGTTTAAAATTTAATGTATTTAAATTTTAAATACATGTGTACAAATATATTATGAATGCAAAGGTTTTTTTTTTTTCCTCGTCTTCGGCCTCAGAGCAAATTCAATCCTTTAACATTGCTTGAAGTGGTGTAAGTGATTGATTTTAAAATAGAATAAAACTTAAACTTTCACCTACTTCTTGTATCTTTTTGTTTGCCTTTTTTCCGTACAAAAATCACTACATACTTTGTTTTCGATAGCATACTACCTATCGTGTACAACTTCGAGTAAAAACAATTCGATAACGACTGCGGTGATCCGCGTAAACTACATTACGATGCTGAAGTACTCGATTTCGACTGCAGTGATTTGGCCCCGGATCGGTCGGGAATTTCTTGTTTATTTTATACTAGCTGGCCCGGTCCGCGTTGCCGGCCCGTAGTTTTAGTCTGTAATGCAAATTTTATATAGCATAATCTTTCACAAATCTAGTTCATAAATTTGAACAAACTTTAATATAAATATTGATCCGACTAAATATAAAAAAATACCTATGGAAGGAGGGCAAAATAATTTCTGAATAGTCAAAGTTAATTACGCTTTTACACCCATTACCATAGCACCTCAAACTGATCATTAGCGTCCCCAAAAAGTCTATGTTCTTGTTCATAGTAAAATGCAATGACGATTAAACAATGCCCGTGTTGTCGTCCGCCAATCGGTAAAAATCACTATAGATCGGCGGCCCTGGGGAATATATGGAGACTGTACGAAAATATTTACGTATGTTGACATTTTTCTATAAGATGGTTCTCTACTCACAAAGTAGCCTAAATATAGCAAAATCGATTGGAAAATGTGGTCAAGACCCTCGAAATAGAAAATCCAAGATGCCAAATAATGGCCAAATCAGTCGAAAAACGTGGCCAAGACCACAGTCATAGCTGGAATCAGGGATACATTCATATGAGGGCCCAACCAATATTCTCTTGGGGGTTACAAATTCAATAGAATACAATTTTTTTTTTCTGACCACACATTACATGTGAAAGTGGACTTGGGGATACTCCAATGTGGGGGCTTTACTTAAATAAATTCCTATGTGACAATTATCTGCATGATGGTTCCCTACACATGGGTATCATAAATAAAATTTTTTAGTCAAATTAATTGATGAATGTGGTCAAGAACAATATGGGCCCTACTCTGAAAATTTCAAATTTTATGCGAAGAGGTTCTCTACCCCCTTAGAAACAAAAATGCCAAATAAGGGCCAAAAAATGAAAAAAAGTGGCCAAGACCCCAAAAATAGCTTAAATCATAAATGGTTATATAAATATGAAATCGGGTTGTACCCTTATCCGTGAGTTATGATCGATATCAAGACCTGCAAAAGCGATTTAAGGTATCTTGAATGTTTGGGAAGAATTTCTGGAAGGATATAAATCCTTTTCGTACTAAAAGTCCCATTCGCTCTACTATTTTGCACCCTTTAAATTTGGTATTTTACTGATTGTACTCCCAAAGAATTTGGCATTTTGAGCTCTCATTGGACGGATTATTGTCACATGAAAGAAGTAGGTCCATGCTTTGAAATGAGCCCCATTAGACTTTTTCGGTCATTTTTGGTTGTTTAAATGTGTCGCATCTTCCAGCTGAACCACGATGTAGGCCCTGGAGTTGAAGGGTTGAAAAATTGGGAAAAAATTGTATATAGTGAAAAATTATTCTTTATTTTGTTCACAAAAAATTCCCTGAATTCAATATGATAATACAAATTGAAAGAAATTGACAAAAAAAGAATAACAAATTGAAAAAATCTTCAACTTGTTCGCTGATTTTTTATAGCAAATGTTTAAAGATCCTTACAAAGTTTGTCAATAGAATGAACTATTATTTTAAAATTCGATTCCATTGAAGTTTTTTTTCGATTTTTTCCCCATTTGAGAAGTTTTGCAATAAGATCTCTTTTTCGTGATTTTTTATTGATTTTGAAAAAGTAATTATCTTTTAACTTTGGTGTGATCGCGTTAAATTATTTCGATATCATCTATTCCGTTTCGCCACCACATAATTCGGTACTACACTTCCATGTAACCCGCCATCAATTTCAGTTCTCAAGAAATGAAGTCAATTAAATAAATTGTTATTAATATCCGAATTCAAAGATAAAATATAAAAAACACTACAAATGTACATTAGAAAAATTAAGTCAAAATGGAAAAAAATCATGCAAAATAAAACATTACTATTGTACATTTCAAAAGTCAAAATGAAAATGTTAATATATCACATTTTTACGCGGTTTTTTGGATATTATCCTTTTCGGAGATGAGACAATTCCGAATTTGTATGAATCGTTAAAATCAGTCCAGTGGTTCTTAAGTTATAAGCGTAGTAACTAACACAACTTCCTTTTATATATATAGATTTCAATTTATAATTATACTTAACGTGTATATTTTTGGTTTAGTTATTAAATGGTCGGAATTATAAAATAACAAATACGGATTTGAGTACAAAGACGACATCCAGTAAAATTTTGTACACGTTTTATAAAGTATTTTATAAATCTGCCAGGAACAAATGGAAGTCGTCCAATGATGTAGTCGGAAAGGTGTTATAAAAACGTAGCAAATATGAATAAAAGCGCGACAGTAAAATTTAAGAAGTAATATTAAATGTCAGCAAAACAACTAGTTTTCAATAATTTTTTTTAATTTTAAAAATATTAATTTTTGGAATTTGGATTTATAAATTTAAAATACAGAAGAATAATTCTTGAACTACTTAATTTTACTTAGAAAGTAGTGGAAAATGCAACATTTCTTTCAAATTGAAACCAAACTGTATATACATGTAAAGTATTCTACATTTTAGGAATCATGAAGTATACGACTATAAAGTATAACTTCGAATTTTTCTATTATTTGGTAAAAAAATGTTAAAATCTAGAAATTGTTGAAAATGCATATCGTAACTACGTCTGATTGGTGTCGTATAAGAAAACTTATATTTTATATTCCCAAGCTTTGACGCATCTACCTGTATTCTTCTACCATGCATCAGAGCTGAATTGACAACAAACATATTCGCCACAAAATTCTTCTGTCAAGGCGAAAATATTTATTTTCGCCTCAAGCATGAATTTTGACATTTCTGTTTTTAGATTAATTCGCTCGAAGAAAGACCTTATAATTGGGCCATTTTTGCGACGTTTTTTCAAAGCGAATGGGTGCACAATCGATTATGAATAGTCGATTAATCGGTTTTCACGAAAGTCCATAGTCGATTACGACTTTCACATTTTAGTACTAAAAGTCGAATGTCGAGTTACCTATCCCTACAAAGGAAGCGTGGTGCAATCGTAAACATGGGCAAGTTGGTCAATAAGATCAAGGAAACTGCTCCCAAGCGTGAGGAAAAGAAGAACGTTATAAAAAAGACGTCAATATCGAAAAAAGAGAAATATAATCAGAAACGTCAAAAACTACTCAACAAATTCGCTCTATTGAAACAGCAGCAAAAAGAAGATGCGGATAGAAGAAAAAGGGAGAAGACCGTTGTTGTGGGTGATTTAAAGGTTCTGAAGGACGCATTACCATCATTAGACGAAATCATGCAACTGTCCAAGGAAAAGACTCACCTAAAGACGGGTATCCGAGAAGTGGATCAATCAGCCAATCCCAAACATCTAAGTGCCAAGAAAAAAATAAAAACAAAAAAAGAAAAGTTTGCTCGTCAAGTCAAAGCCTTTGAAAAGTTATTAAAAGATCCAGATTTTAAGCAGAACCCACGGGAAGCAATACGTTATCACATAAAATATACGCATGGATTACTTGAATAAACAAAAATAATAACTTAACACATGAGTTCTTTGTTGAGGGATTTTTATGAGATTCGACAGATCTAAATTTGATCGATGTAACTGCAATAACATTTTAATAAAAGGTGATTGATCAGCACGAAGAAAATACCCCGCTAATCCAGAAAGGGATAGTAGGGATCCAATCGTAAGGGATAGTTCGAAAAACTAGGTGTAAGAAATTGATAAAAGTATGCGACTACTTTTCACCAGGTTTTCAAACAATGTCTGGGAAAATTCTGCATTAACACGATCCAAATTAAAGTATAAAGAGAAAACAATTAAATGAGTACAAGTGGCTCACATTTTATTGAAAACGTAATTTGATTTTTTAAATATTAACATAAAGCATTATGCAAATGATACTTTTTTATCATCAACGACTAACGATACTATAAATTGATTCAAACCGTTTTCACCACATACTTGAGTGTTTGTAAAATACATTTCCCGCCGCAACATGAACAGACCACAGTTTTAATTTAGTATATTATGTATGTATATATATTTTATCATATACAACTGGGGTTGTAATATCAATTTTACAAAATGCTAACGAAAAAAGCAATACAAATTTAGCAATCACCTCTGAATTAATCCATTCCGTAAAGACGACTTCATTTCAGCTACCTTAATGCTGTGTGGCAACTTATGATGTTTAGATGCCAAATCTATGTTACCTGTGCGTTTTCCACGATTCGATGAATTTGGTTGGTTCACTTCTCAGACGCACGTGCCATTCCTCCAGATTCCAAAACACTGCTTTACGATGTATTGCTTTCTTGAGGTATATCCAAACTAAAATTGTTATAAAAATGGATTAGTATTGTCGTATACGGAGAATGAAATCTAAATCAAATTTCCGTAATTTTATGTCTTAATTGAAACTTGTAAAGTTAATAGATTGACAATTTCCTCCAGATTTGTATAGGCCCTACTCTGCCAGATATACCAGCCTCCTGTCGGAATAAGTAAAAACAATGCTTTAATATTGCGGACCGCGTTTTTGATTAAATTTTCTGATTTAGTAATTTGATCTGAAACTCAAAAAACTGAAAAATTGATTTGTGAAACTCAATTTTGGTTTGATTACGGTTTTCTAATTGGTTATATTAATAAGTATTAAAGTGGTACTCTATTGTTGATTTTCTTCTTCGTTTCCGAAAGATATTGAATTGCGTGAAAAATTAATCGAATGTAAATATTTTATTTTGCATAGGTGTATGATCGAAATTATTTAGAGAACAAATTTAGTTGATATCACATCTACCATTTTCAAATATTTCCAGAATGACATATTTTTTAATTCAAAATAGTCAGGTTTAGTCCCATTGCAAATTTTATAAAAACAACGATCATAGATTGTGGATAAAAATGGCACATTTAATGTTGAAAGCATTCGTATACTCCATTTTTCTGAGAGAATTTTAACATTTTCAAAAGTTTTTGAGTTTTAGTTAATTTTAATGGAGCCACATCCCATGCGTATGTGGGTAATGCGGCCGTACAAATGCTTGATTATGGTATGATATACATTAAAAGTATTAAAACATGGGCACGACAATAAGAGTTTCTGAGAGTGACAAGCAATATTTCATCGTTTTAATAAAAAATATTGCAAATATTAATAGGAGGGACAGATAGATTAAATGGATCGAAGGTCGGACCCGAAGGCTGCTTTTGATAATAATTGAATTTCAAATGACAATTATACCTCTTGATGTGCAACGCTAATAGCAAATGCAACAAACTATTTCGTTTATTTGCCACTTCTCCACAATATTTTCATTGAAGAGAAAACAGCGAAAGCATCAATGTTCTATTCACGGACTTTAAAATAAAAACAGTTTTTTATATCAATCTTTTAATCGCCTAGAAATTATTTCTTTTTTTTTTTTTGGTAAATAGCAAGCAATATAAGACACATTTCCGAATCGAATTCTTAGGGTAATGGTGAATTTGCCGAATATATAAATTCACTTCAGACGGCAAGCATAAAAATATTGCATAAATGTAATCGAAATTCATCAATCTGACGAATGACGTTTAATATTTGGGAAGGAGATGCAGATGCCGCAGATTCTTATATGCATGAATTAAAAATAAATAAACCTTTTTACAAATAGTTACAGGATATCGAATACAAAGACATATTTTAAATTATAAAAAATAAATCGAATTCTTAGTATCAATAAGTGGGTTTGCGTACTCGATATTTTGTAACCAATTTTTAGATCTGTAATACCGAGAACTTGCAAATTGTTACTGGGAAAATGTATTAAGCAAAGTTAGACAGGTGTCTTCTTTACAATATTTTTATAATAATGAGTAAAAAGTGCCATCCATACTCTCATGAAAGATTGGGAAGTACGCAGACACGCATCATAACAATACTATTCTTTTTTACGTTTAACGAAAGAAAATGAATGCAAAAGAGAAACTTGCACTCATCTTCTTTCAACAAACATAAACAGAATGACGTTTCTCAATTCCACAACACGTCTCGCTGGCATAAAATTCAGTCAATTTTCGTATAATATATGCAGACAAACTTATCTACAGGTTGCTTTGACCTACATATTACTACTGTACGACGAGGTTTGCAGCATTAACTATTTAGTGTACATGTTAGTCAATCTATTAACTTTAAAATTTCAATAATTTTCAAAAATTCAAGGATTTAGCAAAAAGGACTTGAGAATTATTGTGTTTGTTACCTTTAGAGCGGAGTAGTATATCGATAAGATATTTATACAAAATTGTCTCCCTCAAATTTAGTAATGATTCCCTCAGTATCAAAATAATTATATCATTTGCTCTTATATACCTAAAGAATCGTTTCCAAAAATTTCAAAAGGACAATTATTAGTTCAACATGGCAATTACCTTTTTTATGACGACCTTGTATGAAAGGGGTTTTAATCAGATTAAAATAATGCATTCTGTGAGTCATCGTCCTATTGGAACTGAAGCCTTTTTAATAAACGGTGTAAACACACAAGAACTTGTGAGGTAAAAGTAAAGATACAATATAGCACATACAAATTATTATATCTCAAAATCTCTCTAGTTCCACATTCACTACTTAGTTAAACTGCAGAGCAGGGAACATCGGAAAAGTCGGACTGAATGCAAGAAATTCAGTAAAATAGTTAAAATATCTCTTTCGCAAAAAGCTAATTTCTCGGCTACGTTATGGAAGTCAATCGTTTCCCCTATCAAAGCGTTACAACACCTAATCATGCAATAATAAGTCCAATGAGAATCTATGTTATAGAAACATATATGCCTGTGTAAAGAGGAGTGTATGTTTGAAACTAAACACAATAAAATTGACACTTACCTTCTAAGTTGTGTAAGATCGATATTCTTAATCTGTGGTATTAGATTATTAAATGATTTGTTTTCTTATTTTTGTTTTATGATTTGTTTGAAATCATATTGGTATTATTTTTTTGTTATTAAGATAAGGGAAGTGTACCTCGGATGTTTAGAAATGCTTCTCCTGTCATTAGTAACGACTACGGCTGCGACTGCGGCTGTACCGTCGATCATGACGGTTTCGTGAGTGGGAACGACGTCGATGAGATTTATGGTGGCCTAAAACGGTGCGAAATTAACTCGTATTGACTATAAAATAATGTAAAGACTTACGACGGTGACGATCGCTTTGTCGTCTACTACCACGATGAAAATCACGGTCCCGATCTAAATCACGTTCTCTGCAATGACAAATGTCGAAAAATATTAGTACTTTCTAGATATGCTGCTGGTTAATCTTACCGCCTTTTTTCGCTGTCAAATGCCCGGTATGACTGCGAACGTTCATCGCGGATTCTACGATCATCGTCGGTTGCTCGCTCCATCTGTCGCTTTAAATGTATTTCCTCGACAGCTTTACGCAGTTTGGAATATCCCAAATGTTGTTTCCCCATCAGGTGATCTTCAATCCGTTGTTGGGCATCTCCTACAATGAGAAAGGCACCACAAACTTCGCACACCTCCATTTGCTTCTCAGGCAAATGACCTATATCTTTTATCCACGCCCTCAAACTATTCTGACTAGTAGTATTTGAAGATGTTTCGTCGTCAATTGTACTGTGGGTATCTGTTGTCATCGATTTCTCAAACCCGTTGATGTCACTGGTAGGCGATTGTGATTGTGCCTTATTTGCATCTGATTCCGAAGTCTCCGATCTATCGTCTTTTTCGCTATTCTCTTGTTGTGACATTAAAAGGTCTCTTTCATCTTTTAATTGTTCACACAATATCATTAAATCCTTAGCTTGATCAACATCACCTCTCGTGCCGGCTTCCTCCGCCTCCGCAAGTAGTTTTTTGATGCGCGCATTTAGATTATTCAGCTGTTCGCGATATCGGGAATAGTGCGACGAAGGACCCTGATCTTTTTGTATAAGAGCCAAACGCTGCTTACCTTTGAGTATTTTGCGATCCACATCGTTAAGCATAGAATTGCAAAAATATAAGAACTCATCTTCGTACTGCTTTTTAATGATGGAAGGTTTAGCCTTTTCGTACTGTCGTTTGGCTTCCTCGTCGTGTATACGGTCACACGGACCTAAATCGGCCCTAGTATTAACAAATAACTCGTGTGGGCAAAATTTCACCAAAAAATACTGACAAAGCTGAAATTAATAAGAGATGTCAATGGAAATGTTCAAAACTTCTCTAAATAAATTTAGCAGCTTACATCTGGATCCTCCCAGTTGACTGCCTGGAAAAGAAAACAATGTGAAATACGTAAATATATTAAATAGTCTAGGCGTCGTTTAGAAAATTATGGTTTGCACTTCTCCAACTCTTACCTTCGGAGCTTCCGATGGGTGCAAATTCCTGTTCCTACCCATTAACTCATCCAGCATCTGCCTGGCTGCATCAACCATTTTCTTGCTGCTTATTTGATTTATGCAATTAATTCCTAAATTTAATTCTATTCTACACGCTTATTTCCTTGTGTATCGAAAGCAAGTCTTATTGCCAGACTATGAAAATTTTCATTAATGTGAAAATGAGTTTATTGACAAGAGGTATGAAGGGGGTGAAACTATGTACACAACCACGGTTGCCACAGTTGGTAGAATTCTAGCAAAATGGGTAAGTTTTTTTAGTGCTGGTAACTTGGTAACTTCGCTTTTGTTTTGGTAACTTTTGAGATCTAAAATCACGATTTTATCATTTTCCGAATTTCTCATCAACAACTATGTGAAGTTACACCAACTTATTTAACGGTTGATCTATTGTTAATACACACTATCTTTGAAAATTGACGGTGGACATGAAACTTCCAGCATGCTACAACAAAAAGGTAAGGTAGAGGTACCAGCTGATTAAAATTTGTTTCTAACACTGTCTTTACACAGTGACATTTTTTAATCATGCCATTTTTTTGTTGGTGAAAGGTGTAGAGAGACAAGGATAGAAGAAAAAATGGCACGATAAGCCACCGCACAGGGTTGCATGCCATTTTCTTTGCATTTCTTTTTTTGTATCTTCCGATTTTATGATTTAGACATTTCATATCGTTTCTTTATTGTAATTTTTGATGCGTTTCTTTTATTGTGATGTGATGTTTTTAGTGATTGAATTGTATAGTGAATTATATGAAAATTAATTGGAAGTATTAAAAAGTAAAAAAAGAGAGTTAAAATAAAAGTTAATAATGCAATATTTAACACCTCAATAACTTTTTCCATCATTTCTTCTTTAGATTCACACATTTAATTTTAAATCACTTCTTTATAAATATCTGTTACAAACAATTAGCTCTATACGAAATACTGAATAAAATGTCAGAAAAAATGCCAAGCACTATCACTGCCTTTACACGGTGACATTTTTAGCTGGCATTTTTATCAATTCTCTTTTAAAATTTCTGCGTAAATCTTCGCGCCTTTACACGGTGGCATTTTACGATAATAGTGCACCAAGCTCTATTGTCGATCTGGTCCACATATTTATTAAAATTATTAACTTTTATTTTAACTTTCTTTTTTACTTTTTAAAACTTCCAATTAATTTTCATATAATTCACTATACAATTCAATCACTAAACACATCACATCACAATAAGAGAAACGCATCAAAAATTACAATAAAGAAACGATATAAAATGTCAAAATCATAAAAAAATTGGAAGAAACAAAAAGAGAAATGCAAAGAAAATGGCATGTACCCCTGTGCGGTGGCTTATCGTGCCATTTTTTTCTATCCTTGTTTCTCTACATCTTTTACCAACAAAAAAATGGCATGGTTAAAAAATGCCAACGTGTAAAGGCAGTGTAAGAGTGCCCGACTTCTGCAAATTTTGTGTATGCATATATTGTTTTGAAAAATAAAAACAATATATTTGATAAGAAGACGCGTAAATTGCGAGACGCACATTAAAGCTATTCGCAAGTTTTACCATGCAATTGAAAGATAGAACTGTCTAGATCAGATTTTTGAAAGAATATCCAGGCATTTCATTCACTTTTCCCGATGTTTAACTGATTTTAAAAATGAGGAAACATATTTAATAAGTGAAAACCACTTGTTGCATGCGAATTTGACAGGAAGCGGGCATAGCCTCAGGGCTGTATTTCTGTAGTCTTACGAAGCTGTTCTAGCTCCTTATTGTACCATGCTTCCAAGGAACGTCGGTAAAAAATATTGAAACAAAATATTTGACAAGGTGTATATTTCTTACAGAAATCATGAGAAAAATACAGAGAACCAGAAAGGTTCGTTCGGAGTGGAAGCCACCCACTCATCATCATTCTAGCAAAAAATAAGTTCCACAAAAAACATATACACAGTTTGTATATTTGTGTATTGTTTTGAATAAAATAATTTTAAATTACTTCAAATTCAGATGCAAATGAAATTCATATTTTCGACGTTATGGGCAACAAATTGCACAATTTTGGGATCAAGGATATTGTCTTATTATCTTAGATTGATTTTGTGGAATGGAATGCATGTTTTTTTGATTTTACCCCAATATAATAATTTTGTTAAAAATGTATTTTAAAATCTATTTGATACTATAAGACTCCGATACAGAGTTGCATTTTTCCTTGAGACATAGAAATCGCCTGAATGCAATTTTTCTCCTGGTAGTTTTAAATAAAATCAAAATAAATAAATGCTGTTGAAATTTAAAATCATATTATAGCTTTTGGGAAGAGCTAATGTTTCCGTTTTGGAATAAAAAAATATTGCAATTTTATTAGTTATTAGGCAATTGTATTGAAAAATGAAAGGCGTTCCATTCGTTTTTTCGCGATTTTCTGCATTGCATTTATTATTGGTAAATGTTAAGTTACAAGACTCTAGCTTCAGGATTGTGTTTTTTTAAATTTAATCATTTTGCCCTACCATGTAATTATTCTACCAAATGTCAATATATACATTAGTATGTGTAGTAAAAAATGAATAATATTCTATTCAAACAACGAATAAAACGTGAGAAGGCTTGTTAAATTTACACTTACTGGGTACATTAACAAGGTGTAGAATAAAGCTACCTGCTACATATATTTGATATCTTTCAGAACTGCATGGTAGAATAATACAAGTATTGTCAAACGTAGCAACAGCCACATACATTTGTTTTTGTACGCAATTCAAGTGTCGGAGTTATATGTCTACAAATGTAAACAAAACAATTAAATTTCAATAATTTCTTGCAGTTCTGGAGCAAAGCAAATAGTGTCATTCAATATTTGTTCAATTTTTTAGAATACGCACGACATTCCAATTAGTTTTCCCCAATATAAACATTTTGTAAAAAAAATGTAAAATAAACAAAACCAATTGTTGTATGTTTTAAAGATCAATTTGACACAATGAGAACATAGTTCGGAGTTGCCTTTACCTCAGTTTTTTTTCAGCGCATTTATACTATTGTAGATTAATTCAGTGGTTTAGTCTTGCGTGCTTAAATACTCTCTTAAAGTATCCTCCAATGAATTATGAGCTAATTAAGTTTTTTCGTAACGCAGTGTACCGCAATAGTAGTGTTATTGCCCAGTGATGTTTTTCGTTAGTATGAATTTCCACGCAGAGAAGATCTATTTTTGTGTGGTAAATCTGGTTGAATAAATCAAAATTAAGCAATAAATCCCGGTAATATGGGTTAATCCGGATAACATTTTGTATCTAAACGAGCTATAATTTCTGTGACGAACATACGATATATCAGCAGTTGTTATTTTCGTTTCTCTTTCCCTTCTTTTGTTTCACACATGAGAAACCAGTCTCTCACTAACACCACAACACTTTATTTTGATCAATGGCTTACGCCGTAAGCCTTACGGGAAGAACTCTGAACAGATTTACTCACATTCTTGTGGAGTGTACAATTTCGTTGCTTTGTTCCATCAGTTCTAGTTAAACAAGGTGCGGATAATTTTAATTTGCATTCCATTTGTTTGGAGAACAAGGGTTTTGCCCAACAAGTTTAGTGCAAGAGTGGCTTATACTGTTATTTTTAACGATTGATTTTCCTGGCATTCTTAGAAATATGTTTGGCACATTTGGTGTCAGAAAAACATGAAAAAATAAGTTGAATTTAATTTTGTTTAAAATGCTAACTTGTATAGGCGTGTGTGTATGATTCAATTAATATGCATTTACTTGTTATGTTCAACGTGTTGCCTTCACACTAGCTTTATTGAGTGAGAGTGATAAATGAAAGACATAATAAAAGCACAGGACCGTAGGCCGGCCCCATTATCTCTCTCTCGCTTCGAACGAAGATTTATGTCATATTTTAATGCATTACAAAATGAACTAATAACCACAACAGGTTTAATGTAAATATAGCCTGCATCTTTATAAAATAAAACTGTTGGCCAACAGCATCTATATAGGTAGGTTTATAAAAAAAGAAACAATTAATTATTACAAGTTTTTAATAGAATAAATATCGAACCCCAATTCCCTTTTCATTTTTATCAGCGTACTTTTAACAGCGTTACTTAAAACTCGACGTAGCGTACATAAACATTTAACTTTCCCACTATGGTAGGGAAGTTAACCGACCGAGTCCGTCGAATTTTATGTAACGCTGCAAAAATGTTATCCATGGTACAATTAAGAATTTAAGGTAGTATAACCGAGCTATTCGTATGTTTGCAATGCTTTCTTTATGAAAATACATGTAATTGTGAATTGAGCGTATAAAAATGCAAACAAAGATTTAAACATGGCTCTGAAGAACATACTTTACATTTACTGTGATTAATTAATTATCACGGTTAACTGGGGACAATGAGCTATAAAAATAGATTATAAATTGTATCTTTTTTTTTTAAAAAAAAACACAATATCTGTTATAAAGATGACAACATAATATATGTTATAAAGATGGTAGAGATCGGACCATAGGTTTCAATATTTTGAAAATTTTACACATACAAAAATTTTTGCTAACAAAAGATCTTTTGTATATATATGAAACAACTCTAGTTTAGTAAAAACTCTTCAATTTTTTCGAAATTTTTTCAAGAGGTAGGTATTTTTACCCTGATCCCGGGAAACTATTTTTTCTTGGTGGACGGACCCGGGATCCCAGATTTTTGACCCGAAAGTCCGGGATCAAGACCCCGCCTGGGGGTTTATATGTATGTATATATATGTACATATATATATATATATATATATATATATATATATATATATATATATATATATATATATATATATATATATATATATATATATATATATATATATAAATATAAATATTTTGATATATATATAAATATATGATATATATATATAAACATGGCTCTGAAGAACATACTTTACAATTACTGTGATTAATTAATTATCACGGTTAACTGGGGACAATGAGCTATAAAAATAGATTATAAATTGTATCTTTTTAAAAAAAAAAAAAAAACACAATATCTGTTATAAAGATGACAACATAATATATGTTATAAAGATGGTAGAGATCGGACCATAGGTTTCAATATTTTGAAAATTTTACACATACAAAAATTTTTGCTAACAAAAGATCTTTTGTATATATATGAAACAACTCTAGTTTAGTAAAAACTCTTCAATTTTTTCGAAATTTTTTCAAGAGGTAGGTATTTTTACCCTGATCCCGGGAAACTATTTTTTCTTGGTGGACGGACCCGGGATCCCAGATTTTTGACCCGAAAGTCCGGGATCAAGACCCCGCCTGGGGGTTTATATGTATGTATATATATGTACATATATATATATATATATATATATATATATATATATATATATATATATATATATATATATATATATATATATATATATATATATATATATATATATATATATATATATATATATATATATATATATATAAATATAAATATTTTGATATATATATAAATATATGATATATATATATAAACATGGCTCTGAAGAACATACTTTACAATTACTGTGATTAATTAATTATCACGGTTAACTGGGGACAATGAGCTATAAAAATAGATTATAAATTGTATCTTTTTTTAAAAAAAAAAAAAACACAATATCTGTTATAAAGATGACAACATAATATATGTTATAAAGATGGTAGAGATCGGACCATAGGTTTCAATATTTTGAAAATTTTACACATACAAAAATTTTTGCTAACAAAAGATCTTTTGTATATATATATGAAACAACTCTAGTTTAGTAAAAACTCTTCAATTTTTTCGAAATTTTTTCAAGAGGTAGGTATTTTTACCCTGATCCCGGGAAATTATTTTTTCTTGGTGGACGGACCCGGGATCCCAGATTTTTGACCCGAAAGTCCGGGATCAAGACCCCGCCTGGGGGTTTATATGTATGTATATATATGTACATATATATATATATATATATATATATATATATATATATATATATATATATATATATATATATATATATATATATATATATATATATATATATATATATATATATATATATATATATATATAAAATATAAATATTTTGATATATATATAAATATATATATCAAAATATTTATTTATATATATATATATATATATATATATATATATATATATATATATATATATATATATATATATATATATATATATATATATATATATATATATTTTTTTTTTTTTTTTTTTTATATTTCATGATATATATATATATATATATATATATATATATATATATATATATATATATATATATATATATATATATATATATATATATAAAGCAACTGAAATTACAAGGAGAATGAATGCCCTGAAATGAGAAAGTTAAAATTGTTTTACATTAGGTACTTTATTCACTTTTTAAAAACCTAAAACATAAAACCAAAATTCATTTTTATATAAAAAATAATGTACGGTAAAGTCAATTACCCCGATTTTGGCTTGGACAAAACTAAAGCAACTCTGTTGTACATTCATATAACTGCTGCAATTTCAGTTGTTTTTACCGTGATACTTATCGCTCTTTGCTTCCTTCGACAATTTCGCTTCTCATAAATCCCTCTTTGAGAAGTTCTGTACAACAGTATAAGTTTTTCTTTTCGTTTTTTAAGGAATGCCCAAAAAAATTTTAAAAATGGCTAGAAGCAAATACAGTACCTGAATAAAACAGAAAATTATCAGTGACCTTCAAAACAACATATCACAGAAAATGATTTCCGAGAAATATTTCATAAATATTTATGTGATTTCATAAATATTTCTGTATACTAAGTCGGTTTTTTGAAACTGGATCAGTAGTAACAGTCTATAACGGATGAAGGCCGTGAAAAACTTCAGCCCGTACTGATCCACAAATTGTGAGAGAAATAAAAAACAACTATTTAAGAGTTCAACTGGATTGGTGAGAGAGCAATCATTGGATATAAGCTCGAGATCAGTGCGCAGCTGGTCTGGATGCCCGTAAGACATCAAAAAACCATTTATATCTGAAAAAATCAAAAAGGCTATCGGAAACGATAATATTAAGTGGAATTAAGCTCAATGAAAAAAAAACATTATTTCTGGGATGAGTCTACGTTTAATATTAAAGGCTCAGACGTGAAAAATTTTACGGTGAGAAGACCAAAAAATGAAGGACTCAAGCCGCAGTGTTGCAAAGGTACAGTGAAGCATGAGGGAGGGTCAAAAATGGCGTGGCGCTGTTTTTCTTTGTATGGATTTGGGCCTATCAATAAAATAAAGGAAGTTGTGGATCGGTTTGTTTACAAAGATGTGTTGGACATCACGTTGTTCCCTTACGCTGAGTAAAATATTCGGCTGATTTGGGTGTTTCAGCATGACAATGATCCCAAACTTGTATCAAAACTTTCAAATATTGGTTGCGGGAGTCAAAAATTGATGTTTTGTTATGGCCGGCACAATCACCTGACCTATACTCCATAGAAAACCTTTGGAGTATCGTAGATAGGAAGATCAAGCGAGATTCGGAAATAAATAAGCACAACATTTTCTAAAGAATTCGGGGTGCCTGGGAAAGTACACCCAAGGATCAAATTGAGCGTGTTATAGATTCAATGCCTCGTGGGAGTGCAGCTGCTATTAAAAATAATGGTTAAGCTATCGACTACTAGCCAAAATGTAATTATTTTAAAATAAAAAATCAAAAGTTGCTTTAGTTTTGACCAAGCAAAAATTGGGTCATTTTAGTTTTCCACATATTATTTTTCATTCAAAATTACGTTTGTATTTTTATTTTTAGTTTCTTAAAAGTGAATTAAACCCCTCATTTAAAAGTGGAAAAATAATTACGATTTGTTTATTTTTGTAAAAGTTACAGGACATTCATTGTCTTTGCGATTTAAGTTGCTTTAGTTTTGGCCACCAGTGTATATATATATAAATATAAATATTTGTATATATATATAAAAAAAAATATATATATATATATATATATATATATATATATATATATATATATATATATATATATATATATATATATATATATATATATATATATATATATATATATATATATATATATATATTTATATTGTTTGTTGCATTTCCCTGAAGATGACTGCCGGCGACAGTCGAAATATTGGAAAATAAAAACCAAAATTATGAAAATAAAACACTGATTTTTCAATAGAGCCAAAATAGAGTTATTAAGAATTTATTGTTTTGTGTGAAAAACATGCACACATTTTACTACATGGGAAATATATGTACATATGTCTGCAATTAATTGCTGCTTTCGTTTATGCCTTCGGTATGTCCGACATAAGAGATACACTGAATTTCCGGGCAAAATGCGTGTAAACTGTATTCATATTTTTCGATATTTGTTCTCAACGAGGAGCTATGGCTTTTATCCAAATAATTTTGATTGAAAAGTGTTTCCGAAACAAGCAGGCATTTGACTGACTGATTCAACTCTGACTGAACTTGGGTAGCAAAATGCTTTTCGATACTAAAAAGGAAAAGTGCAGTTGTTCGATAAATGCAATTAATTGGGATCGCCCTTTTTAAATACCATGCACTCGGTTCATCGCTGGCCAAAGTTATGGAGCGTTCTTTATCAATCCTTATGGCAAAGGCTTCAAGTAGAGTCATTGGATCTTCTTCCTGTAAACGCATAGATGTTTCGTTGAAGTCAGGTAATGTTTCGGCATTGCGCAGTGTCATATTCATGGAGTGTTCGTTAAAGTTTTCTATGCCATCAAGTGTTGCTTGTATTAAGCCGGGGCAGTATGAGTCTTCCACTAAGTTTTCGATTTGGTTTTTAAGAAGACGTGCTTTCCGAGGATTGCGAACTAGACAAAATTTAGTGAAAAGCATGTTTTAAGATGATTGTAAATTACGGACAAAATAAGCATACCCATCTCTGCATTTTCTGTAATTTACCTTGTCAAATTTTACTGCATCAAAACTAGGGTTTCATTGCTGATTTGTGTATTTACAATGAATTTATAAAAATATATTTTGACAATGAGATGTTGTCAAACCAATGATTTCGAAAAAAAGAAAAAATTGTAAACATATTTCTGCATGACTTTACTTTTTTGATTCTACCATGTGTCTATACTGCAATTAGTACTTCAAAATAATCAAATAATTCAAAATTGTCTGCTTTGGGTTGCCAATTTCGATGTTAAAGGTAAAAATATTGTTGGAAGTAGAGTAAGAAAGGAAACCTTTCAGGCCAGCTGGTATAATTGATAATTGAAAGATAGAACTGTTTAGATCATATTTTTGAAAGAAATCCAGACATTTCATTCATTATTTCCCGCTGTTTAACTGATTTTAAAAATGAGGAAAAATATTGAATAAATTAAAACAATTGTTGCATGCAAATTTGACAGGAAGCGGACATAGCCTCAGTTCTGTATTTCTGTAGTTTTACGAAGCTATTCTACCTCCTTATTGTACCATGGTTCTACCATGATTGGAATATTCAAATTTGCAGCGGTTCGTGAAATTGGAAAGCTACTGTATTGAAGTAACTTCAAGGAGAGGCGATACAAAAAATACTACAAGTTCCTAAAATGCAAACAAGAATTAAAACTCTTTTCTTTTGAAGTCATTAAAAATAGAATCGTTTTAGTGGATCTTAAAAAAAAATGAAATGGTTATTTGTATACCCTCCATTTGTAACACCTCAAAATATACATTTTAGACCCCACAAAGTATATATATGCTTGATCAGCATAAAATTCAATGTCGATTTAGCTATGTCTGTCCGTCCGTCTGTGGAAATCGCTCTAGCTTCCGAAAGAAATGAAGTAGGTCGATAACATTTTACCCAAATATATATTACGTCTGCAGGACTTTTGGTACTAAAAATGGGCTATGTAGGTCCATGTTTTGGTATGGGCCTCATATATTGGTACCTCCCTATTTTTAGTATTTTGTTAAATCACCAAATTCATGCGACATTATTCACCGGAAACATTTCAAATTTCGTATTTGAAGTTCGTAATGGATACTACAGCCTATGACAGAAAATTGTCCGTGCAAGTCCACGCCTTCGTATAGCCCACATATAACGACACCTCCCGATATTCGGTGTTTTGATGATTTAGCGACATTATTCACCGATTTTTTTTTCAAATTTCGCATTTGAATATTGTAATGGCTTATGACAAACGTCGAATAGACCCTAATATAACGGCTGCATTCGGTATTTTTAAGATTTTAAAAGAATTTTTAATGGATTTTATTTTTTTGAAAATTGCCAAAATCGTTCCAAATGGTGGACGGCATAAAAAGTTCGGCCCGGCCGGACTTGTTTTACTTGTTTTATAGTAAGATTTAAAATAATTTTTTTAGTCAAGCAAAATTAGCAGTTTCAAGCAAAATCCATACTTATTTTATTGATAACTTGGTTTTAAAATAAAATTGTAAATGTATTTCAATTTTGAGTACACAAGTCATGGTAGAGTTAAGAAGGTAAAGTCAAGCAATCATATGTTTGCAATTTTTTCAAAATTATCCATTTGACAACATCTCATTGTCAAAATGAATTTGACAGACGCAAATTTTAAATTTGAAAATACGAGAACAATGTTGCTGTCAAAAGACATAATTGGGATTTGAAATTAAAAGCCAGTCAAATTACAAAAGTGTAAAAATTACTAAGTTTATTGTAAAATGGACGTCAAAAGTAGTTGTCTTGTCCGATCTGATATTATCCATGGTACAATGAAATACAGGTAACCTCATTTCAAATTAGCATTCCCAGCTCTGCATTTTCTGTAATTTACCTTGTCAAATTTTAATGCATAAAAAACAGTTCCCACCTCTGATTTTGTGTGTATACAATTGATTTATGAATTTCCAAACTGAGCTGCGTCCCATCTTTACATCCGATCTTGTGTATGCAGAGGTGCTGGGATGTGCAAAGTTTGAAAAGAATACGATGATTATTTTGCATTTTGCGATGTTTATGAATATACAAATTTGTCAACCGGGGAGGAACCAGAAAGACCGGTGTTTGTGTATTTTATTGAAAACAAAGAAGGAAGAAAGAACGTAAGGTGAAATCGGTTGGAGGATGCAGTTAAAATTATGAAACTACCAGATTATTATTATTATTATCTATATCGAATATACAAATTTGTCAACCGTTCCGGTTCCATCTGGTGTTGGTAGAAATATTGGGATGTGAGAAATTTATAGACAACTATCTCTCCGCATTTTATATAATATATGATTATTCAAAATGTTGAGGCCCCGTGGGGGGAGGAACCAGAAAGACCGGTGTTTGTGTATTTTATTGAAAACAAAGAAGGAAGAAAGAACGTAAGGTGAAATCGGTTGGAGGATGCAGTTAAAATTATGAAACTACCAGATTATTATTATTATTATCTATATCGGAAAATATCGGAATGTGCCGTTGTATACGACCAATATAGAAAATCACCGGAGATAGAAACAATTGCGATCAGAAACAATTACGATCAAATTTTAATAAGATGCGTTAGAAAATGTGGCATCAATTTTCAAAATACCAAATATCGGAAGGAACCGTTACCGATTTATCTCATTTTTAATACCTATTATCCTAGATACAAGGTAACTTATTATGTCAAATCTCAAAGCTCCTCGTCAAATAAAATGAGCCGCATATTGATTTTAGGAGATAGATAGCCAAACAGGCCTCATTAATTCGACTAAGAGTATTAGGAAGTATTACAAACAGAATGACAAAATTAATATACCATCCCTTCCATGGTGGAGGGTATGATTGCAGAAGAACTTCTTGTCTGACAAGAATTTGCAAACACTGAGTAAACCACTCTCTCCCGAAGAGCTTTTGTGTTTTTGCTTTCCGCAAAAAATAAACAAATGTGGGGAGGAGTTTCTAAAACCCACAAACTAATGAAAATACTCATGGCGGAATAATAAGGTGTTGCACCAATCCGACTACATGTCAAAATTTGTTTACTTTTTGCTGATCTTTCGTACTGTGATTGCATTCACAATGAGCGTTTTGACCTATTAATTGTTCCATGCAAATGCGGTTCACGTATTTTCGAGTCTCAGTCGGTCTTGCCGCCAGATGTATACTCTCAGCCAATGTTCGATTATTTAAATATATTTTGACTTGTGTCACGATTATTCAAATGTTTAACCCCTTATGGAGTAGGTTCCGAAGGAGTGGACCGATATATTCCATCTTCACACCAGACCTTGGGTTGAAAAAATATTGTAATATGTGTAATTCGAAGACAATCGGACTCTTACATCACAGTTTATAAGAGTTATAATTATTCAAAATTTTGACCCTTTGTGGGGGAGGTACTTGATGGAGGGGACCAATATTGTCCATGTTCGCACCTGAACTAGCACTGATGCAAGTCTTAGGATTTGCAAAGTTGGTACCAAATTTGATTATCTGTCCCTTTTCTGTGCAGTAAAATATTTTTTGAAAATTTCGAACTATTGTGGGGTATGTACCAGAAGGGATGGACCGTTATTACCCATCTCCGAACTCGATCTAAGCTTGATTATAATCAAAAATGCCCGGAAAAATAAAGGTCTTCGTGTGTATGCCACTGGCAGAATAAGCACTAGCTCCAAAAAACAAAGTATATTCTATCGACAACTTTACGAACGAATGGGAAAAAATTGTTACAAAAAAAGGCTGTTAATTATTCTTCCCTATTGTTGTCGCTGTTGTTTATAAGCTTAGTTCAAATATATGCCTTACATTTAGATATACGTGTATGTTATGGAGACCGAATCTGGCGAATTTGTCGAATCGAAATTGCCTAGTAGGAAGTCACCATTGACATGAAATATAAACGCCTCTTGTGGAAACAATTGATATTTTACAATTTCCATAAACGTTCAGCCAAATATGAAGCATTTCGATCGATTTATCGTAACTCGAGTCGATAAGGTTTCCACAACAAACCTGATTATTGGTGCCGACAATTGGTGAATTACCTTCCGCATGATGGGAGCCACTAAATTGCACACGACCACAACGTTTTTGCTTTGAACATTCGGCAAATGGATTCGAAGTCAAAGTTCTATGGGTTATACGTCCATGTACACTCGAATTTATACCCTCGGGGTGGTAGCGCAAGGACATCGTGTTATTCGTAATACTGTTCATCATCTGCAGAAAGTATGTATGTGTATTTTTCATCGATTTAGTGCATTAGTAGTGGATTGGATACCAGACGAAGAGAGCATGTGTTCAGTGGTATTTCAACTCAATTTACCTCATATGGAGTTGGCGGGGCTGCCCCCTTTCTCGCGCATTTTGATTCCCCGTTCGATGTGCCATCCAGATGTGGGTCTTGATTGGCACAGATATTCGTACCTGCAACGGCATGTGGCAAACTGGAGTTCGGACAGGGTTGGGTCCCTCGCCCATTGCCGCTGTAACCATATGTCCATGACTATTGTCGGAAATAAAAAGCTTCTTTTTACCATGCCCGTCTATTGTTATTGTCGAAATTTTACCTACATCGTGTTTGCCTGACCCATTGAAATCTGCCGAATGGGCAATTCGCTGCCTATTATCGTTTACATTCGGCGAATATGGAAAGTCCTCAGGTCCTTGACCCTTCGATTGTTCCTGTAAATGAAGCTATATCTATCTAAAGGGAACGAAAATCTCTTCCACGAATGAAAACAAAGTCAAATTACCTGCGGTGCTTCAATCTGAGATACCATTGCTACATTATTCGTTGATTTAAGTGGGAATTCCTTATTGTTGGCGTCTGGCGCTTCCAGTTCATTGACAATTGAGTAATGCGTTGAATCTGCATTGGGAGCATCGAATGTTAGGTCATTGACACTGGTGTCTTCCCCCATGTCCTAGAAATCGGAGAGACTTACTAGTAGGGCGGTATATACCAAACTTAGTTCTTACCACGATATCCGAATGATCAAAAGGCTGTTTAAAGGTCCTTCCTTCAGGCATGCCCGAGGTGGTTTCAAAAATCTGTTGGATCTGCAAAGAATTTTTAAGGAGAGGAAGCTTGGTGATGTGAGTTACTACTCTTACCCCAGTGTTATTTGCTGGACGATGGAAAGCGATCGGCGACGAAGGAGATTTGCTGCTCTCAAGACGTCTCGCAACGTCGGGAGATGGCAGGGCACGTGTATTGGGGTCGATATGTAATGGTGCCAGAACTCGCATGGTAGATCTGCCCGCCACACTTGGGCGAGATTCGTTATCCCAATCCGTGGCATAGCCACCCACATGGCCGTTCTGTACCCTAGTGTTTGGTAAACGACATCTGGTCATGCCGATATTGCGGCTTACTTTTAGACTGGGCCGCTCCTTGTTTTGCTTGTATTCACAGGAAGTCGATGGCGCAGTCCTAGCACGCTCCATTACTATCCGCCTTTCTCGCTCAACCTCCCCCAAAATATCAAGCGTGCGCCCCATCAAGTTTGGCGGGTCCTGCTCCAGGCTGTTGTGGAAACGATAACCATCTAGGTCAATATTTGGATCAAAGGGTCTCCCTTGTGACTTGTAGTGGCGCAATCTCTAAAAAATGGTCTTATTAATTGATCCTCACCGTCTGCTAAATGCGATTTACCTGTCTGGGGTCTTGAAAAAGATACTGCGGTCTGGGGCTTCGACTACATTCGGGTTTTTGGTTCTCAAACGTTGCTTGTTTATCATTGCTGCGGGACATTTTGTCTACAACAGGACGCTTTCAATAATATTTTGACGAATTGGCTGAAATCAAATATTTGTTTTATTTAACGACTGATTTGGTTATGGTCGAAAGCGAAATTAAATTAGAATTTATACAAAATATGTCAAAAATGGTTGTGTTCCGGAACATTTTACAATTGTTTACATCGTTCCCATACTCAAACACCTAGTAAAACTTGTAGGCACAATGAAGAGGACAGATTGTTATCTTTTATTACATCTTATACACTCACCAACCACACCGTGCAGGATATATTAATATTAAGTTTGTACGTTTGATTGTTTGTTTATAATTTATCGGCTCGGAAGCCGCTGAACAGTTTTCCTGATAATTTTCAAGTATACTACAGCATCCCCTGAAAGTAACATAGGCTATATAAATTTTTGAAATTCCACTTGGAATTGGAGACATAGCATCAGAATCGGAGGTAACTCCAAAAAAATTAAATTTTTACGCACTTATCTACTGAAAGTGTAGCGAAATTTGGAACAAAAATAAATTTACCAAATTATAGTGAACTCTCCCATACATATTTTCGGCCGATCTCTGTATTAGATGCATCAAACACAATGTGTGATGGAATTTCTCTAAACAAAATTATCTGCCAAATTATATTGAAATCAGTTCAGATTTGGATATAGCCCCCATATATCTTCTCAGCCGATCTCATCTATTTGATGTACAAAACACGTTATATTTCTCCAATTTCAATGAAATTCTCTACAGATTTGGATATAGTTCCTATATAACTTTTTCGCCTGATTTCGTCCTTTGATTAACCCAACACGCTAGGTATGCCGAATTTCAATGAAGTTTGGAATGTATGCCAGAATTTGGCTAACTAGGCTGAGAGTAAAAACCTACACAGCAACTTAATCGAGGCTACAATTATTACGGGGAAATATATAAGTTGATATATATTTTGCCTCCTAGAATCCCTCCAATAGCTACAACAATGCAGTTTCCTGTACGGTTGGCATTTGTTGTGACAATTTATAAATCCTAAAGACAAAATCTTTGTACATGCGGACAAAATTTACCACGTTCCTGCTTTTTTCACTGTCAGCTGTTCACGTGAGGGTAGATCTATCGATTTGTTTTTTTAAGCACCTGAAGGAAAAAAAATATTTTATATCCCAAAGCATTACAACAAATAAGTTTTCTGAGTTCTTGAATGTGTTTTATTTTTACATGGTAGAATATGTTAACATTTTTTTTTTCAAAATTGTCGATTTGACAAAATCTCATTGTCAAAATGATTTTGATGGAACTAGCGGCCATCATTTGTAATACTCATAACCCAAGTAATAATATATTTAAATATATGAGCATAGGCTTAGGGTATACATCTGCCCGACTGAATGGAATAAGCCCAAAATATAGCTCGAATGATTATGTTCCCCGGTAAAAAAAAAAAATTGGATAATTTAATAGGCAAATGTATCATCTTTATAAAAACCAATTTGAAATAGATAGAATAGAAATAACCAATATAATATTACATACTCCTTGCTTGTTTATTTTTATAAAAAAAAACAAAAAGATATGGTCATGCATGATACAATAAGAAGGTAAGGTAGAGCTACCAGCTGATTACAATTTTTTTCTGATTGTGCCCGACTTCTGCCAATTTTTGATCTGTTCCGGAACTGCAAGAATGTAAAAGTTTCTAATACGATAACCGATTTTCCCTTTATGATATTGGAGAATATTGTAAAACTAGTAGATTCTTTCAGGTTCTGGAACATACAATTTGTGTGGGTATTATCATGGTACAATAAAAAGGTAAGGTAAAGCTAACAGCTGATTACAATTTTTTTCAAAGTGTGCCCGACTTCCTCCAATTTTGTGTATGTATTAATTGTTTTGTATTAATTGTTTGTTTTGAAAAAAAAAAATATTTTTAAAACCAATGATTGGGAAGGCACATGAATTGCGGCTCGCGCATTAAAGCTATTAACCAGTATAGCCATGAAATTGAAAGATTGAACAGTAAGGATCATATTTTTGAGAGAAAAATTCAGACATTTTATTCATTTTCACTCTTTCACGCAATTTCACTCATTTTAAAAATGAGGAAAAATATAAAAAAATGAAAGCAATAATTTTGAATGAGTCTGACAGGAAGCGGGCATAGCCTCAGGGCTGTATTTTTGTAGTTTTACGAAGCTGTTCTACCTCCTTATTGTACCCTGGATATTACTGTTTTGAAAAATGAAAACAAAATATTTTCAAAATCCATGATTGTAAGAGACTTAAATTGCGGGGTGCGCATTAATGGAATTAACCAGATTTGCCACGGAATTGAACACTTAGGATCATATATTTGAGAGAACATTCAGACATTTCATTCATCTTTCGCGATATTTGACTCAAAACAACTTGTTGGATATAATTTTGAAAAATTCTGACAGGAAGCGGGCATAGCCTCAGGGCTGTATTTCTGTAGTCTTACGAAGCTGTTCTACCTCCATATTGTACCATATGGTCATGGTTTCTGTAGATATTCAATTCTTCTGACATGAAGACATTTGAGGTCTCCGAATTCTTGCGGGATTTGTTCCTACTGAGATTGCCATTCCACGGGATATTAAAAGCAAACAATAGTATACTATTGTTTGCTTTCATCGAATTCTCTTAATTCGGGGACAGAGCAAAACAGTACGACAGTCACATCAACACAACATTTCCTTGCAAAATTGAAATTTCAATACAAATTCAAAAATAAACAATATTCTTCAATGTTTCGAAATTTAATGTTCTGATTGGTGAGAAACAATTTGCCTCAAATTTCCATGGAAAATTAAGAAGGTAAAGTCATTTCAAATAAGAAAATTTCCTTTGCCAACTGAATTCGATTTGCTTACAATTTTGACATATCCAGTTTCTACAAAAGTTGCTTTTTGAAATTTTCGCCTATGTTGCTACCTGGAATTTCTACCATGGTTGTGACAGTTCATTTGAAAGATTTATTTGACAAGCTCAGTTACAGAAAAGGCAAAGATGGGCTTTACCTTCTTTGATTCTACCATGTATTTTTATTTAAAACTACAAAATATTTGTGTAAAACAGTTTGAATGCATATAAAAGCAAAGGGTAGGTAGCGAAGCGCACCAGGGTCAGCTAGTATGTATGTATACATGCATACAGACGTTTACATGCTTGGTGTAAGTATTACAGATAGCAGCAAACCCAGGCTGGGGCCAAATCATCGCACTCGAAATCGAGTACTTCAGCATCGTAATCTAGTTTACGCGGATCACCGCAGTCGTTATCGAATTGTTTCTACTCGAAGTTGTACACGATAGGTAGTATGCTATCGAAAACAAAGTATGTAGTTATTTTTGTGCGGAACAAGGAGTTGGTGAAAGTGGCCGTTTTATTCTATTTTCAGTTTTATTCTATTCACCAACACTTACTCTATTTCAGACAATGTTAAAGGACTGAATTTGTTACGAATATTTTCCTATTAATGCCACTTTGGATTCATGCTCCGAGTCTGAAGACGAAGAAAACAAAAAAACACTCGCATTCATAAATATATTATGAATGCGAGTGTTTTTTTGTTTTCTTCGTCTTCAGACTACACACATGTACACATGTATTTAAACACACAGAAACAGCATAAATTTTTCAGAAATAACATATTTTTATCGCAAAAACTTATTTTCTTGGCCTAATATGTCATCTTTTTTCTTTATGTATGTGTTTTCTTTTCAATAACAAAAAAATTGTTCAGAAAACATTCAAATTCGGGTGTTTTCAAAATGTTTATTTCAACGCATGCATCAACAAAATCTAGAGTTTTTGTAGCGAAATAATCCTTTAGAGATATATAGTACATGATTTTGAAAAGAAGTGTTGACCTTTCATTCAGTTAACGCGGGTTTCAATTATTTATTCAATTCTGACATTACAATTCTGACATTACAAGCCAAACAGGTAGACCTCTGTACTTGCAATTTTTTCAAAGTTGACCTACCTTCTCTTTATTGTACCATGCTTATTACCATATGTTTACAGCAATGTAAAAAAAGTAGTAGACAAAATAAATTGCGATCGAATGCTGTGATTCAAAAATTTACAGCGATCGAAATGTTTCTCTATACGAAACAGAACTCGATGACGAATGCGGTGATTTGGCCCCTGATTTGTCTCTATTGTAAGAAAGTGTCAAATTCGATATGACGTTTTGTGATTTAAACCCATTTCTTGATATGCAATAGGTATACACGTTTTTGATAAAAAAATCACTACAGGGCACTGGGAACATATTGTTTGCCCAATAATAGAAAAATTCCGCCATCGGCGATGGGCGGAAACTTTTTTCGCGGTTCAGGAACAGCGACTTCACATTAGGTAATTTAGGCGATTGTTGGAAGAGATTCGGACCTACAGTGGAATGATATGAAAGCATTAAAATGACCTGTGTTCTTCTACCTTGGTGCTAGATTCAGAAAATCCAGTGAATACAAATCCAAAATGTACTCCTTTATCGCAGGGAATTTTCGTAGAAAATTTTCATTTTTTATTTTGGTTGTTGTCAATGAAATGTTACGACAAATAATTATTCCTCACAACGGAGTCAAATCTGAAAAAATAAAACTCTGCCGATCTGTGGAATTCACTCTAGCACAATCGCAATAAATTTAATGCAGGTTTTCTATATTTCAAATGATTGTGATTGGCCAAGTATCAGGATTAACCCTGGTAGAGATTTTATATGTAAACGTACTTTTAGGACCGTATAATGAATCATATACCATATAACGGCGCCTGCCAACGTTCGGCATTTTTCTGATTTAGACACATTTTCAATGAACAATGGACGTTTTCAATGAAATGATTGAATAGGTATGGTCTACTTTGGATGTCTTTGCAGAAACAACCAATTGGGACTGAAAACCCCAGCAGACCGAAATTAATAATTTTCAAGACCAATAAATATGAATTTGACAATGAACTTAGTTCTATTGCGATTTGACTGTCTTTGAATCTCAATTTGAAAACTTTGATGTATGTTTTCAATGAAATTGGGTGACAATAATTGTATATCGTATGTTAGCATGCGATCATCTTGTATAATTTTCAATGAGCCTAACACTGAGAATTTACGGTTTTAAACTGCAACATTTTGGACAGTGAAATTATTTATTTGTAAATTTAAATATAATTGTATATTATGGTACAATATTCTATCTATTTAACTATATATCTTTGGAATTTAAATGTAGATGTATATTATGGTACAGTTTTCTATCTATTTGGCTGCGTATCTTCGGAATTGAATTCAACTAAATTGTACTGAATATAAACGTGACATATCCATCAGATGTTTGGCCACAGTCACTTGGCTTTGTGGGTGTGGATACGATTTGAACTCTTTCGTATCCTTTACGTTGCCTCCTCAATTGCAGGTTATCTTCACAATCGGGATCGCCCGATATGGCCCGACAATGCATAATATTGTTGCTTACAACTAGAGTTTTTAATGCGGCATTGTTCACGACGAACTTGTGGAAGGCTTGCGTTGTGTCCTGGACATCCGAACCCCATTCCACTGAACCATCTCTCTTCTTATGGAATATTTTGCTTACCGACCAATGCAGGATTTTCACCTGTAGGATTGCGGTCTTCAGAAAGAAGAGCTTCTCCGGTATTCCGTTTATTTCAAGAGCCCAAGTGCACTTCTTCTGGTGCCCTTGAGTGCGTCGGTCCAAAATATTTTCAAATATGCGATGATCCGTCGTAGAGAAGTAGTAATTGTCGTAGGAATATAAAGTAAATGTTTGCAGGGCAACCAGATTGAGGATTCTATTCAAACTCTGCGTATCTCGGATACAGTGGGTGTAAAGGGTTAATTCTTTCAGGTCAGAATAGGATGCAACAAAATGAATGGGCAGCGTACACGACGGCCTAGGTCTAAAGTCGAGGCTTCTAAGATTTTTCGAAAATAAAGATTGCGTTGATAGGTGGTTGGTTTGGACCTTGCTGAGAATAATATTGGAAGCGACAAGCGAGACCCTTTCGAGGTGGTCGTGCACACTGCAATTGCGCATGTCAATGGCAACGTTGGTAACGTCTAAGCCGATTAAACCGGGGAATGTGCGGAATACCTCAAAACATAGAACATCTGTTGCGAAGCTCTTCGAATTGCACAGACCTAATTCAGTTACATTTTCAAAGGTTTTTCCTTTCATTTGTTTCTCGCAGGCTGTGAAAACATTAATGGGTATTCGGGTGATTCTCGGAAATCTACTTAAAACCACGCAGAGGAAATCGCATTGGAACTGTGGTGACCTCTCCGAAAGACAAGTATCTTGGGAGAGGTCAAAAAAGGTTTTACGATAAGGATGCCAAATATCGTCCAATATGATATGTCCGAAGAGCGGGTCTGTTTGCAGAGCCGAAAACTGACACGATAATTCCAAATGTTCGAGTATTCTCCTGAGGCAGTCATATGTTATATCGAATATGTGAGGCTTTACATCCGAAAAGGGGAGTTTGTTGTTTGCTAGTTTGCTTGCATCTAAAGGGAAAAAGAAGTAAGAAATGCAATTAGAAAACTCAATGCAGGTCCTTTGAGAAGCGAAACCTAAATAATGCTGTGCTTAGTATGGAAGACAATTTTCCTTTGAATGCATTTTTTTTTTTCAATTTGTAGTTTGACTTTTAGCTCTTACCCACAACTTGCATTTCTTCTCTTTTTTTTGATTCGAAGGAAAAATCAAAACCACCCGATCAGCAGGAGTGCAACTCTTCTTTTGAAATCATGCTTAGCGCAGTTGGTGTAACGAAGTCGTTGTTCACTTGTGTCTCGTGTCTTTACCCGCTGCACGAACAGTGCGTTGTTCTATTTTTAATTGTTTTGGGAGGAAAAGGAATTGAGGAGTACAAAAGGACGTATCGCTCATGTCATCATTTGTTGCAGTTTTGAATTTTTGGTTTTGGTTCAAACTTGTCAAAATTTGACAGACAAATTGGAAGAAAATATGTATGTGGGAGCCATATTTAAATCTGAAACAATTTCACCAAATTCCGGGGAATGAATTTCTCGAATTAATGGTGAGGGCATGGTAGAATTACAAGGTAACCCTTTCAGGCCAGCTGGTATCAATTTGATATGTCAAAAAATTGTTGTAATTTGAATTCGCCTTCATTTACACATAAGAAAATTGTTGCATGATTTCAAACTTTAACAATGCTATTGATAGAAAATCGAGATTTTACGTTTTTATAGAGTATGAGGGAAAAAGTGTATATTCAACATATGGTAGGCATAGGTAATATGGAGATCTAAAATTCGTGTATATTTGAAATAAGTGAAACAGGGAATCAATTTCATATAGGAAATAAACCGATACATGGGATTTCATCATCTTATTTGTACGGATTTTCAACTATGTTATACACTATAGGGCTTCAACAGTGAAAGGTGAATGATTCTAAAGCATATTGGATTGGTTTGGGGAACAAAACATTGGCAATTTTTGGGGTGTGATTAAATATTGAGATAATTTTTTTATTTCAAATTGTTCGAATGTATTAAAGTTATCTATACATAAAATACTACCTGTCTGCTATACATTTCATAGCTGAGCAAATAATATGCGTGGACTCACAGTAGACTCAGCCCCCTGTATCTTCTGCAATCTTTGATCCAAATCTTAAGTAAGCCTGAGGAGTAAATATACCCTAAAGTACCTTTTAGGTAGCATGTCACTACAGCGAGAAAGCTGACAAAAGAAAAAAGGGTACACCCCAGAACCACCACAAAACCTAATTTTAAAAGCATCAAAAATAATTTTCCGGATATTTTCTTGTAAAGAACATTATCGCTGTTGAATATGAAATCAACGTTGCCAACGTTACCAAGACTGCATGCTGTGTAAGGATGATGAAGAGATAACAACGATTGGACATCTATTATCGCAAATGTCCTTCGTTGGCGCGCTGGAGACTACGATCACTCCATTTCCAGTCTCTGTGATTTTCAAAAATGTTGTATTGAACGTGCTATAATCAAACCAAGATGCAGCGGCTTCAGCATTACTTTCAATCGATGTTGGAAGTTTTGAACATTTGCTTTTGTAACAGAAAAAACAACAATTTTGAAAATTTTTAATTCAATATTTTGATTGGAAAAATAATTTGCCCCAAATTTTGTACTTCAAATCAATTCGCCCTGACTACAACTTTGACATATCAAGTTTCCAAAAAAGTTGCTTTGTTGTAATTTTCGCCTATGTTGCTACCTGGCATGGTACAATGAAGAGAAGGTAGATCAACTTTGAAAAAATTGCAAGTATAGAGGTCTACCTGTTTGGCTTGTAATGTCAAAATTACTATCAAAACAATAAAAAACCAAACAACTTGTTGCATTGATTTTAAATAAATAATTTAAAACCGCGAAAACTGAATGAAAGGTCAACACTTCTTTTCAAAATCATGTACTATATATGTCTAAAGGATTATTTCGCTACAAAAACTCTAGATTTTGTCGATGCATACGTTGAAATAAACCTTTTGAAAACATCCGAATTTGAATGCTTTCTGAACAATTTTTTTGTTATTGCAAAGAAAACACATACATAAACAAATAAAGATGACATATTAAGCCAAGAAAATAAAAAAAATTAAAATCATATGGTGGTTCTGCCCTACCTTGATATCATTGTACCATGCTACCTGGTATTTCTACCATGGGTGAGGGCTTTAAATGTCATGTATATATGAACTGATGTTCACCCAATTGGGCAGATTTACTTTTAGGCTGAAATCGGGTCTTACCGGACATTTGTGTTATCGAACAACATTTTGTAATACTTTTATTACCTGTTACCTGAAATTCGACGTATTCGGTCGACGTTTTTCACCACACAAGTAAAACACATGTATTTATTTGACGTTGAGCGTACCGAATTTCAAAATTAAACAATTTCAACATTGACAATTGAATAATTTCTCTTTTTGTGTCATGGTAAAATTAATTGAATGAATTTAAAAATTATCAATTTTTACAAAGTTTTTATTTGTAAGATATGGACATGGCGTATTTGGGTGATACGGGCGTACCAAACATTTTAACATGGTGGGTAAGTTGAATTTTTGTATACGATGGGTCGAATTTTAGGTAACAGCTCGCAAATGTGAACGACACTCTGTTTTTGGTAAAATGAGTTATTGTTTTCTATTCAAAGACTTGATTTTTCATACGTGACACGTTTTTCTCCAATTTCATTGAAATACATGGATACAACACACGTGGTGAACAAAAACGTAAGCACACACACACATATATTTTTAAGTTTTCCGACGACTACAACACAATGCTTATGAAATTGGAAAATAAACATTGACATTTCTCTAAAACCTTCAACAGTTTAGTTTGTTTAAATTCGATCTGTCTTCAAGTGGCCATCCCATTCTAAGTGCTAATCTTCACTGCTGAAACGAAACGGCCTATTGTACATGATGGCGAGGGTTGGAATAAAGACATGACCATATGGATGCTGTACTCTTCCATCCCCTTTTGTGTTGCTATTTTTATACACGGGTCCACCACCTCCTTCATTTGGAGCGGGGTAACTTTGTTCTTTGAGCTGTGTTCAAACGATGCGTGTGGTGGCAAAATGCCCGGCATCGAATTCTCTCTTCTCATGGGAGCAAATCGTTCACTGCCTTAAAATTGTGAACGACATTTTTTTTTAAGATTGGGTGGTGGTGAAAATTGGAATATGATGCCAAATAACAGATAAATCCAGACCATTTAAATAAGGTCGGTGGCGGAATCAGACCTTAGCAAAAAAATAATATTTATTATTGAGAATATTGGGTTTAGATAGCAAACGGTGACAGGAGTTGTCTTTAGAATGGAACAGTAAGTTTACATAAAAATGGGCTAACAACCCATCCATCAGATATACTTCAAATAAATCCACTTGAAGTAGGTTAAACCTGCAGATAGTTCTAATCACGGTACAATAAGGAGGTAGGACAGCTTCGTCCGTTTCCTGTCAGATTTATTCAGATTAATATAAAACAAATTGTTTTCATGTATTTGATATTGTTTTGTTCACTTTTAAAATGAGTCAATTAGCGCGGACTTTGAATGAAATGCTTGGATGTTCTCTTAAAAATATGATCCTAAATATTCAATCTTTCACTTCATTGATTTTGAAAATATTTTGTTTTTATTTTCCAAAACAATAAATACACGTACAAAATTGGCAGAAGTCGGTCACACTCAGAAAATAAATTGTAATCAGCTGGTAGGTCTACCTTACCTTTTTTGTTCTACCATGGACCTAACGTAAACATGGCATAATCTTGATATAGATCGTATAAGAACAAAAATAGTTATACGCATGGCTCAATAAAAACGGTTGTTCAACTTCAAAGAAACTAGAAGAACGCAACTCTGTGCTGAAGTTTTATAGGGTCAAATAGACTTAAATGTGCAACAGTTGACTTTGTTTATTTTTATTTTATTTTTTTACAAAATTCTTATTTGGGAAAAACGCGCGAAACAAGAATGACATTTCGGGGTTATACCGCAAGATTGAATCTAAAATATTGGGACAACACAATTTTATCGCAAAATTGTACAAGTTTTTACCCATTTACGTCGAAAATTTGCATTTATTTTTCAATCAAAATTGAAATAATTTTAAATTAGTATATTTTTATTGAAAACAATAAACGCGCATATACAAAAGGTGTATATGTTTCGTCAGAATAAGGGCAAAAAGAGAAAAAATTCTTTTAAATTAAATAATGCAAATTCCGAAAATAAACAGTATTGAAATTAAAAAAAAATTATTTGTGGTTGTTGTTACTTTTGTTGTACAACAACATTTGCTGTTACCTGAATTATTCTACCATGACTCATCAACGATCGCAAGCGTTGATGCATCTACCTGTATTCTTTTTCCATATAGTGTTGTTCATTCACAATGACAGCCTTTCGTTGCGCTACATGGCAATGGGTCAATCATGGGTCCTGGTAATAATCTAAAAAAAATGGTGGAACGAGTCTGGTAAGGCCATAAATCATTTAGTCGTCATCGCCACTATACTTATACAATATGAATCTAAATACCGATAACCAATTCTGAAAAATAAATCTGAACTTATCAGTGAATTATTAGCAGGTAACTACAGCTATCATTAGCGTAAACTGTCAGAAAGTATATATTTTGTTTTGTTAAATAATCTTGATTGCAAATAATGTTATCTGCTATTGGAATGGTGTTTTCCGAACAGCCCTGATACAATCACCTACAAGGTAGGGCGGGTTGTTATTAGAGCGAAAAATGCTTCGCCTTGACATAGCAGCGAATTTATTATTTGTCAATTTTGACGATATTTATATTAAGTATAAATATAGCACATAATGTTAAAAGAGAAACAACTTTGTTTTAGGTCTATCCCGTAAATGTTTGTGGCACTTTACCATATCACATGTAGTTTTTTTTGCTAAGTTCAATATATGCATATATATGGACCTTGAATGTTCCGTAAGTATCATTGCATTTTTTCGTTGCTTGAAAGTTGACGAATATAGTTGGGGCATAATTGTGATCCTGATCACGACAACATTTTTGTTTAATGGGGAAGCGCGAACTTTTTGTGATATATATGCTGATTGCGTTTTTATGGAAAACTCTCCCTTTTGCAATTATATAACCTAGTCCCTTCTTTAACAGCGGCCAATTGTAAAACAATTATAAAATGCAATGGTTCTCACGGGGCACGATAAAAAGAAATATCATGCATTTTATTGGTACATCCTGCAAACACACAATATGTTTGAAAAGGATTTCGTCAAAAAAGACGTGGGTTTAAAACAATAGGTTTGCATAGTATTCTTGAATAATCAAAGTGGGCATATATATTAAAAGGAGCTATCAAGGGGACCTATGACACATATTTTGCAATTAAAAAAAAAAAAACAAGTTAAAAAATTTCAGTCAGCTTTTCCGACAGATGAATACCCTCAGCCAATGTTCGATTATTTAAATATATTTTGACTTCTGTTATGATTATTCAAATTGTTGAGCCTCTATTGAGTAGGTTCCGAAGGAATGGGCCAATATTGTTTATTTCGTATCAGACCTATATAAATATGGTACAAAAATGTGACGTGCTAGGTTTGGACTATATTGGTTACATCCTTAACTTTTTGCGAGATATGTGATAATTTTGAGAAAATGTTAATATGAGGTATCAAATATAGTCGACGGAAGTATTCCATTTTCATTCTTTATCTAATACAGATAAAAATACTGGTATAGGCAAAATTGCAAGAAAATCGAACATTTATATCCAATTTTATGCGAAATCATAAATCCAATATTAATCTCAGGTTTCTGGTTGGGAGAAATATTTAGATACAGCAAGTTGTAAAGAATCGCCGACTTGTTTCGCTAGTTATGAAGATATAAGTATTGGAAATTGTGACTCTTTGTGGGTGAAGTAACATATGGGGTTGGCAGATTTATATTATCTGCAAAACAGATATTGTATTGGAAAAAATCTTTGTGTGTGCGAAATTTGAAGAGTGTTGAATGCTTATTTCGCTTTCTATGAGCGTTTTGTGTTGGTAGCAAAAGAAACGGTCCGATCTCGACCCTCTTTATAACAGATCTTGTGTTGATGGAGATATTGAGATGTACCAAGTCTTGAATGGAATCGAATGTTAATTTCGCTTTTTATGAGCTTCATGGATATTTGGATAAAATTTGTGGATCCTTTGTGGGGGATGTACTTGATGAATAGGACCGATTTTGTCCATTTTCGCACCTAGCACTGACGCAAATACTAGGATTTGCAAAGTTGGAGCAAAATCGGATTATCGTTTCTCTCTCTGTGCAAAGAATATATATTGTTTGGAGGTAGCAGTAGGAGTGGACCGATATATTCCATCTTAACACCAGACCTTGGGTTAATATAAATATTGGGATATGTGAAATTTGAGGACAATCGGACTCTTACATCACATTTTATATATATATATATATATATATATATATATATATATATATATATATATATATATATATATATATATATATATATATATATATATATATATATATATATATATATTTTTTTTTTTTTTTTTTTTTTTTTTTTTTTTTTTTGAAAATTACGACTATTTGTGGTGGAGGTACCAGAAGGAGTTGACCGATATATTCCATCTTAACACCAGACCTTGGGTTAATATACATATTGGGATGTGTGAAATTTGAAGACAATCGGACTCTTACATCACATTTTATAAGAGGTGTAATTATTTAAAAATTTGACCCTTTGAGGAGGAGGTACCAGAAGGAGTGGACCGATATATTCCATCTTAACACCAGACCTTGGGTTAATATAAACATGGGGATGTGTGAAAGTTGAAGACAATCGGACTCTTACATCACATTTGATGAGAGTTGTAATTATTCAAAATTTTGACCCTTTGTGGGGGAGGTAGCAGAAGAAGTGAATCGATATTGTCCATTTTCACACCAGGCCTAACACAGACGCAAATATTAGGATTTGCAAAGTTGGAGCAAAATCGGATTATCGTTTCTCTTTCTGGGCAAAAAATATATTTTTGAAAATTCGACCAATTGTGTGGGAGGTACCAGAAGAAGTGGACCGATATTGCCCATCTCCGAACTCGATCTAAGTTTGACAAAAATATTACGATGTACCAAGTTTGATCCAACCGGATACTCCCTTCGAGAGTTATCGTGGCACCAGCCAGACAGACGGACGGACGGACATCGGTAGATCGACTCCAAATTGTTCTGAAACGGATTTGGTCCAAAGAGACCTAGGGTCTAAAACCATTATTTCGACTGGGCACGTTTTGACCGTATCAAATGATATATACCTTGTAGCCAAATGGCTGAGGGTATAAATATCGGATATTTCACGACTTTCTTTGAACACATACAAATAAACCAGGGAAGTCATTGTGTCACATTGAAACACTTTCAATAAACATACCAACATATGTACATTAAAGTCGCCAATACAGACCTACTTTTTTTGTTTCTGAGACAGATTTATCTGTCATTTCACTTTTTTGTTTTTACTTTGGTTTAGCTCTTTTTTGTGGCAAATGATATACAAAACTTTCCACTCTTTTTATTAACTTTGAACCGTTATATTATAGGCCCATTTTTTCCACAATCACGCTATACCTTACTAAGTATATATTTTCTCGATCAGCGTAGACTTCTATACCGATGTAGGGATGACCGACTGTGTGTTGTAGTCGCCCTTTTTCGAACGATTTGTGATAGATATAGATTAAAATTTTGCACACATGTATAGGTTGTAAGTAGTCAGGTCAGGTTCGTAATACGGTACTTCCCAATATTCGTTATTTCGACGATTTAAGCCACATCTTTTAACTGAGTTGTTTTACCTTTAATAGGTAGTAAATCTTGTGGCTGAATATCAATCATATAGTCCTCGATTTTCTATTGACGCCAGAGATCGGTACTTTTAAACATTCGGTATTTAGGCGATTTTAGTGTCATTGGCATAAAAATGTGTGCAAATAAAAAGCAATTTTGGTTACGTTTAGTTTACGTCAATGTCAATCATTTAAGGCCCTGAACACACTTTAATCGGTTTTTTTTTGCAAATGTCCTTACATCCAAAGATGTGTTGCAAATTTGATCTTCTAAATTTGACTAGCCACAGTGCATCCTGAGAAAATGGTTTGTGGCTATACTCTCTAGAATAACAGCTGATGACAGAGGCATGTTAATATAACAAACACAATTATATAACAAAATGCCGAATGGTATGATATCATCACAACAGAGCTATTTTCACCTGGTGACAATATTTTAACTCTGTGTTGACTAAGACCTGAATTCAACTCCTGTGCGATCGGGAATTGGTATCTATTGCCGTAGTCAGACAAATTCCAATAATGTTGACAGTAAATGTAGGTATCAGCGGACCTAATAATGGGGTCACGAGTTCATCCGTGGTATACGAAAATGCAATTGTAGTTTTCCAAACTTGGAAAAATGTTTATTGTCCAGTTTAAAAATATCTTTATAACAAAAAATTATCTTTCCATCATTTTCAACAGGGCGCTTGTCAAACGTTTCGCATGCCAATTATATTTATTCGTATGAATAGTCGCACCTACCCACATACATACATATGCATATGTATGTCCGAATACAACAAATATCTCAATCAGCACTCAATGTTTCTTTTGATAAGCTATTACTCTCCTGTGTTTAGTTGCTCTCTTTGAACGCCATTCATTACTTAACGGCCAAACAATTCCAAATCGGTAAAACCGACTGGGATGCACCTTGTGAGTCACATTAAAGATTCAACTTCGATTTAATTACAATGACTGTTGGCAAAATAAATAAGTTCAGGGGGGGTGTAGGGTGCATCAAATACAATCCTTCGATTCTCCGTAAAGAATCGGGAAAATATGATTAACTTGAGGTGGGAATATATGGACGATTTTCATATAACAAAAAAGGGGTGTAGGTGAATTTGGTTTCATTTAATTCTTGCCAGAAAAAGTCCTTTAATTTATTTCCGCCTTTAATGCGCCATAAAAGTTGCATGAAATCGTATTAAATGGGCAAATACGCAAAGACAATTGGATTACGTCAGCCATTAGAAATTAAGGAACACTTTTCATTTCAAATTTTCCAATTCCAAACCTTGACATTTTTGTTACTGTTCGGTTTTATATTCGAACGAGTAAAAGAATAGCTAAGTTCGGTATCCACCGTTTGGAAGGAATATCTGGATGGATAGTTATAAGGGGTCTATACCAAAACTTGCAGCAATATGTACAGTTCTCTGCAAAGATGTTTCCTACATGCTGGGAACACAAATTGCCAATTCAGGGTAAATTCAGTTTAAAATTGTGACTAAAACAACGGACTTAAAATATATTTGAGTGAAATTTGGCCTACCTACTTCAACCCGTTCGGAAGTTAGAGTTTTAGAATCTTATTATGATCAAGTGAATATAGTTCCAAAATTGAACTTTCGAGAATTGCAAACGTAATATTCCCTGATAGGGGCATAATGAATGAGGTGTTTCATTGACTTATCTCCCATTCCGAAGCTACCAAGAAACTATTTTGTTTTTTAAATAAAGTACTATTCTCTCTTTACATTTGGCTAATAAAATTGCGATTTGACCCCTGCACAGTGATCCCATTTGTATGGAGGCTGCTGCTAATGGACTGTATACTACTTTAGGATAATTTTAAGAACCCCCTTTTACGATCAAGGGGGGGAGGGGTATGCTTTATGAAATTTTCGATGTAACTAATAAGCGAAGATTTAACATCGAAATCGAAACCAATGGGCAGCTTTGTATGACGAAAGTGAACGTAAAGTGTCATTCCTTTCAGAATGAATTGACAATCGTTAGATAAATGTGGAATAACGTTTTTTTGTCTTTTGGAACCGTACCGCATTAGATCCTCTTGTTGTACCTTGGGAACAAAGGAGGAAAGTACATTGAGACAATCAAGTTAGAATGAAGAAATGTTCCACAAAAAAATCCTCATTCGATTTGATCGAAGTTATGTCATCTCAAATAAAAACTACGCAAACATATACAATGCACATTAGGATCGCAATGAAAAAATAGTAAAAAAAAAACTAATTCGCTCACTAAACAATGTTATTTACTAAATGTTGGCATTTACAAGGAAGACTCCGCTTTTGCTCGTCCACTGCCTTCCTTTTGTCATATCTTCATTTCAGTGAGTCACTCTTCTGACTGAGAAGTTACCGAGTAAATCTTACTTATGCGTGTGTGCATATTCTGCATTGAGAGGATGCCGTGGTCGTTCATTAACAACCACCAAAATTGATCCAATCAAGCTGTTGTCGTAAAATCTGTATCCTACCCAGAGCCTCACCCCGTCGGACAATACCGGCTGTTGTTGCATTCTATGCGTGAGAAACAAGAAATGAGATAAGAACCATTCCATTCAACGCCGACACCCTCGGACGGACAGACGAACGAATATTTCTACGACCATGTCATTAAGTAGCGATAATGATTTTCGAGTACTGCCGATTTTGCACGACACTAACAATAATAACTCACAACGAAAACATAATCCGAAATATGAACGTTCGAAATCTTTTGCAGATAAAGCGCTCAAGAGGCAGAGAAGGCAACGCCAATTGTGGTTTGACAGACCAGCGAAATTGCCGGAGAGAAGCAGTTCCCGTTAAGCTATCGTAGCGGTCGTATGTTCAACAACGTGATCGGAGTAGAGGAAACGAAAACAGAAACAGAGCAACACCACCAACACCGAAAATGATAATCGACAGCGTATGGACACTCGGTGTCCTGTTTGTGGCCTGCTGGCACTTTTCCGCCGCCCATCAGCGGCTCGTGTCGGTGCCGTACATGAGAAGTTCGCACATGATCCAACAACCAGAGACTCGCGTATCGAAGAGACCCTCTCCGGAGGCTTACAACTCACTTCGCGACATATTTTTCCGCTATGAAGAGTCCAAGTCGTTTGGGGCCGATATAGAACTGACACAGCAAGAGTTGGAGGCCAATCAAATTATAATGGCCGTTAAGACCAAGGAGTATGAGGACGGCATGATCGTTCCTCGTCTGTTCACACCATCGCAACATTTTTTCAAAGTCTTGGATGACATCAGGGAGTCTCCGCTCTTTAAGATAATGTCGAAAATGCCGAAGGGAGGAGTGCTGCACGCGCACGACACCGCCCTTTGCAGTACCGATTTCCTCGTGAAACTCACGTACCGTGACAACCTTTGGGTTTGCTCTGATAGCGGAGCGAAAACCATAGTCGGATTGCGCTTTGCTAAGGTCAAGCCGGAGAGGGCTGACATGAGTGTCGATTGCACTTGGGATCTAATGTCCAAACTTCGCGAAGTCAATGGAACCGACTCCGTGGACCAGTATCTAAGAGACCACCTGACAATGTATCCTATTGTGAAATTCCAGGACAACAACGAGGCGTGGGAACGATTTATGAGCATTTTTGGACTCTTAGATGGTCTATTGTTCTATGCACCCGTTTGGGCTGATTACTATTACAACGCCCTGGAGGAGTTTTATGCAGATGGTGTCCAATATCTGGAATTCCGTTCAACGTTGCCATCGGTAAGTGTTTGTAGCTAAAATGAATGTGGTCGCTGTACAATTCGGAAGCAGCAGGGTGGGACAAGCCCAATCGCTAGGTCGTACTTTTGATCTTTGTTGAGGCTTGGTATTCGAAAGTTTCACATTTGCTCTCTTTTGTTTATAATGTTCGGTCCCACGCCTCTCACACCCTCCCCTGCCGACCGAGAGGGCAACCTCCCTATAACGTAGAGAGCGCGTACACTCCAAAGTCCGGACCAAGACGGGTTGGCAATGGTTTCACACCGGCTACAGAAACTACATTATCCAGTTTCTGTAGCCGGTGTGAAACCAATTTCCAGAATCCAATTTATTTCGATATTAAATCGGTTGACGTAGTAACAAAATTGTTTGCATTCTTGCAGTTCTGGAACAGAGCGATTGTTTCGAAAGAGGAAATACCTATCCCATGGTAGAAAAATACAGGTAACAGCAAGGGTTGTTGTACAACAATTCGAACAACAACCACAAACAAATTTGTTTTTGTACGTAATACAAGTGTCAGAGTTATGTGTCCAAAATGTAAACATAATAATTAATTTTCAATAAATTATTTTAATTTCAAAAATATACAGTTTTGGAATTTGGATTATTAAATTGAAAACGCAGAAGAATAGTTCTTGAAATATTTAATTTTAATGCTTTCACGTCATTCTCCTGAATGTATAGTTGTTACCTGTTGGTCCCAATCTCTTAACACTTCAAGCAATCGCTAGAAAACCGTGGAAAAGGCAACATGCCTTTCAAGCTGAAACCGAACAGCATACATACATAAAGTATTCTACATTTTGCAATTTTAGGAAACATGAAATATACGAATATATTATCTAACGTGCTGTCGCTGTTCCTTAACCACTCTAAAAGTGTCCGAACCATCTCCTTTGGCGTTTTGTTAAGTACAACGGAGATTTTTTCTATTATTAGGCAAACAAATTTGTTCACATTGCACTGCAGTGAAATTTTATATCAAAAACGGGTATACCTATTGTATATCAAGAAATGAAATTAAATCACAAAACGTCATATCGGATTTGACACTAGTATTACTAAGGAGTCAAATCAGCTGGGACTTGCTGTTACCTGTAATAACTGTACCATGTACCTATCCATTGGTAATGATGTCCTATTCCAGAACCCATGAAAATCTACTAGTTTTGAGATGTGCTATTGTCGAGAGAATTTTCCATGTAACTGAATTGCCAATATTGAAAAATAAATAGCGCGAAAGACGAACGAAATACCTGCAATACTGGCCAATATCTTTAATACGTATCTTCCAATCATTGATTGTGAAAATAATTTGTTTTTATTTTTCAAAGCAATGAATACAAACACAATACAAATTGACAGAGGTCTGGCACACTTGGAAAACAATTGTACCCATGGCTCAATAATAAAGATTGCTCAACTTCAAAGAAACTAGAAAAATGCAACTCTGTGCTGGAGTCTTATACTGTCAAATAGACTTCTAAATATGCAACAGTAGGCTCTGTTTATTTTTATTTTTTTTTTTAACAATATTAACAATATTAAATAGTAGGACAATATAGTCTTATCCCAAAATTGTACAATGTGTTATCCATTTCGTCGAAAATTTGCATTTATTTTGAAACCAAATTTAAAATAATTTAAGATTATTGTATTTTTTATTCAAAGCAATACACACACACACACATACACAAAAAGTGTGTATGTGTTGACGGAATAAGGGACCAAAAAGAAAAAAAATTGTATTTAGGGGGTAGCTTCGTTTTACCTTCTGTAATTATGCCATGATTGTACCCTTTTTATTGTACTATGTTTGATATGAGTTGCGTTCCAGAACCTACAAATTAGTACTAATTAGTTCTAATTCTGCTACAACGCGTTCCCGTAGTGCAAAAACTAGCAAAACTTGCAGCTCTCTCGAGAAAAAAATGGCGCTGAGTGGTGCACATTTCTGCTTGTTTTAGCTACATGAATTTGGCCGAGCAGAAATGTGCAAATTGTGAATTTGACATTTAATTGGCAGGGCTAACAAGGTTGAAAAATGTATTGATACATTTTAATGTTCCCGCGTCATAACAAAAATAAAGAAATGATCAACTTAAAAACTAAAGGAAAACTAATATTTGTAGTGCAAAAAAAAAAAAAAGGAAAATATGGAACACTTTTGGATGATTCCAGTAGTGAAAAGGACTGGCTGAATGATGAATCAGATTATTAATTATTACTATAGATTATTAATTTTAACGTATCGTCTTCAATACTATTTTTTTTAATTTTGGCGTCCGTTTCAGTAAGGTTTCACCAGTCCGATTTGGACTGTTTACTCTTCGAATTTTGAATTTTGACATTTTATCGCATTTCTGCTAATTTTCCGTTCCCTTATTTTTTGAGCACACCTAATTGAGAATGACATTTCGAACTGTTCTCTCTTCTGCTAGTTTTACTACTAAAAAAGTACTGGAACACAACTATTATTATTTAAAATGAGGATACTTGATTTAATTGTACCCATGGTACAATAAGGAGGTAGAACAGCTTCGTAAAACTACAGTTAATACAGCCCCTGAGACTATGCCCGACTCATTCAAAAGTATATACAACTTGTTTTAATTTTTTTCATTTTTTTTCATTTTTAAAATAAGTTAAACAACGCGAAAAATGAATGAAATGCCTGGATTTTCTCTTAAAAAAATGTTCGAAACTGTTCAATCTTTCAATTTCATGGCTAAACTAGTTAATGGCTTTAATGCGCGAGCCACAATGTACGTGTCTTCCAATCTTTGGTTTTGAAAATATTTTGTTTTCAACTGAGGCACACTTTGAAAGAAATTGTAATCAGGTGATTGTACCCATGGTACAATGAATTCAAGGTAGGGCAGAACTACCATATGATTTCATTTTTTTTTATTTTTCTGGCTTAATATGTCAACTTCATTTGCTTATGTGTGTGTCTTCTTTTCAATAATAAAAAAATGTTCAGAAAATATTCAAATTCGTGTGTTTTCAAAATGCTTATTGCAACGAATGCATCAACAAAATCTACAGTTTTTGTCGCGAAATAAATCATAAGTTTTAAATTATTTATTCAAAATCAATGCAACAAGTTGTTTACTTTTTTATTGTTTTGATAGTAATTCTGACATTACAAGCCAAACAGGATACTTGCAATTTTTTTCAAAGTTAGCCTACCTTGTCTTCATTGTACCATGATTGTACCATAGTAAGATTTTTTTTTCAAAACTAAAACTTTCGAAAGTTCGTAAAAAACAGCGATCAATTTGTTTGCAACTATTGAAAATAGTTTATTATCATCGCGAAACATAAATTTCAAACAATTCACACTGAGAAAAAGAGGTTGTATCATGGTACAATGAAGAGAAGGTAGGTCAACTTTGAAAAAATTGCAAGTATAGAGGTCTACCTGTTTGGCTTGTAATGTCAGAATTACTATTAAAACAATAAAAAAGCAAACAACTTGTTACATTGATTTTGAATAAATAATTTAAAACCGCGAAAACTGAATGAATGGTCAAAATTTCTTTTCAATATCATGTTCTATATATCTCTTATGGTTTATTTCGCGACAAAAACTGTAGATTTTGTTGATGCATTCGTTGCAATAAGCATTTTGAAAACACACGAATTTGAATATTTTCTGAACAATTTTTTATTATTGAAAAGAAGACACACACATAAGCAAATGAAGTTGACATATTAAGCCAGAAAAATAAAAAAAATTAAATCATATGGTAGTTCTGCCCTACCTTGAATTCATTGTACCATGGGTTGTATTTAGTAGTTGAAATCGCCAAATGTTTGTAACGATAAGTATTGATCCTTTTAATGCACGAAATTTTCATGCGCCAGAATGCGTGATAACCATCTTAATTTTACCATGCAGTTGACTTTGAAAACACATTCCATAGTTTTTTTTTTCCAAGAATTTCAATTGATTGGTCCCGTATTTTTCGATGTCATCACGTAATTGACACATACCTCTTATTATGGAACACATTTTACCTGATAAATTGCTGCAGTTGTTCATATATTTAACATTTTACAATTGATTGACTTCAATATTCTCACTCAAGCTCCTGAAACGATATAGACGATAAATGGTGAGAGGATTTCTTCGTCCATATTTTCATTGGTCTATGAATCAACATTCGACATACATTTCCATTTGTGTGAAAATTAGAGTTCTACTCGTTTAGAAGCAGACAAGGTAGACTGAGCTATGCGCTACATGATGTCCCTTTTTCGACTTTTCTTTTCAGTTGTACGACTTGGATGGCAATGAATATCCGGAAATCTATACTGTCTCTGTTTACAAGGAAACATTGGACAAATTTATGGCTGCCAACCCAAACTTCATTGGATCCAAATTGATTTACGCTCCCATTCGTAACATTAACGACGCTGGAATGGATCACTTTATTAAGACCTGCATTGAGATCAAGGTGGGTATGCTGGCGGTCTTTTTCGGAGGAACAATCATAATTTATATTTCGGCATTTTTCAGGAAAAATACCCCGACTTTGTGGCCGGCTTTGATTTGGTGGGCCAGGAGGAGCCTGGTCGTCCGCTGAAGGACTTTATTCCGCAACTACTTAATATGCCCGATGACATAGATTTCTTTTTCCATGCCGGCGAAACCAACTGGTATGGCTCTGCAGTGGATGAGAACCTTATAGATGCCGTTCTGCTGGGGACCAAGCGCATTGGTCATGGGTTTGCTTTGGTTAAACACCCGTTGGTGCTGCAAATGGTGAAGGAACGCAATATTGCGGTGGAGGTTAATCCCATCTCGAACCAGGTACTGCAGCTGGTGTCAGACTTCCGCAATCATCCGTGTGCCCATTTGTTCGCCGACAACTATCCGGTAGTTATTTCGCCAGACGATCCATCATTTTGGAAGGCCACTCCGTTGTCCCACGATTTTTACATTGCTTTCTTAGGCATTGCTTCCGCCCACTCCGACTTGAGGCTCCTTAAGAAATTGGCACTGAACTCGATCAACCACAGTTCTCTCTCGCCGGAGCAGAAGACCGTGGCCCTGCACAAGTGGCAAGCCCAGTGGGATATCTTCATTGATGAGGTAGTCAATGGAGACAAGGGCGATAACAACGCGGCACAACAACGGCTGGCAACCAACAGGATCGATTGACTAGCACGCCTGTTGGTGGCGATGTTGGCAATGTGGCTTTTGAGGATAATGTCTTCATAAATCATTTGAAACACACGATTGCTTATCGCTTCCAACAGCCTCTGCCGGTTATTCGATTTTATTCCCCAGGTGCAAACTCCGAAAACAGAATTCCATGATATACAATACCAGTCTTGAGTATTACCCTAGATAAGAAGTCAAATATAATTCGTGTCCGATTCCAATGCCAAAACTAGTGTGATAGTATTCGAACACGACAGTTTTTTTCGTTTTCTTTTTTTGTTTATTATCTTTTATATTTATTCGCTCGAAGTTTACTCGTCTTAGTTTAGCCAACAGCGTGAGTGTTAACTCTCTAATGGAAAATAGCCCCATGCTGCTCAATCACTCAATCTTAATAACACCGGTAGAAACAGTTCGTACAAAACCACAAGATTTGTAAATACTTATAAGTGTATGATTGATTAGCAACGAATGAAATTATTGTACATATGTATGTAAGTTAGCACTACTTTTTAAATGCGCAATTGTGTTAGTCATGGCCTTGAGGGTTAATAATTTAATTTCTTTCAGGAGTCATAAATAAACAGAAATTATGAATTCAATATCGGCAGTTTGTATTTTCGTTTCCTTTGAGAGTTTGTGTCGAGGTCGATGTAATCGCAGCTGACCGAACACGAAATGTCAGAACTTGACTGTCGTAATTATAAACACAAAAAAAAAAAGAAAGAAAATTGAAATTATAACTGAACAATTTGGCACATACTTATTTGAATTGAAAATAAACTATTTACTTTTGAGTTGAAAAATATATCCTTTACAAAATGTTTGTCCTTGACATAACATATCTTTCAAATGGACATATTGTTCAAATAGAGTCCATGGCCCATAAACAAGTCACCAAGGAGGGTTATACAATTCACTGTAAAATTCTATCGCCGCATCAATTAAAATATATTTATGTATTCATTTGAACGATTCACTTTCAGACATTGACATTTTTTTAACTCGTAAAAACGAAGGCCTATATAGGGTCGGCCAGTAAGATCAGCAGATAACCAAGTTCTCTGTCAAAATGTATTTTGAATTGGCTCTATGAATACACACAAAATCAAGATAAATGTCTAACGAAAATAATAACATTTTTTGCTTTAAATACAAAAACAAGTTTGTTCAATTTTTGCAAAAACATTTTGAATGAACTTAAAATATTTAAAGATTTTGAAACACAAATCTAAATAAATAATATGTAAAAACAAAAATTGTGTGTCCAACATACCAAAATGGCTCGGAATAACATTTATATAAACTTATGAACATAAGCCTTAAGCTTGAGAAAATCTTGAGAAAACATTGAAAAATGTTTGCATAACAAGTATAGAATAATTGAACTCTTATTTATAAGTTGGTACCTGTTAGCTTACGAAGGTAATATTATATTAAGCTTATTTCTGTAATGATATAAAATATATTTTTTTTTATTATTTTCATCATTTTACACATTTTTTATCGATGAATATCCTACCTATCACTACCTCCTGTGGCTTATACCTTGACCTTCTGCATATCTTCCACTAAGACTACACTTCTATTGAATTCCTGCAACCTGTTTGATACCTCCAGTCTGAAGTGAGATTGAAATAATATATACCACAGATTCCCATATTTATTATTCATCATTTCCTTAAGAATTCGGCCAGAAATTGGTCCTAAATTCGCGGGATTTTGGTTTTTATCAAAAAAAAAAAATATTTTTAGCTGACCATTTTCACAAAAAAAAAAAAAAAAAAAAAAAAATTGTCGACAAAGGACAGATTTGAGAAAAGTTTTTCTTAAGCATTGTTGAAAAGTTCTTATGACAAACTACATTTAATATTTTTATAATGATATTCTCAAGCTGTATTGTATTTTTGGTATGTTGGGTGGTTTTTTTTATTAAAAACCTGTAAAGAAAGTCTTAAAGTCGGGCGGGACGACTTTAAGATACCCTACGCCACTTTGCTAATTTAGTAGAGCTCCGCATAACAATTACAAGTTTTCATGGGAGAATTCAATCAAACACGCTATGATTATAATTGTAATTTAAAGTTCAAAGGACTAAATATGCCGGAGCATTGGTATCTTTTAAATTCGGACTTGTATTGCCCATTTGGTGCACAATTAATTTGAAATCGGATAAATATATATATGGGAGCTATATCCAAATCGGAACAGATCTCGATAAAATTCGGCAAAGATATTTCTAAGTTGTATTTGATATATTTCCCTGAATATCGTTGTTACGGAGTTCATATTACGGCTGTGGGCAACAAATATAACAAATCGGATGAACAGTATATATGGGAGCTATAGCTATATCTGAACCGATCTTCACCAAATTTGACATAATAGCTTCTAAACACAATTCGGTCGTAAGGGCCAAATACCATCCCATTTGGACAAATATTAGATGTTTGGTGCACACTAAAAGGTAAATCGCACGAAGTTATATATGGGAGCTATATCCAAATCTGAACCGATCTCGATAAAATTTAGCAAACGTATTTCTGAGCTGTATTTGATATATTTCCCCAAATATTGTTGTTACAGAGTGCATATTACGGCTGCGGAGGACAAAAAAAAAAACAAATCGGATGAACAATATACATGGGAGCTATAGCTATATCTGAACCTGTTGCAATAAATATATGGAAACATTCCCTTGATTTAGTTTTTCTTTGTTGGCAATAAACAAATTTGGGGTGATTATTACATATCAGGGCAAATCAATTTTTTCGCATTGCCAGAATAAAATTACATCAAACTTAATATACAGAACTGTATTTTAGATCAATTTGCTTCCTACATTATTTAGACCTTGATAACAATAACAAGTTAAAAAGCAGTAATTTCGGCCGGGCCGAACTTTGAATACCCTCCACCACAAAAGGTGCTAACGGTTAAAATACATGTAGCGATGTTTGTCTGTCTCCCTGCTGTGGTCACGCCATCTTTCAAAGGAATTGAGATAGAGCAATGTCGGCATTTATTTCTTGGAATACATTGGTTATTTTGTTCTTGCAAAATAGTCAGGCCAAAACGATTGTTTTCACGTAGCGAAATTGTAACTTTTTAGCTATTTTTAGAAAATGTAGCTGGAAATTCTGATTTTTCCCCGTACATTCCTCATATTTTCGCTACATTCCCGATATTCATAAGGTTGTATGCCACAAATCAATATTTAACATATGGACTGCTCCAGAACTGCAATAATGTAAACGTTTTTACTACCATAACCGATTTTCCCTTCATGAAATCGAAGAAAATTGTAAATCTAGTAGATTCTTGCAGATACTGGAACAGAGCAATGATATTGACTTATGTATTACCAGGCCTTTGCACAAGACACCCCTGCAAATAATTTTGGACTGCGTGATCCATTGCAGCAGCCATGGACCAGTTACAACATTGACCTATGTAATGCAGCCATGGACCATGTCATTGTCATAAAAGAGTTCCTTGTTAATTTAACGGCAAGTGTTTGGGTTCGTGCGGCACAGCATAGGCGTTTATTGATTGTTTTTGTTTTTGTCTCATAGAATTATGACGTGGAGTAGTTTTGAAACTACTCTGATTTGATGCAAAGCAGGGCTATGTGGTCTAGCCTTAGGGCATCGTAGTTTTTGAATGCATTTGGATTATTTTTGGATTGGTCCTGGTCTATGATGGACTATAATCTACATGCGTGTATGGAGCTGTCGTATTATTTGGAGGGGACTTTGTCTTGGATTAGAGATGCAGTAAGACGGAACAATAATTGCGATCAAATGAAAAATAATTGCATATTGCTACAAAAAATAATAGAATTAAATAATCGAGAAGAATTGAAGTAATCATTTCATTTACTGCTTTTCTTTCGCAATCACCTTCGAATTGTATTTGGATCAATAACATAATGCAAAATAAGCTGACAATACTTACAGTGGTTTACCTTCCTAATTTCGAAGAAAAAAAAACAATTTATCTGAGGCGACGAGTTTTTTGTTGTTGTCTTGTACGCAATATATATGTATGTATGTATTTTTCATTCAGTTTTAAATATACATTCAAATTCTATAAATATGTACTTAAGTATTAATGTCATCCTTCTTATCGCAATAGAATTATTCTTATGTTATAAACCTTCCTTAATTCTCTTTCGAAAGCCTAAAGTAAATCTAATCGCACCTTGTCTGCAAATTACGTCTGACATCTGGCAGAGGGTGTGCATAGCGTTCATTTACTTGAGGGGTGTTTAGAACCGATGTCGCTGAACGTCCATGCAGGATGTGTATTTACGAGCTTTCGTATTTTTTAGTTCAAGATCACATTATTCATTTATATTTTACAATGGGTTCTCTGCAAATCACCTCGTTTTTTTGAGTTAGCACACGTTTTCAGTTACTGAGCGGTGTGTATGCGCGGATGTGCCTACGCATAAAACCAAATATTGGATGTCCGGCAGAATTACGTGAAGTCGAATGTGTCCGCTGTCTAATGACGAGTGGCAGATATCTACCTACTGCTCTTTCTTTGTCAGTTCGTTAGTCTGAGTCAATCAACTTTGGAACCGACACATCCGGCCCTCAGACATTTAATATTTGGTTTATTCGGCACATAGATATATAGTGCGTTTGTCAACTAATTGTTTCAAGCCCAATAACCGAATAAAATTTTATTTACATAATATGTTTTAATATAAACGTTAAATGTTAAAACGTTAAAACAGAATCAATTAGAGCTGAGAAACGGTAGTAGAAAAATTATTTTTACGAATGTAGGTAGATTCTAGGTATCACTCTATATACTTTAATGACTTACTCGTTTCGTTTGGTTAAAAACACATGGAGTCATTCTGATATGAATTCTATTCCAGTAAAAATCTACTCCTATATTTTCAAACCTTAAGATTTATTTTTTGTAAATTGTTCAGAAGGAAATACATTCGTTGTAAAACAAGGAAGCAAAGTATCCTGTGATACACTACACCACAATTATTTGCGGACATTTCAATGATAATGTAAAAATGAAAATCGATAATGATGTAAAGGTTTATATTCTGACTATAGCTGAAGTAAAATAATTGCGATCTGTAGAGTGACATACAATTTATCGCCGATATTTCGATGCTTTAATAACGATTTTGTGATTTTTCGCAACAAAAACTTTTGTCAGAGGTATACGAATTAAGCACCACGTCAAGCCTGGGACCGTAACTCGCTATACAATAAAAATGCACTAGATTTAAGAACCGAGGCATTCGTATATAGCTAAAATTTGGTATGCACGTGTGCCGCTTTCAGTACTAGTAGAAATAACAAATTCATATCCTCCGCATTACCAGCAGACCAAAAATTATGACAACTACATACCTCCGAAGGAACTTGAAAATGTTCAAAAAATACCGTCGAAAAATACCGCTTCAATGAATGAACCGTTATATGGGAGCTATACGAAGATAATTATGTAAGTAATTATCTGTTATATGCTGTAGCGCTGATTCCGAACTTCAATAAAATCATCAAAATTCCGAATATCAGAAGGTAACGTTACATGAGGCTGTACGAAAACGTGGACCGACATGGCCCATTTACGAACTTACTATACACATGTGTACAAAATTGTAGCCTTATATCTCAATTATTTTTCTTGTGAATGTTTGTTCTCAGTGGAGATGTGGAACCTGCATATTCCGTCAATATGACTGTACTTTCAGAAGGTGGATATAAGAAATTTCCGTTTCCATTTTCAATAATCTCTGTTGCTATGGGTTTTAATAGTTTAACGCTACCGGAAGAATAACGTCTTATTGGTATAACGATATGGGTGTATTTCGAGATATCGGAGGTTAGAACAAAAGAAGAAATTCGGTGAAATGTTTAACGGAAATGTAGCTTTTAAAGCGAAGAGGTAGTTGTATAGGGTATCAGTTGGTCGGCTTGGCTCGATTTTAGAACTTCAGCTTGATATGACAACTTCCTTGTGCATAAACAACTATTTATTTAGGGACCTAAGGAACACACAAATATGGAATGGAAGCTAGAAATAGCACTTGTTCTACATCAAACAAGAGATACGATGGGGCAAACCTCAAACAATTTGGCAACTTAAGTAACCCTCGGTACAATTTTTGTTATTGCGGTCATCTGATACTTGATTAATTGTCAAAAGAGTTATTGGCGCGGTGCAAAAGAAATTTGCCGTCAAAGCTCCGCACTTTGAAATGTAACTGTTTTTTTTTTTTCAATTTATCGCAGCCTGTAAACATTTAGTTGACACACTTTATACCATCATTTTCTTAGCCATGTTATACAATTGGCCACACTGTCGAACAAGAAATGTGTGCGTTTGTACGTGTTAGTGTATCTTCATCATAACTATTGGGTTTGGTGCAGTGGTATTCTAAGGATATGTATATATGTATGTGTGTATGCAATTGTGTCTTTTTTAACGTCTACAAATATTTAAATAACATTTACCTAAAAAATATAACTTTATTAAGATATGCTCCGATGCGAGCTGTTTTTCAATTATGTCTACTTTAGCTGTGCGACAGTGGTTCCTTCCGCTGTGGACTTGACACATTTTGTCGTGTAACGTTACTTGGATCCCTTATGTGTAAAGTGAGTTAAATCGTATTTTTACAACATCTATTTACAGGCAATCATTATTCCATATCCATGACTGCTATTCGTTGATACTGTTTGCGAAAAAAATAAGAAACAAAAAGAAAAGTCCCACCATGGAAGTGTAGACACTTACGCAGCAGGACACACTTGCGGGACTGTGTCTATACTCTTAGCAGAAATCGTGCTACGTTCCGCCTTACAGCCTGAATCAGGCTTCTATGTGGCATAGTTTAATAGATCTTTTTTAGGAAATAATTTGTTATTGTAGTGCAGAATTAAATAATTTTAGTTACCGTTGTTCCCGCATTGTTCCCCCCATAAAGAGGATTAGATTTTTTTTAAGCAGGTGCCATTCATTTATGGTGTGCAATAGGAAAAGCGAATATTTTTTATGTAGGTTTTCCATCGTTAATGAATGTGTTTTTGTTGGACGACACAGGAAAATCATGTGACGGCTTCTTTTGCTGCCAAATCGCTTTGTTTAAATTAAGAATCGCATCGAAGGCTGTCATGCAAAGTCGACATACATTGGCTATCACTTATATATAGTTTAGCATAGCTTTCTTTCGACTGTCCTTTACTATGCAGAAACTGCTCTCTGAGAGAAACTGCTCTACAAATGGCTCCCTTTTGTAATAACTGTGACAATTTGCAATAATTGAAAAAAATCTATTTTTCTTCATATTTAGCTAATAACTTTAATTGTTTTCCAACATGAATATCGCCTAAAATTATAAATATAAAGCCTTTTGATCCAAAAATGTGAATAATGTGCTAACACCTATTTGTTGACGATTTAAAAGAACCAAGGGAAATTACACTCTTGTTTTTGAACAGTAACCAGACAGACCTATTATGGAAAACATGCACCGAAATGATAAATGTTATTCACAGATTGTGATTTTGCTCATGTTTCCATGGTACAATAAGGTGGTAGAACAGCTTCCCAAAACTACAGAAATACACCACTGAGACCATGCCCGCTTTCTGTGAAATGTGCATGCAACAAGTTTTTTTCATTTATTCGATATTTCTCCTCATTTTTAAAATGAGTTAAATAGCGCGAAAAATTAATTAAATTTCGGGATTTTCTTTCAAAAATATGATCTAAACAGTTTGATATTTCAAATCCATGGCAAAAATGCGAATAGGCTTTAATGCGTGTTCCGCAATGTACGTTGCTTCCAATCATTAATTTTGAAAATATTTTGTTTCTATTTTTTTTTTTCAAAACAATAAATACACAAACTTGGTAGAAGTCGGGCACACTTAGAAAAAAATTGTAATCAGCTGGTTACTTTTTTGTTGTACCATGCATGTTTCTGGCATTTCGCGGCGAATTTGTAACAATTGTTACATATTTTAGGGTAACCAGACAGACCTAATATTTTACAGAAACCCATTTGTATGAAAACGTTTCCGTTTTCTGACGAGTCTGTCGACTCTGGGCACCATTCGAGGAAAGGTAGAATATACACCCAGTTACAAAAACACAAACTGTATTGATTCGAATTGAATGCGCAAGAAGCCAAGGCCTTGGAGAAACGGGCCAAAAATAAAAATATATATTCTGACGAAAATATACGCGAACAACGTTTACATTTAACATTTGTTTTTTTTCTGAATTGAAATGCATTTGAATGGCGATCTGAATTTGAAGAATTACTTTTTGGGTAAATTATTACATCTGTGTGAGTTATTGTAAATCAGTAGGTGGGGACCTGATGTTGCATTAATCAGCGGTTTATATCTTTTCATTTGTTCGAAGTATTGCTGGGAATTGATTAAAGAAAGTTGCTGACATCACGGCGAGAAAAGGCGGAGATATCGTTCTGGGCAGTTGGACGATTTAAAATATGGTGTTGCACAATTAGGATATGGAGGCAGGATATGTCGTAAACTCTAAGTGGCACTAACACTCTATCCCCACCCAGGCAGCGTAGTCGACATCTGCTGCTACCGTGGTTGCTGCTTTCGCTTCTAGATACAAGTCGTGATAATGCTTTGAGCATTTGGTATTGGCGTTGGTGCTGCAAGCGTCTCTGTGTGTTGAATAACTTATTTCGAAATCTGTTGTGATATGTATGTGGCTCAGAGTGGGCGTGTTCCTTTTATGGTGCACCTACAGGTATTCCGTGTGGCATCAGCTTTAGCGATTTGTATTCGGCTCTGGTGCGAGACGACTTGATCGTTGATAGAGTAAGGCCATGATTGATTTGGGCTTTGTGGTGCCCCGATAGCTGTCCAGAAGTTGTCTTGCCGGTTTTATGTTGGTGGTACTGGTGTTTTCCATGCTATGGGTGTGCATTTTGCTGTGCACTATGGTGCCATTTGTTCGTGTGCTGATTTTGTTGCTGGTCTGCATGACGGGGCTGTTGTTGGTGCTATGTACTCCAAAGCTGCTGAAGCAACATGTTTTGTCTTTTTTGCTGCTCCTGCTGCAGCAGCCATTGCTCATAGAAATATTTCTCCTGCTTTGCCAGCTGTTGTTGTCGCTGGGCATTTCGTACGCTCTCGTTAATGACATTCTCTGTCTGCTCGACTTGGTGTTTGGCCTTGTTGCCGTTGCTGTTGTTGCTGTTCAATCTGACACTATTCGCCGTACCTTTATCGGTCGTAAATGGGGGTGGCGGATATGGTATGATATCGGGTTGAGTTTCATCCGAGCTCGCAGACATTGATGACACTGTTTCCTCGCTGTCCATAATGGCTCGTCTCGCATTGTAAAGCCTGGTATGTTTTTTGTGGCCAATTCTGTCTGGGCTTGAATCATTATCGGCCACAATGTTGTGGTTGTCTGTGTTGTCATCAGCGTTGACATCATCGTCATCACCGAAGTGCTGTAAATGACCATGGCGCTCCTTGTTCGTTTTCCCATAAGGCCTAAAGTAGCTCAAATCGTCGTCATCGTTGTTGTTTTTGTTGTTAAAATAATTGTTATTGCGAATGTTTACAACATCGAAGTGACCATCATTGCTGTTGTTTTCGTTAACGCCACCATCATTATCCGCATTGTCATCCACAGTATTATCATTGTGGTCGACACCGTTATTGGCACGACGAGGCAGCTCCACAGCCCTCCGACGACAGTTTTTCTGTAATTGAAAGCGAGAAAAGTCATTTGTTAAAAGGGTAATCTTTAATAGCCCAGCTATACATAGAGTTGTATTGCCCTCTTCTACTCTGCTATGAATTCGCATTGGACGTTGACATTTTATGTGGAAATAGACACAGGTCGACATTTTGGAGATACCCAGCTATGGATTCTCGACAATTGAAGGGAAAAACTGTGCACAGCAGCAAATGCCACATGGAACCTTTGGGGTGTACAGCTTACTAATTTACTAACGTCCCCTTATAATTCATATGTGCTGTCACTTTTTTCCCCGCACATAGGTTCTTATGTACGTCAGGATCAATACTTTTTGTTTTCCACCTCCATAGGCTTTTTTTGGTATGACAAATGAGCAACAGCTTAAAATATTCGACACACAGTCACTATTTTGCTCCCCAAAATACCAAAAATACAATACAGCTTGAGAATAATACTATAAAAATTGTTTCTCATAACAGTATCTTAATAATGCTTGGGACAAACCGCATTTCCGGACCGAATTCTTAAGGTAATGAGGCACAATAAACCTGGTAATCTGTGGTATATATTATTTCATTCTCATTTCAGACCGCTTGCAGACAAAAAAAAGTTGCAGAAGTTCAATAGAAGTGTAGTATTAGTGAAGAGAAAAGAACGCGTCTAGGTATCAAACCACAGGAGGCACTGACAGCTGGGATCGCCATCAATGAATGAAAAAACCGAAAGAAATAAATATTTTATACTATTACTAATATAAGCTTGATGTAATATTACAAGTGTAAGTCCATAAATGAGTGCTCGAATTCGATAATTTTATATTCGTTACACAAACATTTTTAAATGGTTTTCCTTGTTTTAAGTTCTTAAACCTATTGTATAATTATTCTGAAGCCATTTTGGTATGTTGGTACGAGGTATTTCTATCATTTACGTGTGGTAAACATTCGAGTTTCTCAACATCTGTGGCATTTGTATTCAAAATTAAATGAAAATATTCATACAAATTAAAATTTTCGATTGGACATTTGAAGAAAAAATACATTTTTTCACTAGGATTTATTATGGTACAGGTAATTTTTTTAGAGGACCACTCCTTTTTGTTCCTTTTCCACAAGGGATCGGATTCTTATATATATCGTTATAACTGTTGTGCAAGCAATTACGATTTGGTTAAGTAAGATTATTTTAAAGAGTGGAAATATTTATAAATAAAATCAGATTTGAAATTATACCCGAACCTTTCTCAACACCGATATTCTTCGAACTTAGCGCATTTCAATACCCCCGTTAACACCAGATATAAAAAGCAGATGGGCCACATTGGTTCACTCTTTCTGTACCAGAAGGGGATGAAACCTTGAATAAGCACAGTGGGTAGAATAAATTTCGGTACATTCATTATAACCCTTGAATGGAATTCATGGTCCAAGAGGAGAAAATCTTAAGATCCCGCTACTTAATGAAGGTATTAAATTTAAATAAACTTTTGTCAGCGTAGCCAGTGTTGGAAATACCCCAGAGGAGAACATTTAAAGCCCCCACCAAGGGCCGTCTACTTAGAACAAGTATTAAATTTAAATAAACAGGTTCGCTAGCCGTTGTTCGATATGCATCGTCCATCATGAAAAGATCTAGCTGTGGTAATATTTTGAAGTTTTTAACGTATGTTTTCAACGTACAGCGTACACAAATATTCGACGTCTCCATTATGGTAAAATGTTTTGAACGTCCGTTTTACCCAAATACGCCAAGTGCATATCTTAAAATCTACCGACTAATAACGTTGTAAAAATTTCATAATTCTTTCTTATGTTTTTGTTTTCATCTTCTGTTGATGGACTCGGCGTTGAAACATTTCTGAGCGCAAGTGAAGATATGGTTGTGCGACATAGTTTTTAATTTTATTCAAAGTAACTACAAAAATCTATCGTCTTTTAAAAATTCGTAATTTCGGACAATATCAGGAGCCACGAAATCCACCATACTGAACATCTTCAGTTTCTTGTGATTACCACAGATTTTCGTTGGCCACACCTGTCGCCCCGAGAGAAGAGTCACAAATCCGTCCCTGTTTGTTTAGTACACCCCTTATGAGTCTTTTATGATGATGATAAGAGGGTGGTAAATCTTATCTTTGTTTTGCGTTTGTGGCTCTCTTTTTCTTTGGACCCGTTACCTAACCTGAGCGAGGCAAACAAGAGCGTACTCTTAAATGAGCACTAAATGCCCAACAAATTCATGCATGTAAGTATGTATGTGAGCAAAAAATGAGCGAAATCAATGTGTGCTACTCAGAGTGGTGCGGTGCTGGTGAGCGAGGAGAAAGTAGAAATTAGTATTAGCTCGAGTGTTGACTGAATACGGTCGTTGGTGCGGTGAGTTTGAATTGCAAATTTGATGCCGTAGTGAAGTCTATTTTCGTTTTTTGTTTTTATGAATTGTTTATTTCTACGCAAATATCAACCCCGATTAATGGAATCAATTTTCAAACAGTTATTATGTCGATGGCGGCGCAGATTGTGGCGAGAAAATCTCTACAGAGTGCACGTATTGTGGTTGTAGGTGCGGGGCCATCGGGTATCGCCGCAGCGACGAAGCTTATTGAGGCTGGATTCCGCAATGTTGTGATACTGGAGGCAGAGAATCGAATCGGCGGCCGCGTTTACACGGTGCCGTTCGCCGACAACGTTGTGGATTTGGGGGCCCAGTGGTGCCATGGAGAGAAGAATAATGCCATTTACGAGACTCTGCAGCAGAACGGACTAGACCTGGTGGAGAGTACGGGCAGAGTGTACGACGATTATAAGTGTATACGCTCGAACAAAGAGGTCGTTGGTGACGATGTGGCGGAAAGTCTAAAATCCATTGCATTCAACTCAATACCAGAGAGACAAGAAGGTCTGGTGGACTACGAGGGTTCGCTGGGGGCGTATTTGACAGAAAAATATTGGAATGAAGTTGACAAGCTGGGGCCCAATGTCGACCGAGTTGTGGCCAAAGAGTTTTTTGAGAATTTCAAAAAGTTTGAGAGTTCCGTGGAGGCTTCTGATCATTTGTTCGAGGTGTCCGGCAGAGGCCATCTAGAGTATTGGATATGCGAGGGCGATCTGTTGCTTAATTGGAGGAACAAAGGCTTCAGGACATTCTTGGAGGTACTTTTGAAATCGAGTGTCGAATCGCCTTTGGGCCTACTCGATGCTAGAGTTCTTCTTAATCAAAGAGTTGTACAGATTGATTGGTCAAACGGACAAAACATCAAGGTCAAGTGCTCGAATGGAACCATTGTGGCGGCCGACCATGTCATCTGTACTACTTCGCTAGGGGTTTTGAAAGAAACACATGCCAGCATGTTTAAGCCATCATTGCCTTCCTCCAAGATAAGGGCCATAGAAGGTCTGAAGCTCGGAACTGTGGACAAGTTCTTTGTCGAATTCAAGGAACCATTTGGCCCTTCGGAATGGACTGGAATGTGTTTTTTGTGGCTGGAAGATGATTTGAAGAGGCTCCGAGATTCCAATTTGTTCTGGCTCGAAAGTGTGTTTGGATTTTACCGTGTCTCTTACCAACCTCGTGTGTTGCAGGGATGGATAATTGGGCCTCATGCTCGACACATGGAGACTCTGACAGAAGACGAGGTTCTTGAGGGCATCCTGTGGTTACTTCGAAAGTTCTTAACTTTTAATGTGCCCGATCCAGTCCACTTTAAGCGCACTCAGTGGTATTCCAATGTAAACTTCAGAGGAAGTTATACCTTTCGCACCCTTTTAGCAGATGAGCTCCGGACGGGTGCCTGGGATTTGGCGACGCCGTTAACGGATGACAAGGGCCAGCCGTTACTTCAATTCGCCGGTGAAGCGACACACAATCATTACTACTCGACAGTTCATGGTGCCGTTGAGTCAGGTTGGCGTGAAGCCCAGCGTCTGATTGAATTCTACAAAACTATACCATCTCGTCTCTAGGTCTAGACCATTGCCCAACTGCCTGCCTGAGGTAAAGCTGTTTTTCACTGTATTTTATGGCATGTGTTTGGCTACTTGCTGTTCTAGAATAATTTCCTGTTTTTTAATTGGTTATTATTGTCAAGTTCCAATAAAACATTACCCGCTCCAGTTTTAATTGCTTGCATGAATTGTTGGAAGACAATTAACTTCTCCACAGTCCGGCAGAAAGCTGCAAAATGAGTTTAGATTACAGTTCGACAGAAGGGCAAGCGATAGGTTTGTATGCCAATTTGAGGACGTTATATTGTTGAAAAGCCTATCCGAGTTGAGTATTTCGGAGCATTTACACGTTGTTTGGAATCGTCATTGATAACACCCAGAAATAATAGATTCTGTCGCCCAATTGTAGGTGGTATTTTGTGGCCTGTCAGATACGTGTTCGACATACTTTTCCGACGCATTACCATTTAGTCGAAAAGTCGTAAACCTACGCGAATAATTTGGGTTTTTGACATGGTATAATTCTGCCATGGTAGAATTAAGAAGGTAAAGTCATGCAATCATATGTTCACAATTTCTTCCAAATTATTCTTTTGACAGCATCTCATTGTCAAAATGTGTATTTATGGATTTATTGTACATACCCGAATCACAGATGGAACAGGTTCACATTCTATGCAGTAAAATTTGACAAGGTAAAGCACAGAAAATGCAGAGATGGGTATGCGTATTTGAAACGACTTGACCTTCTTAACTTTACCATGAATTAGCAGCAAACCCCACCTGATTAGACTCTGTGTCAAATTCGATAATGACGTTTGGAGATTTATTTCCATTTCTTGATATACAATTGGTATACACTTTTTGAAATAAAATTTCACTGCAGGCACTGGGAAAATATTAGGTGTGTCTGGTTACTTTTCCAGCAGGAATTGTCCAGCAACTTCTTTCTGAGAGAGTAAGGTAGTTTTATTCTCTTTTGCAAGGAAAATGCGAAAAGTAAACAGGCGCTATTCCTGCAGAAGCTTGCAACTAATCAGCTGATTTGTCAAAACAAACCAATTTGTCCCCCATAAGGAGAATTAAAACAAAGGAACCAATACTAATTTTACAAGTCTTTTAAATAAAAATGTCGGAAATAATCTTTTATTTTCTTATTACATATTAACATTTACGTTTTTCACATTTTGTAAAGTTGTTCTCCAAAAACAATTAGTCTTGCTATTTCCAAAACAATATTTTCAAATTAAAATCACAAAAAGAAATAAATAAACATTGGAAAACATCTGATTGAATGTCGATGAATGAGAAGAAGAAGAGTTGCAAGAGATTGCAAGAAGAAATTTGTCCAGCAAGAATTTGGAGAGAGACATTTTGAAAGAACTGTCAAAATGTCTCTCTCCAACCGCTCTCTTTTGCAGAACTTTCGGGTTAACAGACGACTTCCAGTAACAATTTGTAACAATTGTTACAAATTTTAGGGTAACCAGACACACCTATTATTTGCCTAATAATAGAAAAATCGCTTTTATACTTAACAAAATGCCAAAGGTGACACCATATTAGCTAACATAGTTTTTTTTATTAAATGATTCGTAACATTTCAAAATATAGAATGTGAAAGGGATTTGGACCTACAGCTAGCAACTATACATTCTGGGTAATGATATGAAAGCATTTAATTTAAATATTTTAAGAAATATTCTTCTGCGTTTTAAATTTAATAATCCAAATTCCGGAAGAGGAACATTTTTGAAATTAAAATAATCTATTGCAAATTAATTGTTTTGTTTACATTTTCGGACGTGTAATTCTGACACTTGTATTACGTGAAAAAAAAACAAATTTGTATGTGGTTGTTGCTATTGTTGTTGTGGTTATTCTACCATGATAAAGAACTTAAAGAATGTAGTTGTTCATTGGGATTGCCCTTCAACTTCGATATACGACGATCGCTTTCTATCATCTGAAAAATCGGTCCACACATTTCATGGACATATAACGCTGTAAATGTTTGTTTTTGTCGGCTGAAAACCTAGCTAAGCAGTAGCTGCCGTTCTGCTATTGTGGTGTCGAGCTATTTTGATTTAAGGGCAAAACTTTTAATTATTTATGTTTTGCATAAGAATCTGTCAAACGGACCATATCTGGTGGGTAGTATGCCCCAAACATTTTCCATCAAACGGGATATTAAGTGTTCGACGTGGACGAAATCGCGCTTTTAACGTGTTCTATTTCCAGTTCACATTATTCCCCACTTAGTCTCCCATTTAGTATGCATTGCAATAACACTGCAATAATGCAAATGCAATCACTTGCACCAAATCAATTCGTCATCAAATCGAAACATCATAAAATTAAAAAAAAGAAAACAAAAATATAATAAAACACTCGCAATGTGCTCTTAACGCAATAACAATCACATAAATCGTCAGCAAAGTTGCCATGAGCAGGGGCGAGTGGCGAAGGGGGCTGTTGGAGAATGTCAGCGGTGCTCCGCACTTCTTTGGCATTCCACTTAAACAAAATGAAACAAAATGGAAAAACATAAACAAACAAACAGACAGACAAGATGACAGATTTTTTAGTGCCTTCTTCCGATTCACGCTTCATCTGTTGTGTGGTTCATGGTCTGGCCCGTGAAGTCTTTCTTCTCATTTCGGAAATGCTTTCAAGCAGCAGATAATAGCTCACAATGCGACATGATAGTTATGGAGATGACGACGACGGCGACGACGTTGACGGGCTCAGAGCTACAGCATGAACAAGGACAACGAGAGCGAACACAGCCAACAATGGCAGGAATGAAATTGGATTGCGAATGTTTGGCTATGGTTAAAGAAGTGGAAATAAATCAAAATAACAATAGACATTTGCTAAAGAGAAAGAACAGCAACAATTGCAATTTTCTATTCTCCAGGAAAGGTTGTTGCTGTTGAAACGAGCTCAAGGAGACAGGAAGAAGGGCAGCTGAAGAGGAGTGGAGGATTACACAATTGTACGATTCTGTTTTACTCTGTTTCCGGACTATTCCATTTGAAATGGCTATACTAGCAGTTTTATTGTTGATTTTATTAATAGACATGTCGATAAAAAGAAAGACGTACGTGTGTACGTGTGCATGCAGGCACTACCTACACATGTACACAGGTCACCGCGATGGAATGCTGTAAACATGTTGTACACGTCGGACAAACACCAATCATTGATTGATGTTCCATAGAAAGTCCTTGTATTGCCCTTTCGATTGGAGTTGATAATTTCAGGATTCCCAAATTGTTACACCTCACTTTGTACCGTGTGCCAGGACCCAGTAAATGAATTTGCAGCATACAAACCACGTTGCCAAATATATCAACGCAGGGCGAACTTGTGTGACCGTCTTTTTTAGAGGTCTGCTAAATCCTATAGAGTACGTTCCCAATAGCTTGGGCGAGGAGTGCATCTTAACTTGAGTAGACCATCAAAGGGAATATTAAATCCTTCAAACCATTTCGTGAAACGATGTTAGTAGTCCAAGGGGCTGTGAGATTAACATTCGAATTGGGTCATACCTTTGCCAGAAAAACTGAACGTTCATGTGACTCCAGCTACAATTTTAATAGCCAAGTAAGGAGACACATCTAGGGCAAGCCTCATGCAGTTTCGATACGATGCGAAATATTTACATCCACTTAGAATGTTTTGTACGTGTACGTTGTACTGTCCAAAAAAATATGAGTTTTTAGTGATCGATTAATGTATTTTCACTTCTTTGAGGATTTTCTCGTTATCGGGGTACATATAACCTTTATTACCCGATCGATATGCCGTCTTGGGACTGTCTAATGTACATATCTAAAATAATTTGCGGCAGTGCTTTGGAGATTGATCAGTCTTAAAGCCAACTTATCTACTTACATTTTCGGAACATTCACACTTTAGTATCCATTCGATGGCAATGAATTTATTTTGGATATGCATCTGGCGCGATTGATAATATTCCTGGTCTATGCCATCCAGGGAGCTGGTATCCCACAGAGATGTCAGGGCTGGGAGCGCCCCATCAGAAGTGAGTTCTTCTTGCTGTTGAACGACACTAATCGGGTCCGCTGCATTCAAGGGGCACAGCAGTTCGACCTATTTGAAAACGAAAGATAAAATAGAAGGCAAACTGGTGAACATCGGGAAAAGTAACGAGAATAGTTAATTCATAACGGACGCAAGACCTCTCTGAAAGATCAACACCGGCCTGTACCTTGACCTCAATATTGACTGTGTTTTGTATTCTTTACTTTTAGAGCTGTTGTCATGGCACAATATATAGGTACTCCATTTATCGCAGATGGAGCACCGCATTATTGTGCCCTGGTTGGTGCTTTATTGCTGTAATATTGTACCTGTATGGTCGTTGATAGGGAAGGCATGCAACATTTCCTCGGATGAGAGCAATGTCCACAGACCTTTGGGCGATACAGCTTTCTTGAAACACATTCTCCTAAGCGTATGCGAGACGGTCCCAAATGCTCCACGTGTCGGCACTCGTGACTTTTCTGAAAAGAAAATAAAAATTAAGGTGTTTCAATTAAAGGGGTTAGACTCTTAACAAAATGTTTGCTTGGCGTACAAAAAACCCACACCTTGACAAAATTGTGGTAATTTTAGGTAAATGCTATTTGTTAACATTAGGTCTCAATTTTATTAACATTGTATTATTTTGCCCAAGACGAATGACATTTTTTGTAGAATTAAAAGATAATCTCTACGATGTTTGCCAGGCTAATGCCTATTGGCATTAATCGTAGCGCTCTAGTCCAATTTATCTTAGTTTAGGTTTAACAACAACCTACCTATTAATGCCTCTAAATACTATTGTTTTATAAATTACAAAATTTTACAATTTTAGACAATGTTAGAATTTAACCAGTAAAGAACTCTTAAAGTCGGGCGGGCCGGCTTTATGATACCCACACCACATTGCGTATTTAGTAGAGCTTCATAAGTGTTTATGCGGAATTTGCGAGAATTAAATCATACGAATTATTATTTAGTTATAAATTAATGTCCAAAGGAACTAATATATGAGAGGAATATCCTCCTCTGAATCGATTTTGACTAAATTTGGCGAGACATTTGTGCTTTCCAATACGGGCTTGTATTACCCATTTGGTGCACAATTAACTTGAAATCTGATGAAGATATATATAGGAGCTATATACAATTCTGAACCGATCTCGATAAAATTTTTGCAAAAGTATTTCTGAGCTGTATTTGATATATTACCCGAATGTCGATGTGACGGAGTGCATATTACGGCTGTGGAGAAGACATATAACAAATCGGTTGAAAATTATATATAGGACCTATAGCTATATATGCACCGATTTGCACCAAATTCCATATCATTTGGGCTAATATTACATGTTTGATGCACAATAAAAGGCAAATAGGACGAGGATATATTTGGGAGCTATATCCAAATCTGGACCGATCTCGATAAAATTTGAGAAAAGTATTTCTGTGTTGTATTTAATATATATTTCCCCAAATATCGTTGTTACAGAGTGCATATTAAGGCTGCGGAGGACAAACACAACAAATCGGTTGAACAGTATGTGTGGGAGCTATATCTATTTCAGGCCTAATCGGACGAAGATATATATGGCAGTTATATTTAAATGTTGACCGATTTTCTCCGGACGGACATGCATAAATCGACTCAGATCATCGAAAGAGACTATGGGTCTATATCGTCTCCTTTTGTCTGTTACAAACAAATGCACAAATACATAATACCCTCACCACCTTGTAGTGTAGGGTATGAAAAGGTTGAAATAAATTGTAAAATATAATGGAAAGATTATTTTAAATTGCTCTTAAACAAACTCTGATATAAATCATAGCTGGCCATGTTCAGACGTCGACTTTAGCCACTTTTTGATAAACGTCGATATTTGATCCCGAGTAACTTTTTTGAAGACATGGGATCGATTGAGACATTTAAAAACACAAACAATTTGACCACCACTTTTTATGTCTATTTTGACTGGGTCTACAAGGTTCGATTGATGAGGTGTGGGTTATCTGAAAACCCTTTTCAATTCAATTTTCAAGACATATTTTTTCCAACATAAACTTTGATAGAAAGATGACATTTCGCCATTCCTCTCACGACGCTAATGACATTGTTTCTCTGGCGACACTTGGGCACATTGGCAGAAACGAGCTGTTGAAATAATTGGTATTTCGACATGGGTTAGAAATCTGCGAGTCTTCCAGGATCCATGGCAGATAGCTCATCCAACCAGGGTGTCACTTGAACCACCTTTTGCTTAAAATTCTTACCTTTTTCATTTTGTGCTTATGTCGATGCTGACGCTGATGGTGAGCACCATGATGTTCCTCCTTAACCGTCACCAGGGGTTGAGATCCCAGCAAATTTACTCCTTCAAAGGACATGTCTTGATTATCACATTTGCGATTTTCACACAATCGTAAATTTATCAATTGATTGCACCCGGCTGCGGTGGACGTGAAGCGCGTGGACATCCCCAAACCGCACGATTGGCTGCACGGCGTCCACGGACTGGTTGATGAATTGTGACATGTGGCGTAAACTGGAGAGATGGAGAACAAGAAACAACAACAAATGAAAATTCCATATTAATCTCGAATAATATGTGTATGTCTGTCTGTGCGTATGCACTAATGTATGCCTGGATGCATGTTGACATATGTAAATGCAATTGGAACATAACTTCTACGCCGAAACATTATTACCATACATTGTTAAAGCGAAAGCGCGGTGTTTTTTAATGTATGCAGATCAGTTGGGTCCATAATCAAATGACACGAATTGAAATTGGCGACAGACACGGGTGGTTACGAACTTTCCCAATGCAAAACGTTTGGTGCTGACTGAAATACAATGGGTCGGGCGTTATGACCCGACCTGCCGCTGCAATTAATCACAGCTGTGCCTGGCTATGAGTTAATAATCGCTGAGCACTTGGCTAAAACGTTGTGTGACCTCAATTATTGAAATGATTTATATTGAAATGGCCATATTAATGCCAAATAGGTTTACAAACATTCGAACCGGTTTGTGGCTTGCCATAAAAGCTGAGCGAAATGGGTTTGAGAATTGAAATCAAAGCGGTTATAAGTAATGTTTTCAACAGTTAAGCGCAAATTAAAAAAGAAATAAATGTCCTCCAAAGTGGTTATGAGTAATGTTTTCAACAGTTAAGCGCAAATCAAATAAAAGAAAAAAATGTCCTCCAAATTGAGAATTTGAATTTTCAGAAACTTTTTGCACAGTTCGCAGGGAAAAGTTCAAACATGGTCTGTGGGTTGCACTCATCTTGTGGAAATGATTCGTTCAAAATAAGGAGATGTTCGCTAAATTTCGACTAAGCTCATATTAGTTGGCACTTACCGTCGGCCGTTGGATTCTCGCAGAGCCACATTTTGCAACAGTGACCAGGCACCTCGACCAATCGCGGAGATCTGCACGATATGGTGTCCTCGGGAGCCGGAAGCTGTTCCTTTGGACACAGTGATGAGCAGGCGTGTCGACCATTCTGTAAGGCAAAAATGAAGTTAAATTTAAATAAGTCGTATGGATTCGGAGTTTGTCTCGCATTTTTTTCTGAAGATGTACATTTGGGGTTCAAATGGACTAAAAAATTATTTTTTTTCTGATTTCTGACAATCGAAAACCAATCGGCACGGAATTTTGCATAAGAAGAGGGTTATGGATTGGGAGGAAGTCTAGCATTTTGAAAGACCATTATTTTATATTTACCGGAAAAATGGAGCGCAACTTTCGTGTGAAATAGTTTTGAATGCCTAACAACACCACCAAATTCCCCTGGTCAAAAAGCTAAGGCTAACATCTGGGCAGGGCTCTATAACATTATTTCAAAAATGGATCAGTTTGGGATAATTAGATTGCTTCTTCTAATAAAAAGGCTTAACCCGCATAAGAATTTGAATGTAAACCTTCTATTATAGAAAACTATTCGTAGTACACTCCGAACGCCACGCCAAACCCCATTCACTCATTCTAGATGGAAAATTGTAAATATGCTTAAAAAATGCATCCCCACTGAGAGCGATTGCAATCTCTAACAACCTCCGGTTATCGGGGTCTACACAGTGACAAAAATATATGTTTCTCCTTCAATGTTACTTACCTCACAAACGCATTGCGTCCTGCAATCCAATTTGAACGTTTCTCCATGGGCGTACGTGGTATTGGCTACATTACAGTTGGCTTTTTACCATTCCAGTCGGAAACGAGTCATGAAAGACACAAATAAGATAATAAATTAAAATGAAGCGATCCAAAAGCTATTCTCGTGTTTGCCTCTTGTCATGTCGAACAGACCTAAAGGGTTCATCCATGACTCCAGTGCATACATGTGTAGGTGTGTACGATTAGAGTAAACTTCTTCATTTCACTTTTATTTCGGTGCCAAGTTATAGCGTTTCTAATTCTTATATTGCAGGTTTGGATGGATGCAAAGATAACACATTTACTAGCATTTGCAGAGGACGTAAAGTCCTGAGCCTGATTAACGTGTAATTGAAGACTGTTTAGATGCGGGTTATTGGACCCCCATGACAATGCAACCTTTTTGGAATGGCTTCGATGATGACTTGGACGATAAAATAATTGACGGCTAGGAACCACAAAGTTTAACATATCCGTCAGTATACACCATTTGTGGGTAGTTCGTCCAAAAGAAGTAATTATTTGCGTTTTCTCGAGTTTGAAAAAGTTGGGGTGGTTCCATTGGATTGAAAGTTGTGAATGGGAAAAACAAAAAAAGTTTTTTGGGATTTTAATTTTTTTCTATTTGCTCGTCCCATTGACACCTTTTTAGCGAGCTCCGAATTCCCAACATCTGCTTAGGGTACATAGAGAGACCATTGGACCTTGAAGATAAATTCTTTGATCCAGTTTCAATAATTAGTGAACTTTTGGGTTGGCATTTAATTTGGTGGATGAAATAATTAACAGTTATCTTCGCACAGACTCCGCAAAATGCATATTGCAGTGCAAGACCCATTTAGATGGATTCAATTGTGTTCCATCATTGCATCCATCCACTGCCACGTAAATATGTTTTGTCTAAAGGTGTGAGGTGTTACATCACATGGACAGGTGCTTACCTGGACTCGCGGATATCTGAAAACAAACAAATGGAGAACCGTTGTATTCATATAACATTACACGATTAATAGCGCTACTCACTTTGGTTACTTTGAAGTCCAGCGAAAGGTTTGCAGCAACAATGGATGCAGATGCTGTGAGAATTATTCCCACGAGAGGCACCAGGGAAATAGTCATTTTCCTATGGAATAGAGCAGAGCAGAAAGAAAAACGATGTCATTATGTGTCAATTGTGATTGCCAATGGATTATTATTATTTCCTAATTGGAGTGCTCCTCCGCAGGTCAAATAATTTCCATCTACTCTTCGAGTCACTACGTTTTAGAAATAATTACACACCAAATACCTTTGTTGGCGTGGGAACAACGCTTGCCATCCCATACCATTGCATGCCATGCCATGCCATGCATTCAATCGCTTTTAATTACAAACAACAAAACAATGAGCCTTTTGAAAGCGTTCGCACTGCCACCCACCAACCTGAAATGTTGGTGTAAATAACAGCACAATTATTCCACTTGCCCCAATTGCAATTTTCAGCACCCGAACGATTTGCCATTCACCTGGCTGTTCTATTCACTCCTAGTGACAATCGTTTCCCACTGCAGCTCTCCCAATTCAAAAGGCGCCCGAGCGCCGTAGAAAAACAAGTGGTTAAACTATCATTACCGGATGTAATAGAAGATGTAAATAAGTGTATTTTCCATTTTGAATTTCTATTTAGCATTGCCTGGTGCGGCGCGATGTACGGCGTCGGGAAGGGATCCAGCGTGTTTAGTGACTGTCGCAATCATCCCAGCTGTGGCTGCAAACTGTAGCTGTTTGACAACAAAACCATCTCTGCCGAGTTGTTTCATTAAAATGCAAATGCTTCGTTGGCTGGCGTTCGCTCGGTGTCTCTGAGATGCTGTGGCGTTGTGGCGAAGGGATGCAACACGCTTTCGCCGAGTCGAAGAGACAATCTGCATTCACTTGTCAATGTTCCTTTTGCGGATGCGGATGGGGCTGTGTCTGTTGGCAGTTTGTGTTGCCACTGTTCTGGCAGCGGCTGTTGCTCATTAAAATTAATGACTTTACAAAACATTGGCGACATGTTTCGTTGCGCTTACTGGCGGAGACTTTTTTGAGCTGTAACCGCCCCCGATTTGGTGCATATTGTATGCACAAAAAAAAAAGATGAAAGTGCCTTCTATGCAAGTTCGCTGGCAAATCGATGTCGAATAAATTGTCCAACAATTTGCAACTTATTGCAATCTATGGTTTGGTTTTGTGTTAAGCCTTAAGCGCAAATCAGAATCAACGTTTGGACCGTTGGTTCACAGTTTTGTTAACGGCGAAAGGCGTGGTGAAATAATACAGCTGGCCAACATGGATGTGTCCTTAAATATAAGCATACTCTTTCATATATTTGCTTTTTGAATTTTGAACGCAGCATTTTTATACCCTCCACCATACTATGGAGGGTATATTAACTTTGTCATTCCGTTTGTAACTCCTCGAAATACTCATGTCAGACCCAACAAAGTATATATATTCTTGATGAGCGTAAAATGTCCGTCCATGTCCGTCTGTCTGCCTATTGTAATCACGCTATCTTTCGAATGAATTGAGATAGATGGCTAAAATTTTGCACACATGTTTAGTTTTCCAGTATGCAGGTTAAGTTCGTAAATGGGCCATGTAGGTCCACGTTTTCATATAACTCCCATATAACGGTACCTCCCGATATTCGATATTTTAATGATTTTAGCGACATTATTCACTGGAATTGTTTCAAATTTGGTATTTGAAGTTCGAATTGGATACTACACCCTAAGACTATGCTGATTCAGGTCTTCGTATAGGCCCCATATATCAGTACATCCCTATATTCGGTATTTTGACGATTTTAGGTACAATACGCACCGAAATTGTTTGAGGTGTGGTATTTGAAGTTCGTAATGGATGCTACAGCCTGTGACAGAAAATTGTCTATGCAGGTCCAGGTCTTCGCACAGCTCCGATATAACGGTACCTCCCTATATACGATATTTTGACGATTTTAGCAACATTATTCACCGTTTATTTCAAGTTTCGAATTTGAATATGGTAATGGCTTATGACAAACAATGCCTATGTAGGCCCACATCGTATACACCTCAATATAACGGCTATATTTGGTATTTTTAAAATTTTAACAAAATGTTTTAATGATTTTATTTTCTGAAAATTTCCAAATTCGTTCCAAATGGTGGAGGATATTCAAAGTTCGTCCCGGCCGAAATTACTACTTTTTAACTTGTTAATTTAAATCATTTTTCACTCATAATTTTGAATTCCAAATCAAGTCAATGAACTGCCATCGCACCAGCAGCTGTGTTGATGTCATGCCATACAAACCAAGGTCTATCTTTAAGACCATCTGACTCTCCGATTTGTCATAATGGATCCGAATGGTGAATTAATCGCATCAGGTCGGACAAGAAGAGTACTTTTGACATTCATTAACTTTCAAATCGCAATATTGTACTTTGGCGAAAATCTTGGTTGTCAAATGGGATTACTGGCCGACCTTATTTAGGCTATGAAAACGTAAACAAACAATTTTGACAGACTGATAGCTTTGATTTCCCAAGGATTGCCAAAATCCGCCGTTGTGAAAATTGGTTGAAACATCTTTTAAACTGTCAAAAGCTTTTTACGTTTTTGTTCAATATTTAAAATTCAAAAGCAGACGAAATGTAGAGATTTGTTTACTATCTGATTATCTGCCGCACTGTGCTTTCCATCCCAATAAGTATTTTTAGGGCTGCTTTAACGATCAGCTGTGATAAGTGGAGTACCGATTTGGAGCTGACAGACTATCGATATTCCCACTATTCAATAGTTTTGATATCAAAAAATTGACAACCATCGACACAATCGCCTGTTAATTAAGTATGTACATTTGGCACCTGTAACTACTTACAAAACAACATCTTAACACCGAGAACATATGACCGCATGTCATACGAGGTACCATCAACCAATAAAAAGTCTATTTTTACGTAAAAGGAGGCGTCCACTCAGCCACTGTTACGAACTTTAATTGTTGTGTGATGTCGTGTTTGTGCGTCGGAAAACTTTTAGTATTTTCTTAATTTTTGTTTGTTTGCTGACACTGAGATTCGACCAAGCGATATTTGGTTTTGTAGTCCGACGTGGCTACTATACGCCGTTGGTCTATCATTTTTGGGGTATAATAGTAAATAAATTATTTTGTCTTGTGACTAAGGATAGGTAATTACTTTTGGTCTACGGGGTATGTAGTTGTCATTACTAGTAATGTTGAAAGTACCACACATACGACACGTTTTGACCCATAAAAAATACAAATATATAATGACCCATTATTTAAACATAAAATAACCACTGACACGAAAGAATGATAAGGATTGACCATACATTTTATTACTTCGGTTTGACGGGAACCAAAATCGTACCAGGTACCATCGACTTTGAACAAAAAGTGCAGAACTGTGTCCATTATCTATGAGTGTCAGAGATACAATTTATGTTGTTATTATGACATTCACGTTTTACCCGAAATTTCGATGTGGTCCTGGTCACAACAACATGCAGACGCAACAGTTTCGCCTTAAACCCGGCGACGATTTCCGCGAAACATCCCCTCGCACACAATCACATTATGCGAAAGTGACTTTTATCAAAGCATTCACAAATAATCAAATTAAACTTTACTTTGGCTTAATTCAAATCTAAATGTGTTTTGTCGTCTTTGCTGGCCTCGCCGCAATAACTCAAGAAACCACTAAAGAAAACGAACGAATAACGAAGATTGACCTTTGCTAGGGATGACTCGAGTCGGGTGGTGTAATACCAACACCGCCTTCGCCGACAGCAGCAGAATTCGCTACAGCGGCACCGGCACCGGCACCGACAGCAACAGCAACAGCAGCATTGACATGGATCCAAGGAAGCAGCAGGAAACAGTAATAAAACTGTACTCACAGATGCAATAAAACTTTCTTCTCTGTCCAATCTTCTGTGTTCCGTCAGTCACTTCAGTCTGTGGCAGGAAGGGAGAGGGAGAGGGAGAGGGGAAAGAGGGATGGGTGGACGGTGGTAGAATGGCACAGTAAGCCCGCCAAAAGTTTTCCGTAGTCTTCATGAACAAATTCACTTCATGTAAAACAAGGTAAACACAACAAAGAAGATATTTGCGACTTTTGGAAGAAAGTCCTAAATTTAAATTAAGTTTTTTTGCTGTCTCTCCGTCTCCCTTTCTTTGTTTGGCTAGCAATAGAAGGGGAGGGGACAGGGATTCGAAGTAATAAATTCAATTTGGTGTCAGTGCAAAGTTTTTGGGCAAGGAGGATGAGTCAGCTTACCCAATAGAGGTTACGTGCACTACATACATGCATACATACGTACACATATGAATACACATAAGTGAGAGCACATATTCATATTCTTCTTCTAATTATTAAGCGTAAGTTATTGGTCATTACAGGACCTGTTTTCAAGATTGAAGCTCTTTGAAGTTCTCAACATTTGTTCAAACACGTTTCCTTCGCTCCACACATAAATGTGGCATGTCAAACCGATTTGTACGACAAGCTGGGCTATTATCGGCAAACACAAGTGAGTACTGAAAACGATGAGGTTTCACAAATATTGAAGCCATTTCGTTGCCCATTCGACGTCATGGCGGCCCTTCGCAGTCGAGATGTTGGCACCGATATCAAATGTAATTGTATTCTGCACACATTAGAGAACATCTACAGGCAGTCAGATATTATCATTGCTTAGAATCGTTCATTTCATTTGCCGAGCATAAAAGTAGCCCGCAACTGTTGCTACTCAAATCGCATCGCCGTCCAAGGACTAGAGAAGGCAGAAAATACAAAAACAATCTCACGTACAGCATACGAATGTAAATATGATGATGAGGACGAGGACGATGATTTAGAATTACTCCTGCCTGTACACCCCTTCTCTGGGGCGCCTTCTTCGCAGCTCGAGGAAACAGACGCATTCGTCGATTGAGGTTGGGCGGACTGGCGGGGGTGGATGGTTGTTATGTGTCAATAAATGCCACATGTTTGTTCATTTCCTTCCATTTATTTTTCATTTGGTTGCCATAGAGACTCCACGTTTGTTTCCAGTCGGTCGGTCGGTAGGACGTGTGTCCTTTTTGCT